CTTCGCCCGTGTCTTGGCTCCTCGGGTCCTGACGGTCTTTTAATAATGACGACATCTGAAACGACAAATTACAGACAGGAGTGAGCGCTGTTTTAGGCGGGGAACTCACCCGTTGCGCGTTGGCGTCCGCTCCGTTGTTTGAGTACCTGGCCAGCTGTCTAAGCCTATACGTTGGTAATACTGTTTCTTCACTTTCTTCTCTCTCTATACCAATGTGATTTTTATTTCGCTCGTAGCTACGGCACGAAAACAGGACAGAAAATGAGACACAAAATTCACTTAGGTACATTATTGACTAACTTGATCTTCTAGACGAAATATTTGTCACAATTTAAGGGTGAGTTTCAGACTAGTTCTACTTCAAGTATTTGGATGGAATGATTTGCTCGTTTTTGTTTCACTTTATCTTGCATTTGTTGTGGGACCTAAGATATTGACACACAGCGTCGGCTGAATTAATTAGACTCTGGAAACTTTTCCAAATTTCAAATTTTGGCGGTAGTTGTAACGATCAAAACAAAATTTAAGCCAACATTTAGAGATCGAAGAGATAAAATATTGTTTAAATGTAAAATTTACCCATTGAGAGACTAGCTTCCACAGAATGCCAATAAAAAGTTAGCTGAACTTCGCCGTGATTGGCTGAAAGTCTGTTAGGTAGTATAAGGCAATGCCTGCGCGCATTATACGCAATCATGCGTCTGTAGCATTATCTCTTATTCTTCATTGGTGTAACGAGCATCCACGTCACCAAATTCCCGGGAATCTGGTTACTATGGCAACCGTGACATTGAACTAGAGTCCCTTGTCGTCAGCTTAGTCTCGTGTGAATGCAAGACGAAGTAACGGACACATCTTTCTTTTGTTCGCGAATTCTTAACAGGTTCATCAACTGAAAGCAACACAATGACACAACGGAAGAAATCGCAAGCTGATATGCCACTTATTAAAGAGTCGTCGGGACGTCCGCTGGCTAGCATTTCAGCCAGAGTGATTTGAATATCGCCACAAGTTTCATGACACTTTTCGTGGCTTGAGGAAGGGAGGGACCAATGCTTTCTGCTAAAATTGGAAAAGTGGTTGGGGAAAATGCTATTAGCCGGGGCACTTAGGCCGGATGAGCGAGCCGGGCAGGGGTAGCTGACCGTTCCGCTCTCCCCGCTCAAAGTGAATTTAGTCACTCGGTGCCGGAGAACTCCGGATAACAAGGCAGACCTGAACAGTTCACCGACTCCTCCAAATCGAATTACCCCGATAGGAGAGTTCTGGGTCACCGCTGAGCATGATGGCTATTAAACCCTCATTGGTCATGTAGGTCCATTTCAGCGGGTCGAGGAACTTACTCACACCGGGCTTTTGCACCCCAGAGCAAGGCCAAGACTCTGAGCTCCTCGCTCGCTGATCTGCTCCGGAGTCCCTCTCTAGTACTGGCAAGATACGAAAAAGAAAAACAGTCCCACAGCTTGGAGCATCGGGGAGCGCGGTGGCCTGTGTTACTCGATTATTGGATTATCCCCTCGCCCCTTTTTCAAACGACACCGAAGAGTAAGGGAGCCGGCCGTTAATTAAGCAAATTGATTAATCCGGGCGTATCTGTAACACAGTGATTACGGCAGCCTTATCACTACCAGAGTGGCTGGTAACATCGACGCCGGGCTATCATGGCATTGCACGGCCGGCTGGCAAGATCTGCCCGCTCTGCAATTTGCTTTTCCTCCTTTTCTCTCCTCCGCCCTGCCTTGCCAATAGCTCGGAGCTAAATCCGCAATCGAGTCAAGACGGGTAATTCGCCGGCCGGTTACCCACTCACATGCCCCCTGGCTGCCCGGTGCTTGGCTTGCAGACTCGCGCTGAGGTGGACAAATTGTCACACCCTACAACCGTCGCCCATCTCCGCCAAAATGTAATGAATAATTACGCCTTACAAACGGCATATTGGCAATTATTTTCTACTCGCCTTGATGTGTTTGTCGCTTAGAATCAAACTTAGGCTCTAAATAAAACTCTGAATGTCATAAACTGGAAGACACGGCATCGCATGCACAGGAAAGAATTCCTAAAACTAATGAACAGACACGGTTGAAATTTCCCTTAAAATGACTTTGTGACCTACGTTAATTTTGTTCCCCAATTAATAAGCTTCAGTGAGTTTCAAACTCAGACGGACTCAAAATTCTTTGGCCTGAAACTGAGACATAAGAATCCACTAAAAAACTAAAGTACGCGGTGGTTTGAAAAAAAAAGCCTTCCCAAGTGGCACTGAATGCCCAATCAGCCACTGAGAACTTGCCTATTGAAATCAAAATTCCACTGAAATAACGTGACAATCCTTCATCTCTTGTGTTGCTTCAATGGCTCTTTGTCAGAGTTTTATGAAAGTTCCCTCAGCATAAGATGTGTTACTATGATAACCCACAGTCCCCTTATCTCTCAGCATTTCATTGTATCACTCATTCGCATATAATTTCTCTGTTGATGAACACCTACTCGTTGCATTCAGAACTCCAACCGAACAATTGGACATATCGCCTACCTCGTGTACCAACGTCAACGTGGGCGTCATAAACATCCTGTCATAATTATTACGTGTGTCTGCAACAATCGACACGCACAGATTCTCAGAATCTGGGTTTGAGTAAAACTATGTTTTCATATTTTTCTTGCGGTTTTGCCCGCAATTATTCTCACTATGCAAGCTGTAGGGGGAGTGGGACGGACAAGTTATTTCATTTAGGAAAGGAATCGGTTACAATTTCAGTTTTTGAAGGATCGAAGAATTAGTACACTCTTTTATTTTCCTAAAGCAATGTAAAAAGTCAAATGTCCGAGGCCTTGCCGCTGTATGAAATCGTTTTGGGTAATGAAGCAAAATAACTAAGATGTCAATCGCCTTGAAAATTATGTACATCAAGCAAAGAGAAAATGCGAGGATAGGTGTTATATTGGCCTAACAGGTGTTATATTGGCCTAACTTGAACTCTAATGGGTCTTTCAAAAATCAAACTCAATCCCTTCCCTATCACTGCTGAGGCAAAATAGTGCAAGAAGAAAAGGAAGTTTGTCACTCAGTGCCAAAAAAAACAAAATAGACGTCTAAAATGACAGAAGCACCTGGATTCGAGGGCACAATACTTAAACCAAATTACAAAAAAAGGTTTCCAAACTTGCAGTTTATTGTTAAGGATGAGTCGTGAAAACGGAACACCAACAAACGTTGAGGGCGTTAAGTGCACGCTTTCACCGGCCTTAATTCAAAGCAAATTGGCCTAACACCAATGTTTGTCATTCCAATTTCTCTTTCATTTAATCCCCATCCAACCCTTAGTGACGGAGCGGAAAGGCCACTCATGTCTGATGGGGGGTCGGCCGGCATTGCTCCGTTGCCCCCCGCGTATTGGTCCACGGCCACGCGCTGGGAAAGAAAGCTCTAGCCAAACCATACTCGGTGTGTCGAGTCGAGAACAGCTCAAGAGCGCAAATTGGCTTTTTATCAAAGCTAGAGTGTTACTGTCACAGATACAGCATCAAGCCCATCTCCTGGGCTGAAAAGAGAAAACAGCCTTTCTGTGTGCCGTCCCATTAAGTTCCCGCGCGGGATGCATGGAGCTATCAAGCTGATTTTTCATTCGCTCTTTGGCTCCTCATCGATAGTCTGCTGTTCCCTCTCCTACTCGGTTGGCGAGTGTTGCACAGCCTAGGAACCAAAATGGACAAGCCCCCATCCCCATCTCTATAGTAGGACAATATTGACGCTGCTTGTATGGCCAATTAGCAGCTGTAATTCGCGGTGTTTAGAACCCATTTGCCGGTGTACTTCAGGCAGGAAAGTTGTCTCGAGTGTGTCTGATGGTCTGATCCTCCAGGTCTCTGGTACTCCATGCATTGCCAGCTGTCCAATGAATCCAATGATACCACATGATATATCATACCAAACATTTCAGGCAACACGGAATATAAAATGTGCCTGGTACTTTTCCCCGAGTCCTGAAAAGGTTATCACTACATGCATTTTGTTTTACGGAAAGTAGGCGTTGTATGGGCAGTTGTGTATAAAGGGGGAAATGGGGGCCCGCCCCCACCAACTCCGCCCCTCCCGCTGGAAGCCTCTCCCCGTGTGCCCCCTCCCCTCATAATCTCAGAATTAGGGGAACACAAGACTGCCCCTTTTTTATTGTTAAAAAACAACTGAGTGTTCAGGAAAATGAGCCCCTTCCTCCAAAAGTGCCTCGGTCCCTGTGTGCCGCAACGTTGTCTGCCTTTTTTCCTACAAAACCGTGCACCATCTCGTGTCTTTTTGAAAAAATCTACGCTCCGCGATCCGTGCTTGCAGTGTTGCGATCCGTACTGCGTGGTCGACTCAACTGGTCCAGTGCTACTGTATCATGACGACGAACCCCCGCCTCTACCCCGCAGGGGAACTACCCTAGTACCTGATGAGGCGTGGATGTGCAGTGACACCGATGCTCAAGCAGGGCGTCATATAGGTTCAACTTCTGGGGAGGGGGGGGGGGCACCTGAGGGTGCATATTTTTTTCAGGGGGGCACTGAAGGCAAGTGTTGAATTTAATATTTTAAATGGTGAGGTGGGGTGGGGGTACGGGTGGGGAGGAGGGGGAGAGGAAGGCACGGACATCCCCCGTGCCCCCGGTATTTTACAACACTGTGCTCAAGCCTCAACAATATCTCGCTTTTCCAACCTTCCCCATTTTGAGGGGAACTAGTTTAATTTTTGTTAGCTTTCTTATACCGAGTATTGGAACAGAAATATAGGCTAAAGGAGAAATAAATAACCTTCACATATAAATACACAGAGAAGAAATGCTTCATCTGATCAGAACATTTGTTACAAAAAAACACAGTATGAGAGGGGATTTAGGAAAATAGGGTTGAACTTTAAACAACTCAATTCACCATTGGGCATTGATTAAGGGAGATGATACAGAACATGACACAGTATACATGTTCATGTAAAGAAAAGGACTGACTACGGAGTCCTCGGGTTGTGTGCTCGGATAAAGCACTGGCAGACTTGAGTTCTGGTTTATTTTCCTCTCAAAAAGGCACAATCCTGACAAAATGGGCTGGTGGAGAGACTGATCTGCCCACAGCGGGTTAATGCATGGACCCATATTATCATTATATTCAGTGCACTGGTGTGAAGTTAGACAGCATGGATGCAGAAACTCTTTGTTCAAGTCTCCCAACCTTCGGTACGTCATGTACATTGCTTATGGGTCGTCCGTGATTGTTCTGGAAAATACAAAATATACCAGGATATATCATTAACATTACAAGGACAACTATTAAACATCCAAAATCGTCATAGTGATGAAGCTTCAACTAGGCATAAAATAACGCACAAGTGTCGAACGTGTACATGTATGGTCACATAGCCCTCCATGTGATATGTGTGTATATCATAGAGCTGTATAATACATATGTATATGGAGATCAATGGGTGCATCGCAGTGGCAAGACTCCTATTTCGGACACCTCGTGTGGCGTGACCTGCTTTGAATGCCTAGCCCAAACACTAGAAATTATAATATCTATGGATTCAAAACAGTATGATTTATAAGGAGTAATTAACGATTACAAATATCACAGACTGTACAGTTAACAATAAACCTCAAAACAGGATTTAATTAAGGAAATGGGTTGCTCACCATCCGTAACCAGCACCGCGACTTCACTTCAGCTTCCCGCGGTTACTGCATCGGCTCGCTTGATGGCGCCCTTCATATGATTAAAGTCGAACAGCACATGCACAGAACACAGAATTTCAGAATAAAAATCCAAATCGACCTCGCACAAAATCTTGGGCAGGGATAAGTAACAGATGAAATAAGATTAAATTTTCTCGCCTAAAATAAAAATGATTAAAATAACATTTTATTTTTAGAAGACCGAAATTTAGTGGACTGTGTCAAAAAAGAAATCCCTTTTCCACTGACACCTATTAATCGTGAACAAGAGGAAAAACATGAATACTTCAGAAGAGCACTTAGTTACAAAATAATACAACACAGAATAGATTCGCTCGTTGTAACTTGTACTGACCGACCCTGCAAGGGTTGTGGGTCCGAGTGAACAGAAAATATATCTGGCGCCCTCTACATAAGTAATGCGTCATGGGGGCGCCCTGTGATCTTGACATGTTTCAACAGCTCCCGGCCACACATCCGTCCGCGGAGCGCATGAATAATAATTCAAATTATTCTATATTAATCTGGGAGCAATGGAATTGGGGGCTTGAATATATATGGTGCTGCACCTCTGGCCAGGCCTGGGTGCGGCTTCAAATTCTGAGCATTTTGGATGCGATTGGGTTCAAAAGTGGCGTCATTTGTGGGGCCATGTTGTGGAGGGATCCTTTTTCCAAATGGCGACTTTTCCAGTTTGGGAAATATCATTCGTTTTAGGGTTGGTGTTATCCAACAAGTTAATGGTCAACCCACCAAAATTGAAAGGAAAATAAAAGACGACATGTTGATCATCGTTTTTCTGTGCAGCCTGAACACCTGCAGTTATGTGAGAGTTCTAAGTATTTTAAAAGGAATTTTGAAGTATGGCAATTTATCACTGGTGTCTATGGGAATTTATTTACTGGGTTGCACCTTTCAGACTTTTTTTATCTGTACACTTGTTCAGTCCTGAACCACAAATTGGATTGTCGCAAATAAATTGTATGCAACTTTATACTACGGATGTTTTTCCCAGACGAAGATTGAAATGATTTGGTGGTACAGCAGGTCATGGATTTGATCAATCTCTATGCGCATTCGGTTCCTTACCCCAAGAGCGATTTTTTTTTCAACTTACATGTACAGCGTACCTTTCTTTTCTGCGCGTGTGATGTGACCAAACAAGGGTGTAGAAAAAATATTGCTTCTATTATAAATTTCTAAATTGCAATTTACAATTATTGTTTAATGAGCACAGCTTACTTACGTATAAATTATTGTAAGTACACGAATACCCAGTTCATTACTGAACAGACATTTATACACATTTAAATTTGAAATACGGAAAATGTGTTTTAAATTCCACTTAAAATGTACACATTAATGTATGCACGTGGTATGTCTACACCGTATTTAAAAAAAGGCTCTGCTTGATACACATTTTAGAGGAATATAGACCATAACAGTTTGTAAATGTACAGTCGTCTCCATTTTTTTTTTTACAGCTGCGCATGCATTTCATGCTAGTTAATTGATCAATAATATAAGTAGGCACAGATACGAAACATGTAAACATTATTCACCACACATGACAATAGAGCTGCCAGAGCTTTGAATAGAAGTTTATCTACAATATATAATAACTGAATCCGATAGCATTTTTATAAAATGTGCACATCTAACTATACGTTTGTTTTTATGGGCTTCATTCCTTCCATTTTTGATACAGAACTTTTGAAAAATGTAGAAAGGTTTGTTTATTTTATGTACATGCCCTTTAGGCCCCGAGATTTTCACTCTAAATCCAAGTATACTGTTTCAGGTACAGAGCACTTCATACAGAGGAGAGCAGAGGCCCAATACATCAGTGCCTTTTAATATGAAACAGTACCCCACTGATGGTTCACACCTATTCAAAACTATATCAGGATGACGTCAGCATGACATCACGACCATACCTCTTCGCTCACGGGTTTGTGGGATCATGATTGGCCAATTTTTGTGCACGTGGTTTCGAGAGTCACTCAGAGAGGGGCTCAGAAACCAGACATAATCTTTTCAAATATGATTCTCCAAAAGTGAATGACTATAAAATGAGCAACTCGAAGAATTGCATCCCGTTCGCAAACTGTCCAATATTAAGGATCAGGTGTGAAACCCGTGGCCAAAGGTGCAGTCGTCTAGCTCGAAACGTGCACGTTGGACTGAGACTGATTGAAATATGCACAGGGCATTGCCACTCTATAAATGTATTATTTTGTGTTTTTTTTCCCGTGAAGACTATAGGTAGACTGCAAGTACAAGACCAGGTATAGTCTACAAGTTGTCTGTATTTATCACTTGAAGTATGTATTAATTAAACCTAAACATTTCAAGAGTACTTCATTGAAACAGTACGGTATGGTATATTATTTTCTATTGGCGTGGTCGTGACTCGCGATATTTTTAATTTACACAGCAGTTGCGTCCGTAAGAGAACAGGTTATATCACCCTCAACAAGAGGTCGGTTCTCATCTGCATCTGGCTGGTAACGAGACTCAAACCCATCTGGCGTGGTCCACTCTTCAGCAAGGGGCATGGTCAAGTCGTCCGGGCGTGCATGCTTGCGTCGCCATAGGACGCCACCAACAACCAAGACCAACACGATGAGCAGTACTGAGAGAACTATCGCAGCTATGGCGCCTCCCGATAAACCTGTAGAGTGAAAAGGTGTGATACTACATTATATGTGACCAGGTATACTGCTTTTAAGCGAGCGTGCGGTGAGATGCAAGCTTGCGTTGAAAAATGTTGTTTTCAAAAACAAAAGGTTTAGTCGAGTCTGCCAAAAAAAAACACCCCAAATCCGAAAGAATTAGATAAAAGTAGTTTGACACATTGCAAGCAATCAAAGATTTTGTATCTCGCCGGTAGCGTGTTAACTTCGATGCAAAATCAAAAAGGGAATTAGGGAAACTATTTTAGGGTTTACTTTAAAGAATTACCTGGGCTTTCAGGAGATGATGTACTCTGGGGCATAGCGGTGGTTACTTTCGCTTCTGCAGGTGTCGTTGGAGGAGGCTCAGGCGATGTTGTAGGCGGCATAGGGGCGGTTACATTGGGTTGGTTTGTGGTCATCAGTGTTTCTGAAGAGTTTTGGGTGGTATTTGTTAAACCAGTCGTGGACTGTGCAGGTGTCGTTGGAGGAGGCTCAGGCGCTGTTGTAGGCGGCAAAGGGTTGCTTGCATTGGGTTGGTTTGTGGTCATCAGTGTTTCTGAAGAGTTTTGGGTGGTATTTGTTAGATCAGTCGTGAACTGTGCAGGTGTCATTGGTGGAGGCTCAGGCGCTGTTGTAGGCGGCATAGGGTTGGTTGCATTGGGTTGGTTTGTGGTCATCAGTGATTCTGAAGAGTTTTGGGTGGTATTTGTTAGATCAGTCGTGAACTGTGCAGGTGTCATTGGTGGAGGCTCAGGCGCTGTTGTAGGCGGCATAGGGTTGGTTACATTGGGTTGGTTTGTGGTCATCAGTGATTCTGAAGAGTTTTGGGTGGTATTTGTTAGACCAGTCGTGGACTGTGCAGGTGTCGTTGAAGGCGCCTCTGGCTGCATAGGGATGGTTACATTCGATTGAATTGTGGTTGTCATTGATTCTGAATTCAATGGTGTCGTTGCTGTTGAAACGGGAGGCTCTTTGGTCGAGGCCATCGCTTCTTGTGTTGTCGTCAATCGTTCAGTACTGGTAGTCGTTGGTGGTGTACCGCTATCTGGGGTGCAGGAAACAAAGCTGATGTTAAATTCATGTCAGTCTAACGGGACGAAGTAAGAGTTGCACCACACTGCCGTAGGGAAAGCAAACTCTTAAAGGTTTTGGTTTAGATTCGATCCGACTCTTTTCGAAGTCGTAATGGCACCACTCGTATCTTAGTCACTTTTCCAGGCTATTTTGAAATTGTCATTGTGACAAATAATAGTGTCAATTTACACAAAATATTGTCATTTTGATCTAGAAGCGTATTTGTTTGAATTTGACACGGGAATTTTTAAGAGTGCAGGTAAGGGCATTGATATAATTATATTACTTTAAATTGTGTGCACAAAAATCCAGTGAATCCAATTACATTCACGTGATCCGATTTTACTGACAAGTAACAGAACAAATACAAATTGCATTTACAAAATGTGCTGTTATGGCATGACTTCTTCAAAAATATATTTAAAAAGAAGGCCTTAAAATGCACAAACTTGTGCAAATCCTCACTGGATTTGGCCTCAATTGTGAGGTAAAGACGACAACACCACTGTCATTGCTGTGTAGTACATATCCCATCATGGCTCTTAACATTCCCAATAGCCATGCACAATCCTTTTTTTAGTGTCACAAATACTCGTGGGGTTAACTCTCTTTCACAGATTTGTTTACGGGGGTATCCTGTCCAAACATATATTCCAGTTTTTCTTTCGGTTTCAGGACAATGGTTCTGGCACGAACCCGACAGAAAACAAAAAATTGTGGAAAAAGTGGCTAGACATTAGAGCTCGCCAGTCTACAGGCTTCACTGGGTTTATTTGGGCCACAGAAGGCGATCCTTAAGAACTGATCATTGCTGGGAAGATTTCTTTATTAACTTCCGATGATCTCCTCATCAGTACCGATACCCCCCCCCAAGCAAACTACACTCAGCATGAACTGAAATCAGCTTTATTTGACAAAACGTAGCACAGACATGATACTGACGTCAGATTCACTTAGATTCACTATGTACGTACACACTGTGAAATATTGAAAAACGCTGTTGATATCACATTGTCTGCGTGAACCGAAAGTCAAATTCACTCGTTTTACTTTATGCATTGGTGAATAATAACAATATAACCGCTGCAATTCCTGTGAAGCAATAGGGTCACAACTCACGAGGCTTAACCCTTTCATCGGACTATAACCTTTTGAGGAAATAACTCGAAAAATAGAGAGCTGTTTTGTGTGTACACGATTCGGGCATCCGGTGTAACTAGAAAACTACAGTATTCCAGGAATGTTATTTTTAAAAGTATATAGGCCTACATACTGTACTTAAAAAAAATAAAGTGAGAAACAAAACTGTTGGGCCTATTTTTTTTTATTATAAACAAAAACGGAACAGCGCTCCATAATCACCACAGGGTGTGTCATTAAGCCAACGCACGGTGGATAGAAACAAATACATGTACTTAATCACTAAATATTTCGAGCAAATAGAACGGTCATTACAAAGTGACTGAAGACGACAAGCAAGCAAACAACTCATACTTTAAATCAGCTAAAATAGGCCTATAGGAATTATCGCCGAGATTGTTGAAAATCTCATGGGCGATAACATATCCGTTTCTCCTGCATTTTCATGATTCCAATAATGTCACTGTGACACATTGTCTCTTAGTTGTTGGTTCCCCGTTTCCAGTCCGTATGACTCTTTTTGTAAATGTAAGTACTATTGAGATTGAGGGTTATGGATTCAAGACTAATTTATGGATTTCCACTACCAATCGACATTATATCGGCCTACCTTGTGTGGCTGATGCCAACGTAGCATAAATAAGAAGAACCAGCAATGTGGCTAGTACATGAAGCACCAGTAACTGGGTTCGACCCTTCATCTTGTTTCCGACGGGCTGGTATTTATGATAAGTCAATGATTCTCCTGCCGAGTTTAAAACACTTCCTGAACTACTTGCGCGACAGTGTGGATTTGAAGTTCTTGTTTGATGTCACGGGTCAAAGTGACGCCCCGATTTTGATGGAACCCCAGCAGCCTGCCAGTAAAATACGACCGTTATTGTACAGGAAGCACAACTTTTAATACATGGCGAAACAACTCCAACTAAAAAACGTCGCTTACATGTAGCCTCCATTCCAGACGCAGGGGGTTTGCGTTCTGCTACACCCCATGCGTAGTATATGACGAAAAAATAGCGCAATAGGAAAGAAGACAAGTTACACGACTAAAAATCCATGCTGCAGCCGTGCAATTAAAAAAAAAAAGCAGTCCAGACGGCTACTTTCGGTACAAGCGTTTGTATAACGTTTGTAAAAGTAGGCTTTGCACCAACACTGTTGACACATTACAAAGCGACTGAAAAGAGTTTAGGACCAGTGATCTGTGACGAATCCACAATAATGGTGACCTCAACAAATTCATTCTTTGCTTTTTTCTTTCGCTTTTGCGAGTACAGAATCCACCGACTGTGAACAAGTTCACGAATTGGCTTTTCGCTTCCAAAGTTAGTTGGGGAGGCGGTTGGTTGGGGGGGGGGGGGGGAGATATGGCGATAAACCTCTGGCCCGGACTCGGGGCTTCCGATTCTGAGCATTATGGATGCAATTTGGTTCGAAAGTGGCACTATTTTGCCATGTTGTGGAGGGATCTTTTATCAAGATGACCTCTTTTCGGCTTTGGGAAAAATAGGGGTCATCTTCTTTGAGTGAGAATTACTCGAAAAGTCAATGGTCAACCCACCAAAAAAATGAAAGAAAATCAAAGATGACATGTTGATTATCATTTTTATGTGCAGCTTGGATACCTGTGAGAGTTCTGAGTATTTTTAAAAAGTATGGAATTTTAGCACTAGTGTCTGTGGGAATTGTTGAGCGGTTGGTCCGAGCGAACAGAAAATAAAGTTGGCGCCCTCTACATGTATAGTGATGAGTCATTTGAGGGCGCCCTGTTATCTTGACATGATTCAACTTACAGTTCCGTGAACAAATTGCAACCCAGTGGATCGACCGCAAATCAGTCCACGAAGCTCATGAATAAATGTTATTAATTCAAATTATTCTATATTATTCTGAGAGCAATGAAATTGGGGGCTTGAAGACATATAGTACTGCGCCTCTGGCCAGGGTGGGGCTTCCAATTCTGAGCATTTTGGATGCAATTGGGTCTGAAAGTGGCGCCATACATTTGTGAAGCCATGTTGTGGCGGGATCCTTTTTCAAAATGGCGACTTTTCCAGTTTGGGAAAAACATTCGTTTTAGGGTTGGTCTTCTTTGGGTAAGAATTTCTCCAACTAGTTATTGGTCAACCCACCAAAACTGAAAGGAGAATGAAAGACGACATGTTGATCATTGTTTTACTCTGCAGCCTAAACACCTGCAGTTATGCGACAATTTTAAGCACTTCAAACAGAGTTTTGAAGCATGGGAATTTATCACTGGTGTCTATGGGAATTTACTTACTGGGTGGCAGCTTGAGACTTGTTTTATCTGTACCCTTGTTCAACCCTGGACCACAACTGCGTTTTCGCAAATAAATTGTATGCAATTTTATGCTACAGGTTTCTTCCCAGACGAAGGCCCAGCAGCATTTGATAAATCTCGATTGCGTTTGATTCCTTACCCCAAGAGCGATTTTTTTAAAACTTACAACGTAGTTTTCTTTTCTGGGCGTGTGATGTGACCAAACAAGGGTGTAGAAAAATATTGCTCCTATTATTAATTTCTAAATTGCAATTTACAATAATTGTTTAATGAGGATAGCTTACTTTACGTATGAAGTATTTCAATAATAATAAAATTAGGATAGCTTACTTTACGTATGAAGTATTTTAATAATAATAATAATTATAATAATAATGCTTACCTGGGATTGGACATTTGGGAGACATCCCCATAGACTTGTGCACAAAATTTTTCAAACTTAAATGTGCCCTAACCCAATATTCCCTTGTCCTTTTCCACGAATTTCGGTATGTTTACTAGCTAGACCACGAGCAACAAATACAATCTAACTGCGACGATAACATTTTGCCTCTAAAGGGGGCTGCCCTAATGACCGATGTCTCCCATCGTGCAAAGAAATTACGATAACGTGTCTCCTTAATTGTACCCTTACACGTATAGTAATACTAATAGTTAACAAGGGTTTCTTATATAGCACTTTCAACTACGATCAAAGTGCTTTACATTATTATTGTAAGCACACTAACACCCAGGTTATTACTGAACATACATTTATACACATAACAAGTTGAAATACGTAAAATGTGTTCTAACTTTCCACTTAAAACAAAAGTACACCTTAATTTATGCACGTGGTATGTCCAGTCTACACCGTTTTAAAGGCTCTGTTAGATACACATTTTAGAGGGATATACAGACCATAACAGTTTGTAAATATAAAGTCGTCTCCATTTTTTTTAAGAGCTGCACTTCATGCTAGTTAATAAGCAACGAAACAAGTAAACACAATAATAATAATAATAATAATAAGTTAAAATTTATATAGCGCCCGTCCGTGAAGAAAATCATGCTCCAAGGCGCTTTCTATATATAAAAGTTAAGACACAGGATAAAATTACAATGAAATGTATACTTAAGAAGATTGAAGCCCGGTTCATACCCCACACAGATAAAAATACATGCGATGTACATGTAAACTTAAAAAGAAACGGAACCCCGCCTCGCCCCAGCACCAACGCGTAGCCCGAACCGGCTTTAAACAATGTAAAACCATTCCACGCAAACATTCCACGCAATAGAGCTGCTAGAGCTCGAAGTAAAAGTTTCAATAGAATAACTGAATCCGATCTATGATCAGGTTGAAATTTGGGCATTTTTGTAAAAATGTGTACCTCAAACTATACATTAGTAATCACATGTAGCCTCCATTCCAGACGCAGGGGGTTTGCGTTCTGCTACACCCCATGCGTAGTATATGTCGAAAAAATAGCGCAATAGGAAAGAAGACAAGTTTGCACGACTAAAAATCCATGCTGCAGCCGTGCAATTAAAAAAAAAAGCAGTCCAGACGGCTACATTCGGTACGAGTGTTTGTATAACGTTTGTAAAAGTAGGCTCTGCACCAACACTGTTGACACTTTACAAACCGACTGAAAAGAGTTTAGACCAGTGATCTGTGACGAATCCACAATAATGGTGACCTCAACAAATTCATTCTTTGCTTTTTTTCTTTCGCTTTTGCGAGTGCAGAATCCACCGACTGTGAACAAGAGTTCACGAATTCACAAAAGTTCCTAAGAGTTGATCGCCATATCAACCATAGTATCAACCAATATTCATTGGACAGCGCCCTCTATAAAACTATCACTTATACTACATGATTTAGTTTAATGACAAACTATTCCCTCGCTCCCCTACACCATCCAAAGGCCATGGTGACGTCGATTTTTCCCTGATCTCTCATTGGCTGGATTGTGCATTGCCCATGAACCGGGGTTGACAACTCACGTCCCACAATGCATTGCGGCGTCTGCGTTTGTTTACAGGATTTTGTGAATTTGCGCAAGCCCTCTTGAAAAAGGACGAGCGAACAAAAAACAAAACGGATGTGTTATGGAGTCCTGAATGTAAGAAGCAACGTATAGTGCCCCATACTGCGTATCCGTGTATGTGCCGCCATTGCGTGACCTGCAATTGCAGAAACATTAACCTCGCGGTTAGATGCAATCGGGTCAAGGCGTATAGTTCAATAATCGTTTTTGTCTTCGGCAAAATAAGTGTTACTGAAATTATAGTTTGCTTCGTAATAAACCCTCAACACGGAGCAACATGTGAAGCAGACGCGACAAACAAGTGTTAGTGCCAGATTCAAGGAGTGCATGCAGTTGGCGTGTAACTGAACGCACGTCCTCTTTTCGATATAGGCCTAACCCTTTCGTTAGCAAAAGGTGAATCCAGCGCAAACATGTTCTTTTCGAAATCACTTAAGAATATAATAACTGGACAACCAGGATAAGTGAGCTAAACGAACGAATTATTTGTCATTTCAAGTGTATGATGCGATTTCCGCACTGTTTACATTTTACTGAAATCACAGTCACGATTTTGTTTTCGCCGAGCCTTGTTGGGGTGTCGAGCTGATGTCCTTGGCTCATATTGAACCAGAACACGGACTTCTACTTGCACTCTTCTCCAAATTTAATAAGAGAAAAAACCTTACTTTTACTCTAAGGAAATGAGTGGAAAGTTCGTCCCTTCAATTCACAGCATCAATTCATTCAGCAACCTTAATGATTTGCTAATTTAGCTTGGTAAACAAAACCAAACACAACAAAAACAAAAGGATTACTGTGTTGATTCTTCTCTTTAAAACATGTTTATTTACGTCGATGGGAATATTAATCGAGTTTATACCTAGCAAAACATTTGTACCGATATGGCATTATGACTGAAGGAAAACCGATTCGGATGAGAATGAAAAAAAAATGGTCTAATGGCCGAGGGTTGCTCTCGTATACAAGATCCACGTTTTACTTTTCTTCAGTTCTGACAAAAAAAGAGTCAGGATTTATCAAAGCAAAATATCCATTCCTCCCAGCCGCCGGCAATTATTCTTTCATGATGGGTTGGAATTAAGGCTCGTTGCCGTAGCTAGCGCCGGCAGCGGAGGGGGAGATTTCTCATCAGCGCCCGGCTTCCGGGACAGGTGCAAACCCGCTCCGCAGCACTCCAATCCTCGGAGTTTCGTGGTTTTTTTTCCCCCTCTCAGCGCGCATATTGCACGTCCCAAGCCAAATTGTTTACTCGTATTGTGCATTGATTATAGGGCGAGGGACGGGTGACATGTAGGGGATTGTTGGGAACGCAAATCATTCACTTACGGCTTTTTCCCCTTCACTTTTATTCCTCTCCTCTTCTGATGACTGGCTATATTGCATTTCATCAGTGATGAAAATCTATGACCATGTAGTTGTGACCATTACACGTATGTTTTGTCACTTTTAGAAGGTGCTGATATCAATCAGTGGACTTGGGTGAGTCATGCAGAAATCTCTGGTGTAGTGTGCAATGGAGATTCATGCGCTCATCAGAGTCAAAATCCTCGCAGAAACAAACGAAATATGTTTAGTACAATTTATTTTAACGTGCTGGATCTTTTTGAGCTCATGCAAAATTGTTAGTGGCGCCTGGCTAATTCTCTGTCGTGACAAACTAGTATTCCGATTGCCAGCACTGTGCAAGGTCTAAATCATGTAATTTGATAAAAGGGCCTAATTTTATAGACTAGCTTTTATTTTTTTCAATATTATTTACATTTGTATTTTGCTAATATCTCCTCATTTGGGTTCCTCATTGTATGAGTTGTGCACGATTATATGCTTTCAAATTTCGAGGGACCTAGTTGAAATAGAAAGTTAATATTTACATAAATACATAACTACCAACTTATTCGTTGATTTGTTTTGTTTAAAACATGAAAACAGTTATTGAACTGAAGTTCCAATAATGACTATGTTTGAGCCAACCGACCCCCATCCTTCTCCTCCCCACCCCTCCCCTCCCCCACCCCCAACAAAACCCCCAAACATTGTGTGTGTTTTTTAATCAGTGATAAGGGAAGAATGAAGTACATGTATTTAGCCCAACCCGACCTTAAAAAGATCTCGTTCCACAGGCCAATACCTCAGCCACTACTTAAAACACTCAATGAGATATCAGACTACCGCAGGTGTTAAGATATGTACAATTATTAACAATTTATTGCATGAAGAATTGCAATCAACTACACCAAATACCAGATAGAAAGAACATTCCAATAATTAAAATAGTTTATCATAGCTATTGCACTGTACACGGTTTATTTGTTTGCATTTAATCTCCTGACTTTTCACTAATTTAAAAGAGGGAGAACAGACGTTGGATTCTTGGAATCGTGTGGAGATTTTGTTTGTTCAAATTCGTTCAGAACAAACTGTTCCGAAACAATATTTATATTGATACATCCTTTTTGATACGTAACAGTACCAGTGACTTCAGTGGGGGTGCTGAAGGCAACGCATTTTATTCTCTATATTTGTACAGGTCCAGTGTATCTCCCTCCAAGGTCATAAAATGTAAAGAAAATTCCATCCATTTTATCCTCCCGATTTTAGCTGTTGCTGAGAGAGGCAAACGGCAGGTCAATTCGAGATTAATTTGATGAAGTCATCTGTTGACTCTAATAACGTCAAGCAACTCCCGATTTAAAGTTAAATCTTAATCGGGAAGCAATTCATACTTAATTCGGTGGGATTTCATCTGTGTGAAGGCTTAAACAAATATTCTGTTAATCGTGTGAACGAAATGAATTACTTTCAGTTTGTTAATGTTGATTGCCTTAACCAATTATTATTGCCTTTTGTGTCATGGAGGACCAAAGACGACGAAAATGATAACCAATATAAAGGAGTCCTTTTATGATTTCCACATTCTCGGTCACATCTTTAGCTGAGCTCTGATGATCGACAAAATGTCAGAGATAATGAATGTATTTCTTGTAAAGGTTAGAAAAAAGAGAGAAAAGTTTGTTTGAGGTGAAAATAATGTGTCTCGTTATTCGTATCGATGAAGCCAGAAGAGAAAACTAACTCTTTTGGCAAAACCTTTCCAGTTCATATATAGACTGGCATGTGTGATTATGGGATCACAGGATAGCTTACTGAAATAAAATAAAAGGTATTATCGAAACTCCAAAACATCAACTACAGTTCCTTGACAGAAAGACTCTGTGATTTTTATCAACCAATAAAAGCATCAGATTCAAGTTTATTGCGACGTCTTGAGTCAGATACTAAGCTGGTGGTATGGCCTTCCAATGGTGGCAGCGGTGGGATTCATACTGGAGGTTGCAGGATTGTAGTAGCAGGCTCCACAGAAACTTGGATAGGTGGCGGCATAGGTGCAGCCGGGTGTCGGAAGACCCATACTCCTGTTGACCAAAACAATGGAAGATTAACTGTTAATGTCTGAAAATAATGCCGATCAGTACACTTCACGAGGCCAAGGTCCTACATATCGCTTTGTTTCGAGTACGAGTAGCCTATAATTCGCAGGACTTTAGATTAATTTGATTTTAGTTCGGGGCTGTTCCATTACTTAACAAACCACACAGCCAAAGCACCATCTCGACATAACTTGTTAATTTGTTGAAAAGTATATCAACCCTATTCTCAACAAATCGATTCACGTGTTATACAATCTGGTAATCATTCAGGACAACCTCTTAGCAATAATGATCTCATTACATCGTCATAAACAATATCGACCTTCTATAATTAGATTAGCCATTTTTGAATTAACGCTACACAAATCGAGTGTACGGACACGAGTGCCCCTGCCTAATACGTTTGTCACACCTTGCGGTATCGATTTTTCCTGATGCCTTATTTCCCTTCGCAATTTATTTTGTTTGGTAAAATGAAGTGGTACTGGTCGACTTTATAGTTCAGACACCTAACACACACCTTCGTGACACGAATGTAGGTACTTTGTGGCTATTTTAATATGACATTCTAAAATTAAAATGTTGGTGAATGTTTTGACTTATCTCGAGGCTTATTCTTAATATATTATTTTGCGGGACGTTGGGGCAGTTGCCAAATTTCGAGGATGTTTATGAGGTATGAAATAATTGAAGCTATAAATAATATACTTTTTACTTAGTCGACTTTTGTCAAACGGAATCAAGTGAATCAGATTAGTGACAGTTTCACAGTTACATCTCTTCCGTTCGTGAAAAAGCGAAAAAGCGTTCAAATTTTGCAATTCATTTGATTTGGACCAGGACTATTTGGATCATTCCCATTATTTATTTCATGTGCCAATTTAAAAAAAAAAGACGTCGACCATGTTTTAGCTACAAAATCAACTGCCAAAGTGCCAAGCATGCTACATTATGAATATTTTGTTTCAATGAAAACAAGGGGGATTGTTTTTATATTTTCCGTATCAAACGACAGCGTATTTGCCACAAATATGGCTTGTTAATGTAGGCTAATGAGTTAAACAGTTGGGAAAGACAGTTTGAGTAGATTTTTCACTACTGGACCACGAGTAAAATTCAATTAGGTATCCCAATTGAGTTTTAAAGAAGTTAGGAAACGAATGACATCTCATTCACATCAGAAAAAAAATCGTTACATTTTTGACGATTAACAAAAAGCCAAAAATTAGCAAAAAAATCGGGATAAATATTTTAAACATTTGTATGCATTCTTTTTGCATTTAATCTTATAACGACGGAAAATATGCTGACATATTAAAGGTAGTGTTCACATATACATATAATGAAGGCCAAAAAGCTCCAAAAGTTAGGCAAGGTGGTGCTCTGTGGGGAAGCATTGTAATGATTGTAAAATTGTAGATGAGTGGTCCTTCAAGATATTAAACTGACAGTAATTGTTAATTTTATGCCACGGTTACATTTTCCGCTTTAAAATACTCTTTACTTGTTTTTCCCCCTTCCTCCTTACCTGTATTGTTGATCAAGTTGTGCCTTCTCAATCCTCTTATCCTTAGCCCGGCGATTCTGGAACCATATCTTGATCTGCGTCTCCGTCAAGCTGAGTAGCTCAGCCAGCTCGACCCGCCTCATCCGCGTGATATACTCGGTGCGATGGTATTCCATCTCCAGCTTGAGGGTCTGATCGCTGGTGAAGGTGGTTCGCTGGCGCCGTTGCCGAGTCTCCTTGCGTCGCCTGCGAGTGACTGAGATGTCAGAGGGAGGGACGAAACGGAATAGTTTCAATTTTGGGAAGAAAATGGTCGCAAATTCCTCTGCAAGGCCCATTTGAGCCAATGATAAATGCCTAAATGTAGAATTTGTCGATGAATATTAGAAGTCCCTCATTTTATTTTGCACAAGATGAAAGCAAGAAAGTGCATCACAATAAGTGATCAGGTTTTGTAAAAAAAATGTATTTAAATTTTTAACACACGATCCCGATTTATTATTGGAATTTATTTGGTAGCCTGGTAAGTGACAAATGTCACCACCGTATACTTACATATGCTGTTGGAAGTCCCAAATGACATACTGGGCGATCTGCTACAATTCAGGTTAGGAATCCCTGTCAGATCCCCGTATCGTAAGGTAGCCGCAGCTGCAGCCGCTGCCGCACTGGAGGCCGCAGCGACTGCCGAGGCAGAGTCCATAAGCTTGGAATACACGTGAAAGCTGCTCCCGGAGTGGCTGTGTATCGACGGTACGGCTACGGCTCTGTCCCCTGGACCCATCTGATCTCGGCCCGCCGGCTCCCGTTTGACTGGACTCTCGCACCCAGGGGTTACGAGGGATTTGAAGGCCGATAACCGGGGCTCCACTCCCAGTGTCAGATTCGTTGCGAGTAGCAGCGGGGACGGCGGGCTCGGGTTGACGGGAGACGGCGGCGTTTTCCCCGGCGTGTCACTCACAGAAGACCCCTCCATCTTCGGACGCTGAGATTTACTATAAGGCTCTGTATAGCAGTCGGCGAGGCCCTGCCGTGTAAACTAAGCTGCGTACCGTCTGACTCAATAGGCCTCATCGGCTAAACCGTTGAGTACATGAGTGAAAATGTGTTTGACAATATGTAATAACCGCGTGTAATTTGTTCACTCGCCCCTCCGCCCCGCCTACCGTTTTCACAGTAATCCTCGGTCCTCATCGTAATTTATATTATATGCGATGTTGACTTGTGCTGGCTTCACAAATGTGATGGCCGTTGATTACACAACTAGCCGTCCACATTGGTGATTGACAGCCCTCCGCGTGCCCTCATTGGTGCAAAGTGCATCCGGCGCGCATAGCTCATTTGCATACTTAATAGGAATGGCAGGTGTTTTTTTCGGCCGTACTTAATGGCGTTTTTCGGTTGCGGAGCTTGTTTTCATTGTCAGCGCGCTTGTGTAGAAAAGTACGGGGGCAAAAAACGAAGAGTTATTTCGCCCGTGCCTGATTCGCCGGAAGTGCTTAGGCCGTGATAAATGCATGGGCCATACATCGCATTCCCTTTTGCATTCCTTTTAAAGGAGCGAAATTGTGCAAAAAGGAGGATCTTCATTCAAAACACGCCACATTTTCCTGCGGGAAAAAAAGAAAGAAATATCAGCAGCTATCGCAGCGAGGTTAAAATGTTTTAAAGTTGTGGATCGTTAAAACACAGATATTTCAATCTGATTTTTTTTTTTAAGAAAACTTTCCTCTAAATCTATTTTCCAAAACCAAATTCTCAAAACAAGTGTTTTCACGCAACGTCACCTGTATAAGCTGCGACCCTACTCTTTGTTCCCTGATGGGACCACTTTGGTTCTCATATTTGATATCAATACATTTAAGTGCACAAGTGCAGACTTCACTGAACAAAGATCCAATGCCGCGATGACATGCGATCAGAAATCACTAGTAATCGGTCTGATGTCTCCTACTGTTGACTAAATGAAATGATCGGAAGACACTTCAGCATTAGGCAGCTCAATGTGTTTTCTGACTGGATGGTCTCTAATAAAGACTCTTCTAGTGTATCGACCCAGGAGAACACCGGTCAAAAAAACCTTGCCGTGCACCACGCCGCGTGGACGGAGTCATGCCCGCAGTCCCACGGCCCCGGTGTTGCTTTAAAGTACGCTAGACTCATCCTCGTCATCGGGCGAGCTAGTCCCGGGCCGGCGCGAGCGCCAGGTGTTTTTTCGCCGCTCGCGCCTGAAATTCCCCGTCCATCAGCCCGAGAGGAGGAAACGAGAGGTAATTTCATTACAGACCAATAAAATAAAGCCATCGATTTTCCTTAAATTTTCGCTTCTCTCCCTCCATTATATGGCTCAACTGTACGGTTAAGCGCAATTGACGGGCAGAACGCTTGAGGCAGTAAATTACTCTCGGAGAATACAACCAAAATAGCTCGGAGTAAGGCATTCGACCAGCTTTCACACAAGTCCCTTTTATTATCATTATTATTTCTGATACAACCTGATTCATTGTATATACAAACTATTGTCCGGTTAATGGGATTAGTCATTTATAACTTCTGCGGCTCTGCCCTCAGAGCTTCGTTATGAGACATGCATGGCAATTACAACTGGTTGATTAATTAATGGAACTAAAGTGCAAATCGAACTCGTACACAGGTGAGAAAAAACCTTTTGAAATACATTTTAAAAATTCATTCAGTATTTTGATTCAAAGAAACAATCTTAAAATCCCAAACATAATTGTTTGGTTACAAGAAAATACACTAGTCATTTTACTATTATTACACCATTACAAAAAACACACCAAATTATCCATAGAAAAACGCAACCGTTATTTCTCTAATGGCTGCTCATTAGAGAAATTACTGTTCTTAAATAATTTAACCAAATTCAAATTCACCTTTTTAAATCGTTTGTCTTGACAACGTCTTAAACAAAAGTCAGTCAGTCAGTCAAAGTCAGTCAGGTACAATGAGGACTCTAGGCCTTCTGGGCCCAGCAAAATTAATGATGACTGTCAATGACCGACCAACGGTGGCAATTGCGAGTAAAAATGCACACTTGTCTATAAACAGCTAATGCCATGTGTAGGCCTAATTAATCACAAGTCCTTAATGACCCAATCTGTCAAGTTAGCATAAAGACATCAATAATCATTAGGGGTGGCCTGGTAGCCATGCTATTGGATCGATACCGAGGGGGGGGGGGGGTGCAGCTGTCTGTATGGGTAGGGTTAATATATGACAATGACAAACCTCACGGGTTACCGACAAATACGCGAAGGTGAATTCACTCACACATGCCGGTAAAAACATCCCTATGCCTCAGGGCGCCGGTTCCCTTCTATATCCTATCTATTTCACAGACTTTTTGTTAAGGAAACGCAGAGAATTGTGGGTAGTTCCTAACTGCGATGAATTGTGCCTCTTCTCCATGCGCATGCGTACGTTCTGCTCGGAGTACGTTAGAAAATACTGTCCAAACTTCAAACTGATTTTAATTGCTGCACTGAAGATCGATTTCGACATGTAACTGGTCAGCCAATCCCGCCCAACAGCCGATGCTAATTCAATTACTCGTATGGAGGACAACAATCGTTTTCCTGTCATAAAAATTAGGCAGTCCCACTGGGAGGCCATTTATCAAGAATAACTGACACGTAGGAGTCTTAATTGGTGGCGACGACCCGCTGCTTTGATTTGTGAATTATATCTCGGATGATCGTACCGTGTTGGAAGGTTTGTTGGAGGGGGGGGGGGGGGGCGGGGGGGGGACCGCTCTCATCATTGCTGTGGGAAGTCAACGGCCGATTATATTGACCCAATCAATTAAAAGGATTCTGTCATTTGTTTTGATGGTCCCATCCCAAAGGGCCAGCCTGGGGGGGGGGGGGGGGGGGGGGGGGGGGCTGGACACCACATTACACTAGGGGGCGCTGTTTATGATACAGAATGTACATCTTTACTTGCGCGCATATGCGCCTTGACTTTACATCAAAACAAAGCATTAACAACTTTTGTATTTTTAAATCCGTTCGCCCCCTGTTGATTATCGGAGGCCTAAGTGTCCAGAGAAAAAAAAACTGTCTACATTTCAGCACGCCTTCCTTCAAAAAAATTCTGGAAACACCCGTTCTAGCCCCCCCCCCCAACCCATAAAATATAGCTCTAGAACCGCTCCTATCCTGGGCCCATCCCCAGGGTCAAAAAGTGTGGGGATATATCCGCCCTACCCCCCCCCCTCCCCCGGGGGGATTCACGCCCCTGGGTAAAGACGCCTGCACTTATTAGTGCCTAAGCAGGCCGTTGCTTTGATTTAAACACTCAAGCTGCCTTGCAATGTTTCCATCAAGCAAAGATCGGGCGGCACTGAGTATATACAACGGTTTGCAAATTCGCGTCAGTGGAGGGCACAACCCTATATCATAATCTATAAAAAATATTCAGGTTTTGAAAGTGGGAAAATGCTTCAATGCGAACCACCTCATGACTTTTCAGCTCAAATTATTAGTTATTATGCAGTTTGAATTTGTTAAGTCAAATTTATCTCACGGGATCGGAAAGTGACAACATCCTAAGCAGACTATATATGGTAGGATCGCCACGGCGCATTTAACAACTAATTTTAATAAGCTTTTGGGGACGTTTCTTTTCCGCTCAATATTGAGGTCGGGTCATTCTAGTCGAGTGACCGACTAGCCGTTATCATGTTTTTCCCAGGCTGATGTCTTCAGTTCCATTTCCGCCGTGCAATGACGGCAGCAAGTGCAAGGACCCGGTACGCTGACCGCCGCGCTCTTACACGCACGCACGCAGCGGGGAGATCGGAGGCCTTTGCCCCCACGCCGTAGCCGCGCCTATCCGCTGAGTTCAGAGAAGGTTCTCGGAGAGATGGCAGGGCCAGGTGATTTCGTCCCGGGCAAATTTCGCCTATGTAATTGCTCATGATAGTGGCTTGCATTATGAAATGATATTAGATCACGGACGCGGGGAGTGCTGCCCTACGGAATATTTCCGAATTAACCTTTTGTGCGGCTGTGAGTCATTTTAAAGGCTTGAATAATTGTTTTCAGACCATGAGATTGTTGAAACTCACGCATTTTATTTGTAAGAGCAAAATTAGTTTAAGGATGTATTTTTTACTTTCCCAATACTCATGACAAATTCTTCATTATAAGTGACGAAGAAACCTAAAATGTATATCCGTCAGCTGTTATTTGTCTTTACAGAACTGGACTAAGTTCAGAAATTATGGGGTTTTCAGGACGAGCTATTCCAGGGCCGAAGTTCACGAGCAGCGGGGACCTCATACACCTCGGGCTAGCTTTTGTTGATCTTGGGATCGGGACAATTTTTTGGCGGGGTCTCAAGGTTAATGGAGTCTCTGTGGGTCCTGAAGACTAACATCACGCATTGCCGAAGGAATTACGAACTTTGACTCTGTAAACAAAGATCATATATCTGAGGTCCGTCCTCATGTGCACGCTTTTGAAATTACGGGCTCCTAGCCTGTTACTGACAGTACTGAGAGAAAACACCCTTTGAACATTTGAGTCATGTCTTCAAATCATATTCACTCTCAGACAAAACTTGTACAGAATTTTAAGGTTAAACTGTCAGAGCTTTATTGGGCTTGTTATCACGAAAATACGTTTCAGAATGGACTGCTACATATTTTCTAAGGTTTTTTTAAAATATGAGATTTCCAATGAAGCAACGAAGGAAAAAAGATTAATTTACAAAATATTATGACTCATATTTCAATCATTAGGCGTTCGTAAGCCATCATGAAAGCATCAATCATTATGCGTTCGTAAGCCATCATGAAAGCAACTCAAAGTTTTGGAAGACATTAAAGCGTGGACAATATGGTAAGTGATGGATCATCGTTCGAAATGACTTTTGGCTTTTCCAGATGGCATTGCTCATATTTTCTCAGCTAAACACTTCCTTGAACTCATAACTGTCTGGTGTAGTCTCCACACACTTTTCAGTTTGTAGTACTTGACACCATGGACCATGAATCTTTGCGCAACATCGCAACCTGTTTTGACGCTAACACCCCAGGTCTCAAACCGTTCGTCTGCCGTCGGGACGAGGCCTAGATTGTTCAGGCACATCCCAATGTACACGTCCTCCCAGACGAATAAAGGAGTCTTAGAGAAGTTCTGGATGAGCATCTGGACGGTTTCAGCGGACACGACGTAACCCGGACCTTTCATGAAAGGGGGTATGCGGAAAGGCTGTATTCAGCCTCGCTCGTGTACCACTTTAAGACTGTACTTCGGATGGGTTTGGCGCCGATGGCAACATCACCGATGGCTAGGCGACGGTGATGATTTTGAGAGGAGTTTGAAAGATACTGGACGAGACCCTCCACGTTCACGTAGACATCACTGTCCGTCTTCATGACGTAAGAAGCGGCTGGGCAGTAGCGGCCAGCCCACTCCATCCCTGCGATGGTCTTGAGAGTCAGGTTCCGGTAGACATCCTCAAAGTCTCCTTGGAGGATGTCCCCGTGCCTCGCGTTCTCGGCCAGGATGAAGGACTGGGTGCGCTCCGCGTGGCTCGCTCCCCTGACCGTGCCCAGAAGGAAGCGGATCAGAACCCGCAGGCTGCCTCCTCCCGCAGCCTCCACACTGCCCCAGGTCTCGCGTATCACCTGGCGAATCTTGAACTGACGGGGTGATGACGTCACCAGGATGAGTAAGAAGATGGAGCCTGGTCTTCCAAGACAGCACGGGTCAGCATGCGGTAAAATCGTAAAAGAGCTAGACTTGTTGCTTCTTTTCAAAACTCCCCAATCGAACTTCTCCCTGCAAGCTTTGTATTTATCCTCTACTGACGTAACGGTGCTGGTGAGGATTCCTGCACCGTTCTCTAGACCACGTTCCGAACGAGAATTCAGGAGATTCATTTTCAACCGACTATGTATGTTTTGGACGCGGAGTGTTGTTTCTATGTTCCCGCTGTTCATTAGTCTGGTAGCCATCTTTATGGAATTGAGGATAAAGAACCCAGTCAGCAGACTCATTACTCGCTTTCGCCTGAGCTGCATATTGTCTGTAAAACAAAACACATATAGAACACGAATTGACGGTGAGGAATTTTTTTTTTAGACTGAGAGCATGTGCACAAAAAAAGAAATACACAAACGAGAGAAGATATTTTAAGGTTGAACAAGGACGATATTTAGAAGCCTGAATTGATAGCCTGAACCTGCGGTGTTGTAATAGGGGTGGGGAATAATGGGAACTCCAGAATGAAGTGAGAAGAATATAATATAAACGCAGAAAACTGGTTTGGGTCAATGTTTGGGACAGCATCTAGCTGAACATTATTGTCCCAGCCACTATTAGTGATGCCTGGACACTGCGAAATGCGACCTGGCAAAATGACACCCCTGATGGTCAAACGAAGGCCGACACCTTAAAAAAATAATCCGTCGACGGAAAATTCCAAGGGTTTTTGGAATAATACACAACACGCGCTGTACCTGCAATTTCTGAGACATAAATCTGATTACGTAACCCTATTGATAGCCTTGACGTCTGTAAACAATCGCGTACGTTGTCGGACAATTTTCAAGGAAGCTTTGTTTTGTGAGTAATCGGAACCGGGCTTTCATTGAAATTATACTGAAAAATCCAGCAGTCAAATATTTAGGGACGATGTGACATTAAGGCAAACCGTCAAGATTTAGAGCTTGCAGATTAAACATTCTCGAAAATAGTATACCTCTGGCGTCTCATGATAGTACACTTTTACATGCGTCTTTTTATACCGGGAATTAATAAGTATCGTTTCATTCATTCATTTCAGCATAATAAAAGGGAATATAACATCTTCAAAAATGTGAACCGGCCAATATTAACGGAAATCGATAACACCCCATGGTCTCAGAAATAGGTGTTTATTATATCTTAAAATAATTGCAATACATAACATATGACGAAGTGAATAAATGGGATATTAAACCGAATCTGAACGTTTCTACATTTTTGTTGAAAATGCTGAATGCATCAGATTTCGGATATTTACAGCACATACTGAGACGTGACAGACAAATTAAAAAGAAAACAAATTGAAAACTTTAGGCATCTGTGAACAAAAGAAAAGTCTTGTAAAAATATTCATCCTTTGCACGGATCGCCATCATGAAGCGAGAGAGAGTATGCACTCTTAGAAAATTAACTCTTTCGACAACATTTGAGGCTCTTAAACTTTCAGTTGATTGATAATACAGTCAATTAAGTAGCTGATGAAGTTTTGCCAGCTCTAGTCTTGCTTTCAAATAACCATGCAACTTGAAGAAATGGTTTCCATCTTTCATTGTGCAGACTGAAACTTGCCATTTCAAAATAAAACCTCAAATTTGACTGTTCACCATACCTGAGATCGAATGAAACGGTCGGGCGAGGATTATTGCTTGTCAGCCTCTCGTCAGCCGCCACATGCCTCGGTGTTTCTTCGTTTCTGACCAGATTGATCCCCAGAGCGCGATTGTGGACAATAGGACCTCTGCATGATCATCACTTATAGGCCTCCGTGGCCTTGTGTCCGCATCACATATCCCTGGACAATTCTAAGCAACTTGAAACAAAAATCAGTCCTTCGCTCACGGTACAAGTGTTTGTAGCAGATATTGTTGCTGACTTGATTGTAGTCGCAAGTGACCAGCCCAAACGCCGTGTAGTCATTCTGCACACCACACCTTGACTGTTGACCTACTTCTCAATATTACCAATCAACCAATCAAAGTGCAAGTGACGACTAATCGCTCAAACAAAAAAGGAAACGCAAGGCATTGTGGGAAGCTTATTGTCATGATCACGCGTACATGTTGACCCCGGATCGCTAGTTTTTAACGAATTCCGTCCAATGAGAGCTCCAGAAATATTAGCAGTGACCAGAGCAATCGGATTGGTGGTTGCGTAAAAAGGATGACTTTCCAGGCTTAAGCGATGATTACAGCTCATAGTCACATGGGCGTCGCCAGGTTTGTTTTTTCTCGAGGGGGCAAAGCACACTCCCTCCCCCCCCCCCCCAAAAAAAAATCACTGTACTTTTCAGCATATTCTCGATTTATCATTTTTCGAGGGTGGGCAGGGACATTTGCTCCCCCACCCATTAAATTAACAGCAATATGACTTCGCACCTCTTTTTTCTCCCCCCCCCTTTTTTGTTAAGTTGTTTGTTTGCTTGTCCGTGGAGGGGGGGGGGGCGCCCCCTTGGACCCCCCCCCCTCGCAACGCTAATGCATGGTCCCCAGACGAGTCGAATCATACTGCCATCATCTAGGTGGCAATGATGTTATACGACCAGTAGGCCAGCGGCCTTTAAGTCTTGCCTACAATACGCCATGGGTCTGATCAACCTTCATGTTGATGGCGGATTATTTATGTGCTAGTCTGGGAATCAAACACCCTTGCTCTATGGTTTGTCTTCAATTTCCATACTGCATAGAAGGACAAATTGACTTCAGGGAAAAAATATTGCAACCTGACGTCACTTTTTTTCTTCATATAATCTCAATAAAGGTCAGTCATTGCAAAAATGATGACATGGATCTGGGACTGAAAAACATTTCCAATGTTGTTAGGAAATATTAGAAAATGCTCTTGACGCCCGACGTTTACTAACGATTTTCTGAGTAATTGTTCGTTGTCATTTCTTCTGATTATTCCTCATTAGTAGCATATATAGTGTTTGGAAATCCTTGTAAATAATTATGTCATGTTTTGTATAAATTATTTTTAGTTTCTGTATGCGAAAAGTTTCCGTGTTTTCAGGAATCTTTATGAAAGGACGATTGAGGGCGCTCTCTGCACTGGTCCAGAGCCGTAGTCTGGTACCGCGTCATTCTTGCATTGTCATGTTGTGCATGAAAGTGGGACCGAGTTGACTCGGTCACTCGGACCTACATGTAGTTGATTTGATTGCACCTACGTTTGCACCAGACCCGCACGGAACGTGCAATTTTTACAATCATCGAACAACCAAAATCGCACCCCCCAAAAAAAGAGAAGTCATGGCTAGCAACGCTGGGCCGACACCAAGCAATTTCATCGTAGTGAATAACGATCAGTTGGATGTTGAGCTTGCAAATGCAGGGAATAAACCGGTGATTGTTGACTTTACCGCCAAATGGTAAATGACTTTCTTCAACAAGTTCAAGTTCAAGTTGTACAGAATTTTGGACACGTAACGGCCCGTAGGCGCATCTGTCGTGTTTGTGCACAAAACAATTGAGGAATGAATGGTTTACCCGAGTGCACCTTGTGTGATGTTTGTGTGATGACACTCTCAATTTAAGCTTAATTTGATTTAGACTTTGCCTCGTCTAGGTCTGCGTGCTTTAAAAAAGTTACCTATAACAATTCTCCTTCCTTCAGGTGTGGCCCCTGTCGGCGAATTGCCCCAGTATTTGAACAGTTACCTACTCAGTTCCCGGGTGCCGTATTTCTGAAATGCGATGTTGAGGATAATGCTGTAGGTATCTTTTTTTTCTTTGTAGCACAATTTAGGTATTTAATCTGTAGAAGATTAAGTGTTCCGAGTGTGCAGATAATCAAGCTCATGGCAATAATGTCTTTGTAGCCAAATAAACTTGTCTCGGAATAATCAGTTCGCACTTTTTGATATTTAACAACATGTATGAACTGACTAAGTAAAAAAAGTCTGTAGTTTTACCATTCAAAACAACTCGAAAATAATGAAACAAATAAATATGTGGTTTCCTCGTTGAATTCCCCTGAAAGTTAGCATAGTCATCAGTAACAATACATTATATTTATAATGGTTGACTGAGCAATTTATTCTTTTAATGACCGAAGGAATAAACTCAATAATGATTGACTTTTCCCATTTTCAGCAATCAAGCGCCAAGTACGGAATCCGTGCCATGCCCACCTTTGTCTTTTTCCGCAGCAAGGCAAAGATTGATGAATTCCGTGGAGCCAAAATGCCGGACCTCAAGCTGAAAGTGGAGAAGTGGTTGGAATCTGAAGCCAATGGTGAACAGGCGGAGGATAAGTCCAAAAGTTATGTAAGGGCTGAAAAATTGATATCAAGATTCAAAATTGTCCCCAAAATCGAGTGTCTTAGATTGCTTATTAACCATATTGCAAATTTCTGGGTAACATAATATCCACATAATGTCTATGCCTAGAGAGAAAATGTTGAAAAAAACTGTTTGTTTACATTTTTGATTGGTTTGCACGATCTGTCATGCGACAGAAATAAAAACTGTATGCCTTATGAATAACTTTGCAGAGTTTGTTCAAATTAAAGTCTATTTTGATCTATTAAGATATTTTGGTACCGAGAAGTTCAAATACATTTTGCATAAAAGGGAGGTAATTAAAGCAAATACACAACTCCTCTTCTTGTCAGATGGTCTTGATCTAGGGCAGATATCAAAACAGGATGTTTCAAAGCATTTCCTAAGAGGTTGTATGGCACTCCTGGTAACGTTATACAATATTTGCTTTTGAGGAAGAGATGGATTGCATGAAACAAATCCAGCATTGATTCAGTCTTACATTTCCTAGAGGGCAATGGGTGTAACATAACCTTTTTTTAAGCATTACCTTTTTATTGCCACTAGATTCTAACAATGTTTATTTTTTGCATAAACTTTCAGATGGACTTGGTTAAGTTGATTGACAAGTCGTCTATCGAGTGTTTAAATCAGTGCAACGATCATGACATTGAAGCTTGTCTGACAAACGATGACAGATATATGGAATCGGATTGCGATGAACAGGTGATATATGTAATTGGTTATGAATAAAACAAGTTACAAAGAGTAGATTCAGTTTACTAATTTCCAATAAGGCATTCGACGGGCCCACCAAATGAAAACAATATTCACAGATTAATAACTTTCAAATTATGACTTGGTACCTTATTCCAAAATTATGAACGTTGTTCATAATTGTTAAATTAAAGAGAATTAAGTAGTCTGTATTTGTCCTTCGACCGGCAAACAGGGTTGACTGTAAGGCGGTGTATAATCTTTTTTATCAAAAGATTCAAGCGATTTTTTTTAAATAAAAAAATTCGAGCTCGAAATGTGATGGGTACTGCTGCCATCTGAGCTTGTTGAACTTTGATGACAATTCAACGTTTGATCGACTTGTTGCTTTGTATATTTCCCAGCTGATAATAAACATAGGTTTCATCCAGAATGTGAAAGTCCACTCGTTGAAGATTACAGGACCGGAAGGCTTCGTCCCTAAGACAGTGAAGATCTTTGTCAACGAAATCAAGACCTTGGACTTTGACACAGCTGAGAGAAGTGAACCAGTGCAGGAATTGAAGTAAGCGGAACCTTAAGCTGTGTAGCCATGAAACAAGATAGAGCACTGTGACTGGCCAGAAGTTTTTTGCACACGGTTTCTTCACAGACTCCTTTGCGGCATTGTTTAACCCTCTTGAACTTCTGGATGAGGCTACGGCTAGCAGTAACACACATTGTCTATGAGAAGCGGCTTCATTGGCTTCCATAGGTGCTTGTGTAATCGCTAGCCATAGTCATGTGATTCAGACGCAACCTAACACTCATTTTCTCCTACTTTCAATCTCAACCAACAATTAGGATATCTCCCCAATTAAAGACTTATAATCTGCATCAACTGTTTGTTCTTGCCCCTCAGTTTGACAAAAGATGACGTGGGTGAAGACGTGGTCATTCCACTTCGGTTCGTCAAGTTCCAGAATGTGTCATCTGTGACAGTGAGTCTCTACATGTATTTATTTGATCTTCTACCTTGTGCACTAAGCCATTTTACTTCTACGGAAAAAAAAACAGGACTAATATTTGAATGCATTAGTGTTGCAAATTACAGCACACCCATACATACCATTACATAGAAAGTATGATGCATAAACAAATAAGCTGGTTAAACAAAAACAATCCACCAACAGTTCTCCTGTCTTGTGAAAAACTTGTATAACAGTACAAGCATTACATTGTGTGGACTTCCAAACATAAGAGATCCACATAAACCAGGTAGCAGTGACGTTGTGTGGACTTGCCCACGTCCAAACAGTGTTTCCTCCTCTCTGGAAAACAGGTTTAGATGCATTTTGGGGTTAAGTTTATCCGTGGCAAAATGAAGAAAAACACCAAAGGGAATCATAGAGAAAAATTTGGGTTGAAAGAGTTTTCGCAGTGTGAGTAAAATTATTTTTTTTCACAGGTTTTTCTTAACTACACGAAAACAAAGGAATGTCCACACTACGTATGTAACGTAAACATGTAAACATTGGTTTGGTTTCTTGATGTAGTTATTTGTGAAGGATAATCAAGGTATGGAGGACACGACTAGAATTGGGCATCTGGCATTCATCGGTTCGCCCGTCAACACCACCAAAATGGGGGAATTTAAGAGGGTAAGATTTGACACTCGTAGTATTCAGGCTATTGGCTTGTAGCCTGTTAATAGGAAATAGTTTCTGTGCTGATTTAGATGTTTGGCTAAGTGTTCAGTCTTTTGGTTCATACCCTGCTTTTGACTGAGTAAAGACATGGGGTGACTTTCAGATTTTGAGATTTTGTTGTTTAATAATAATAATACGTATTTATAAAGCGCACGTATCCACCAGTATTGGTGCTCAAGGCGCTACATCATTATTACTCCTGCACATTGGGTAAATGAAACATTCCAAAGACAATCTCAGCTCCCTGGGGAGTATACAACAAGATGCTGCCATTTCGGCACAAAGCAGCTAAAATCAATCACAATAACCATCTGTACCCTCACAGGTACCTATTTACTCCTGGGTGGAGAGAAGCAATGAGTGACAAAGTGCCTTGCCCAAGGGCCCCCATCACCATAACCTCAGGCTGGACTCGAACCCACAACCTGCAGAATTAGAGTACAATGCTCCAGACTAAGAATTCAATACTCCAGACCACAGCACTCCATAGTTGCCCCTGGTGCTTAACTTCAGTCTATAAATTGGCTGAAATATTTTAACAAATGTGGGAGTGTATGTGTGTAAAGTAACTTGACCTCTGACCTGTCTCTGATTCTGGTTCAGAGATGAAGGTAGTGTACAGACTACATTGTGACGGGCTCTGAACAGTTTCCAATGTTTTCTACTCCTTTTTGTTTTGTTTTTAGATCTCTGGGAAGAAAGGAGAGAGTCACTGAGAAGCTCTTGTTACCATGGCAACCAAGGCAGTATATAATTATCGAGGAAGGAGGAGGTAAATGAGGCAGGAGTACGTTTTGATCCCGATCATAAGCCAATGTTGTTTTTACTGCAAATACGCACAAAATAAGACAGGTATTCTTCAATTTAGACTCGCAAAAACAGAAACAAAATTACAGACAATATTCCCACTTGAACCTTTCACATAAAAATAATAACAAATTGAAATCTTGTGAAAATAAATACAATACATATATATCATTGTCATGAAAAGGATGGTCTCTTTTTCCAATAATGCTCTTCCTAATAGCAGCCTTTTAGATATTTTAAATTTCTCAAAATTCACAGTTGTCATTTCTGTGGTAAGCAAAAAAAAAATGGGTTTGGGTCAGTGGCAGTACTTGGGATTCCATGTGCATGGGGGGCTCTTAAGGGGCCTCAAGAGGGCCACACAATGGGTTTGCTCCCATTTGGGTCTGTGGGCGTTGTATGTAAGCTGTTGTGTGTCATTTCTTCAATCGAGGTAAATGATGGGGAAAATCACATTAAAAAATAATAAGGAAAACTAAATATACTACAAGTACATGTATTCTACGTACTATCTCCTATCCTTAGCATTGACTGCAAAGTTATGATTATAAATGTTTATCCTGTTAAAGTGAACTTGGTAGCCACCTCTAAAATTAATTTTTGTGGAGCTAGATATTTAACGAGTTCTTCGCTGAGAAGTGAATCTGTAGTGTCCAGGTGATGGATGTATAATTATTAATGGTTAATTATTGCAGATATAGACCATATGCGTAGCAGCAGCCATCTTAGAGGGCAATGCCTTTGCTTTGCTGGAATAAGCATGGGTGAACCTCTGGTGCATTCATTGTTACTGAATTAAAATAACAAAAGATGCCCTCTAAGATGCATAAGGTCTATCCATGGAAGTCACAAAAAGCGAAAATTCAAAGCTACAATGGGAAGTGAAAAATAGGAACTATCCAACGAAAGGAAAAGATGCATGCCTCCAGTTTTCACCTAAAATAATAGAAATACTAAATTCGGAGGTATTGTAAGGGGAAAACTGAATTTGAAATATTATTTTATGCATGGCTTGATGTTGGACAAAAGAACCAAAGTAAATCGGTTCAAATTCGGTCTATTTAGGCTCAGTGCACGCAGACTCGCAGCCTTCAATCAATCATGTAGGCTTTACTTTAATGAAATTAATGTACCACTGTGTTTCATTATGTATGGATTGATATCCCAACATTTTTACTCATAATTACATTTATTATTTAGTTGTTGCTCGAGTTATATATACAAATGTACACCCGTTTAATTACAGCAAATATTTATATAACAGTGAATGTAGAATTTAATCAAAGTAATTTGAATGAGTTTTTTTTTTCAAATTGATTTTCTGTATCCATTTACATGTATCTGTATTGTTGTTGGTAGCACAATAGACTTTTGAGTGTCATACCTTTCCAAAAGGTAATGTACACATTAAAAAACACTTTTCTTAAAAATAATTAATATGCCATAGCAGTTGACTGTCCATGATTATTTGTTGAATTTCTCAAGTAATATCCTTAAGGCATATCTAGAGTCGAGATTGTCAATCTTAAAAAAAGCCTCAAAATTGGACGAATGGTCTGAAACATTCAATTCTTTCCTCACTGATGTCCTCTGTCTCTCAGATTGAAAAGGTTTGATTTCAGACAAAAGTATGAAAATCTTATGCCTGCATATCCTATTCAATAAATTGATATGTCGTGGTAAGTTTAGTCCACGTAATGGCTTTGGGGGCACAATACTGTACATAATACAGATTTTGTAAAATGCTCTGCGACTTTTTTTTATGGCAGTGAGTAAAAGAATAAACACAAAAGGGAAAGGAAAAGTGTTTTGTGCTTGGTTTTTTATTTCAAGTTTAAAAACGTCGCTACACATGGGCCACACATATTTCTTGCACATGTGGGTCATTCTATAAATTAGGGGTCCACTCCCCCCCCCCCCCCTCCATTTGACACCTGGCATCTATCTGATGCACTCTGTAATGCAGTGGTCCTCCAAGAATGGTTATGAATAGCTAACTACCTACCCAACAATAAACAATCATTTTGGGTAATTCTTAATAATACCTGATTGTAAATTACAAAGTACCAAGGTAACGGGGACAGGATAAAGGTCACACTTTGGACCCTTAACTTATAGCCTAATTTCAGTTCATGCGATCGATCGCGATCTCATGGAGCTGAAGTGGTGATAACTAGATCACAAGAAAACCCGTTCAAGCCTGTTTCACAGCCTGCAATGTGCTGTCATGTGCACATTTGGAAATCTTTTGCTGCATCATTATTGAAGTGACTTCAGCTTTTGAATTTCCATGTGCTTTGCAGGTTTGTCGGAATGAAACAGGATTCCCTGAGCATAATATATGTTGACAAGTGCCTTGAGGTTATACAGCAGTCTGGCACCCCGCATCCTTTGGTTCTTCACAATGTACATGTATGTCACATACAGATGGGAGTAAAATACACTGGCTCTTATACAAATTAGAGCTGTCCACTTCCTAGTCGTCTTTAACTTTTTGATCAGCTTGGCTTGGTGGTGTCCTGGGAGTAGTCTTGGAGGACACCTGTCAAATGATCGTTGTGAGTTTTGAATTTCCGCGGACCTTTCCTGCCGGCCCTCTTCTTCCGTTGGGGCACCTAGGAAAAAAGAAAGAAAGACACAAGTTGAACTTGGAAATCACCATGTCTGAGATTCAACATCTGAAGGGGTGGATTGTTAACGTTGTCTGTACTCACGTGTTTGAGACTGAGATCCTCCATGGAGGATATTCCCTGCTTTCTCAGGTGCTCTTCAATCTTTGTTTCGTCGATGGAATCCACCGCTGTCGTATTCCACAATTCTTTTAGTTCTACAAGGAAAATAAACAATTTAGAATGATGAAGTCATGAAATGGTACAGTTTAGAATAAGCAACCAAGGCCTTTCAACTTTCAACACAATGGCTGATATTCAAACAGGAATCAGGTAAAAGGCAAATAGGTTGTACATATGTTTTTTGGGGAAAATATATGGATGAACAATGGAAATTTACTGGAGACGGATGTGAACTTGCAACCACGGGAATACCGTACAGCACTAAGCCATTTTGATATTGTAGTCATTTTGAAAATGATCTTCCCTACAAATTTGTGCCAGACCGTACATATTTAAAAAAAAAAAATTCATATTAGTCATAACAGAAAGAGACTGGCTTTAAATGTCGGTGGCTCTGTCTGACAAGTTTGTTTTGGCATACCTTCGTCAATGTTGAGCTGGGCTGACTTATCATTGAAGAAAACTACTTTCTTCTTGTCTGGCCTTGTGATGATGATGACAAGATCGCCCAGAGCCTGTAAAGAGGAGAAGAGAGGAATGCAGTTATGAAAACATTTTGGGAGAGTTTGGGCAGACCACTGGGACATTCGAATTGCTGAAAAGGCCTGACGCTCACATGAATACGCTACGAGTTTGTGCACATTAAGAATAAAACCCGAGTGTACTTCATGCCATGTCCCTGCAAACCACCACCACGCGCACACAGTGTGTGCCTCCCCCTGGTGCCCAGATTTTATACCTTTATACACTTCTCATAGTTTGGCAAGCTCTCCTGGATATCGTCCATCATGATACCGCCAAGCCCTTGCTGGTCGTGCTTCTTCAAGAGTCTTTCCAGACCTTTGCGACTCCTTAGAGTAAAAGTTGCCTTGTAGAAGTACTTGCCATCCTCCATGACCATCTTGGGGTTGTTGGGCAAAGCCTGTAGGTATTTACATCAAATCAGCAAATCAATACATATTTACTGTAAAAAAAAGGAGGATGATTTGAACCCGAGTTCCGTCAAACTGAACAGGTTCCCTACCGACTCGGCTACTTTGAATTTCCATCCCTGCCCCACCCTGCCCAGCACCCCACCCCTCCCCACACCCTATTTCTCCTTTTCTCCCTAATTGTCAGTGACACCCACCTCATTTATCAGCCACATTTTCTGCTTAGCACCCACGTCAAGTTGCTTAGTTTCATCTAGTATCTCCTCGATACTGAGAGGGAAGGTATCTCCCTGTTGATGTCGTTGCTGAAACAGAAAAAGGGATACGGGAGGATTAGTGTTTTCAAAATGGACCATTCTTTCGTTTGTAGACACTGATCACCATTTTGTATGGGCTGCCAAAGGGGCATAAAGTACGTCGTGGTTGGCAACAGATTTTGTCAAAAATTGCATATTTTTGTGTTTTTACCTTCATGAAGTCAACTATCTTGGCTAGCACTCCAAACTTGTATTTGGAGCTTCCTTGCATCATCTTATAGTTGAATCCTCCAGCACTAGAGCCACTCCCATGGCCTTTCATCAGAGAGAGAAATGGAGAAATTGTCATTTTTACGAAACAAAGTGACTGCTTGGGTAAGTAAACCGTAAAAAGGAAAAATTCTTAGTACCTTTTTTGTACACACGTGTGTGTAACTGGCCACAGTTGACTTGGGCTAGTGGGCTGCCTTTGATATGACGTCACAGGTGTCATGGTCTAGTCTATAAAGAATTACTCCCATTCTACTAGTTTTAATAAGTCGGATTTTGGACAAAAGGGAAACAAATTCACCCATAGATCAAAGGAATTAAATGATTTGTTTACCTTGGCGTCCCGCGCCGGCTGGCTTTCTCCGTTTGGCTTGCTGAGATGAGCTGGATGGTTTGGGTCTCTTCTCAATAACCGGCTGAGCTAAGGCACGCTTACGGAAGGCATCTCTCTCTCTCAGTAGAGCAGCATCCATGGTGAATTGGCGGTCCACTTCTGGCCTTGTACAGCAAGGTAAAGTTTTGTTTTTCTTGCACGGTAGCTACACTACATAACTCTCTGTTGGAGCAATTTTTTCTGCTTTTTCTTTTTCTACAAAATAAAACTAAAGAAAGAAGAAATTAAGATCGTTTAAGACTGCATATAAGGTTGTAACTAGTAACAAAATTTGGCTTTAAAGGGAATATACATCATTTGCTTTTGCTGTAATTTTCAGAAATGGATGGAATTGGGGGGTTGGAAATATATAGCAAATATAGTTACACTGACTTTTTTGAGGTTTTGGGTTCGAGAATGCTATAAAAACCAAGAAAAACTATCATTTTCCTGTAGTCTGGTTCCCTGACTCCATATAAGAAGAAACAGAGCAGTTTACATACATTGGGGAATTGTAAGGTCAGGGAACCAGTCTAGCTGGCTCGTACCCGTTCATAGGTTTGTAATCGATTGCAAACAAGTGCGATGGTCAATTGGGGCCAGTACTTGAAAAAAAGCCAGTTGTTTCCAACGCTGATCGGCCGATCAGCGTTGGAAATTGATACAAAAATATCACTTTTCTTGAAAATGACAGTATACCAAGTGCCATGATTTTACAGGATGCTTTACACTGTCATTCACTAACAGTCCAGCAAGGTATTTCAAAATGATTTGGTAGTTTTATTTTTTGATGTTTGCAAATGTTGTATTTTCCCTTTAAATTACTGCATTCGCATAAAACTATTGAGGAATACGAACCTCGTCGTACGCGTCCCGGTCAGGAAATTGTTTTGTTTTTAATTGCAACAGCGCCCTCACAGTCATTCGGCATGTTCGTCTGTGCCGCGCCGTGCGACTAGTGCATGCTTGCCTCAATAGTTCGATACAGCTTATACAGGGTTTTTGTTCACCTCATAAAACTTACCAGCAATGATTCTTTTCTGCACAAAAAGGGATTTCTTGTGATAGGTCTCCTTAAATTCCTCGTGTCACAGATACCAAGTGATTTATCCGGTGCAGGGAGAGAAAATTGCATGGGAAAAAGAGCCAAGGTCTAGGCTGGACCTTCGCAGTCAGTCGAGTCAGTGTTTCCAGTATGTAGCGCCCCCATGTGTTCTGCTTTGAATAATTAATAATGGGACGAACCCGGGCTACGAGAAACAACTATTGCGAAATTAAATGGGGAAGGGTTTAAGTTCCCTTTTTTTTCTCTCGTTGTCCTCTCCAGGGGTGACAACAATTTAAAACAAGTCTTTTTATTATTTAAAATATTTTGGTGTCAGTGTTCCTTCCAGAACTTTGAGTGAGCTCCTCAACAAAAGTGCCCCGTTGTAATGTTAGGACCGGAGAGTTCGGCACAGCAGTACTGTTTATACGTCTGTTTTCTTGCTCCCCCTACCCCCCCCCCCCATAAAAACCATCACAACCTACTTGTACATGAGATGATAGTTCGGAAATTTGGTCAACTTGCTTCCTTTATGCCAGTTCCGTGAAATTATTGGTTCGACAATTAGTGTGAAAGATTCATTATCAACATCTGAAATAACTATTATAATGTATATCCAAAATAACACTTGAGTGGGGGGGGGGGGGGGGGGGTAGACTGATGAAATGCTCACATTCCATTTACGCAATATAGGAGTTCATCTCATACCGTTGTATTTTACGAAGGAGGAGTGCACAACGGATGGGGTGGGGGTGGCAGGGGAGGGGCGAAGGGGGGGGGGAGAGAGAGAAAGAAGAAGCACTACAGGCCGACTTACTTCAGTATTACAAACTCAAAGTTTGGCATGAGAAATGTAATAGTGTAATGTTTCACTCATTAATGTTAATGAGTTGGGGTTTGAGCATGCGCACTGAAGAGCGTTCAATAAAACACTTGAAATGCTAGCAAGTATATGCGTCATGGCTCATTTATTGTCCGGAATATTACAAAAAGCATCTGTGGAATTCACCAGAACAAAAGTCACGTCGTCTCTTTTTTTGTCATAAAACAATTTACTCTTGACCAAATTATACTAAAATTACCGAATTAAAAATAAAGCAGGTAGTCCTGTTTTCCATGCGTCGTTTTTGTGGGGTGAACTTGTTTTTAGCGTCAGTATTTTAATTCTCACATTTTCACCGAAATCTCGATCGACACATAAAGTTTGACAAAACTAGCAAAAATTAAGATTATTCACGATAACTTTAGAACTGCCTATGCTAATTATTTTCGTTAAATGTTTGGAACCATAATGCCAGTTATTCGTATAACCGGTGCTGTTGGAGATTATTATTTTAAGTCCAATGGCCTGTACACAGAATCTTGATTAGCTTCATCTTAAAATAACGTAAATTTACAGCAAGTTTGCGTGTAGGATTGAAATTACTAAACGTATTTTTTAGTGGGAGTAAAATCAGAGATCATGAGAGCTGCGATCCCCTCCTCAAACTGTATAGGAGGATCAAAACTGACTCCTGAGTATAATTGAAAGTTTAATCACATGACACATTACTCAAATTTGAAATTCTGACTGAAGAAACAACTTTCAGTCAATTTTCAAAATAGTCTGTTTGATGTGTAGTTTCATCATTGTAAAAAGTCTCCACATTGAGTGTTCATCTAACTTAAGACCCTGTAACTTTCGATCCTGTCTGCATCGTACACTGTAAACACGTTGGGCAAAGTGGGTCGATATGTAGACCAACGTTGGCCAACATATCAACAGGTTAAACTCTAGGGCGAATTTTTCCCAATTATTTAGAAAATTAGAAAATATTTACCCAAATTTAGTAATTTCAAACCAATGTTGGGTAAAATTATATTGCCCAACAGTGTTTTACCCATTATTTTATACAGTGTAGGAGAGAATCAGGCGAAGTACAATCCATAGACCATGGCGACAGCATACAGAGACCCGTTAGTGAAGTGAGCGGTAGTCGAGGAGTCAGTGCGGTCATCCCACAGACATCGGCTGCCGAGGTGCGTCCCAGGTTTCTCCCTCACGCTCCCGATGCTGACCATGGCGACAAGCTTGTAACGGGGGAAGTTGAGCTCCCGGACCCGCTGGTTGATCTTACCGGCAAGGTCTTGAGAAAGCTGCTTGCAGCGGACTGGGTCGTAAATCTCCTCCTGAAGATGAGACGACAGGATGTCCTCTACAAGCCTACCGACTTCGAGCTCGCGGAACTTGCGGGGTCCAGGCCCGTCCATACGGAAGGACGGCTCGAAGGCTGGTGGGCTGCTAGCCCGTAGGTCCTCATCGCCACCTTCTTGTAGAGCAAGAGCCAAGAGACCTCCTGTGTTCGGCTCCATCTGGCTCGCAGTTTTCACAGACATTTCTAGAGTTTCTTCTCTTGAACACGTTTCAGTTGAAAAGGCAAGACTTGCACCGAGGAATTGTGAAGCAGAGGCCTAGCCTATGCCCTTCTTGTCAGTAGAAATGAGTTCATCAAAAGAAGTTTCGATGAGGCATCAATATTGGTGGTAAAGCAAAGCCAATATCCGAAATCGCCAAAAGTCATTCAAACTCCTTCTTGTATACATCGAATGTTCCCAAGATCAAAAGGAACTGATGATGAATAAGTATATCCTGCACGATGATAAGCCTTCCCCTGTCTTCTCTTCAGATGAGAGAAAGACAGTCACAGCATCTTACATCGAATCAAGATCCTTACTGCGATGTATCTTCCCTCCTCTTTGCCTTTATAATGCAAACAAAAAAGTTTCTGTTGATGTTTCGTCTCTAACATTCATCAGGAAAGTAATCATCGCTCCCTGCCAACAGTGTATCATAAAAACACTCAATGCCATCATCAGCCCGCCCTCTAACACAAGAAAGCATCAATATGGGTTTAGCCACCCATGTTTAACCAGTATGTTGATTGAGAACACACGGTCTTTAACCGCCTTGTGTCTTCTTCTCTTTGTATCCTCCGGCTACTGTTTAATTTGCACATCATGATGTTTGGCTTGGAGTTAGTCTCTGACAAAGGGATACTTTTTGGCAAACAAGTGAGAGATTTCATGACTATTTTATGGACCTTTAGTCTGCGCCCAGGGTAGAAAGCTGAGGGCGTGATCACCAAATTTAGAGGGAATAATACCAATATAACACCAATTTGAAATTTTATAGGAATCCTTGATGCAAACAAATCATCCCAGTACAATATACCTATTCAAAATTCATGTCAGTGACATCGCTCTTTATAAGTCATTCATATTTTCGAGTAAGCCACATAAAAGGACAAAACTATGTCTAGCCCTAAGAAATTTCAACTGATAAAATACCGTTCATCCCCAAATATTAAAAGCCAATTGGAAGTTTTTTAATGGTTTTTCTGCAATCGTACAGTCAAACGCTCACAGCTGGGGTGTTCAGAGCACAAGACATTATTCACAAGTACAGATATACAAGGTACTTGTGGAGCAAAATGTCTTCCTGAAGGACAAACGAAGAATGAATTATAGCATTATTGCTGATTTGAGGTCCGCAGTCAGAAATAACGGTCAGAATATGGAGAGGGATTTTGCAATTTCCCGGTCGTGATGGTGTAACTTAAAAAAAATACCGAACATTTAGTGAATTTCGTTCACATTGACACAGCTAACTTGCCTTAATTCAAACGAGTTGCGAGATCGTCATTTGCATTTACTATGTTGGACCTCCAAGAGATATAGGTTTTTACCAATACCCCTATTAGAATTGCTTCTCCCTCCCCCCCCCCCCCCCCTCCCTCCGTTTCTTCTAGTGGGGCCAGAAAAATATTTTCTTAAAATCTGTCCATCAAACTGGACCTACCTCCTCCTATTGTTTGCAACAATTGCATGTTTTCCCGTCGACGTGTCTGAGGTATGTCCAGGTCCATTAGGGCAGTTTGCCCAGGTAGGCCTACATTCCACAACGATCCACCAACTTTGTTTTGCCAAGTGGCGATGACAGCAAAAAACCAACACGGGCGAGTGTGGGAGAAAGGTAAACAGGCTATGAGGGGGTCCGTTTGATTGGGTTAAGGGGGTGATGAGTCTGCAGAAGAATGGAGGGGGGGGGGGGGGTTGAGGGAGGAGAGGAGGAAAACTAGCTAAGGGCTAGTTTGTGAATCGGAGAGGGGTTGGGTTTGTGCCAGGGGTGCGACTTCGAGTGTCGGTACAAATACTTACAACTTTTAGCTTTAAATATTTTACGGGCGGTGGCGTAATAACGTCCAATTTGCAGGCGGGGGGGGGGGGGGGGAGGACTCAATGCGTTTTTAACAATAAAAAACTCATTCTTGCCTTCCCCAGATTTTGATTTTTTTTACGGGGGGGGGGGAACAGGTCTCGATTGGGGGGGGGGTACGTTCCCCCATCTGCCTCTTAATTATTGTTGAAACATAATTGCAACGATTTGTGCATTAAATATTAAAGTGCCCATCGTCATGTACAATAAAAAACATAAAAATGTAGACAGCATAGACGTTGTTGCCTTTCAAATTTGAAAACCACCAATAATTACCAACAGTTGGCATGGTCATCGCAATTAAGAGACAACAGGTTCCGACCAACAACAAACATGAACGCACCACACACAGTGCTTCTTTTACCATCAATGCACGACACATTGTTTATTTGCCATCATGATAAATAATGATATACCAGCGAAGACGTTACAGTTTGTTAAACACTTAAACTTTGACAAACACATTATGGATCGAGCATTCATAGTGTGATTTTCATAACAGATGGAGTTATATCATATTCATACTAAAATGCGACCCTGCACATTAATTTTAAGGTTCTCAGGATCACTATTTTGGGGAAAGCATAGGCTACATCCATTCATACAATTTCATTTGTCATTAAATCTCAGATCATGTTCTGGCGGTATACACTATTCTCTGAATTCGCATGTACACCAAAAAGTGCCCAAGAATATTGCAATGAAACAGAAATCATCAGTTTCTGCTTCCAATAACATCTCTGAGTAGTCCCAAAATAATCCCATCTTGGGACCTGTGTAATCCACTCTTCCAAGTCTTCCCACTTTTTCAAAAGTCAGATTCATAATGAATCGCCAAAAAGCATTAAATATGCGCGATATTGGAGAGTGAACTTTGCACGGCGAGAGCATCCGCATTAACGTTTGCGCGCCAAATCCTCCCGGGGGAGGGGGGGGGGGGACGCGCGCGCAAATGGTTGAGAAACGCAAGTTTCTCAACCAATCAGATTAAAGGACACTCGGTCGCGCGGATGAATATTCCCAGCCAAATCTCAGGAGTACGGTGTCCTACGCTCGCCACTGTATTTATGGCGCCACTGTATTTAACTGTATTTTAACTAAAAAAAAACCCCACGGATCCCACATATGACTTTCAAATAGCCCCCAAAATATTCTTATCTCAAGAAACAATCGAATCGAAATTGAGTGTTTGAATGTACAGTGGCAGCCCTGCGGAATAACAACGGAATAAATTATACAGACTGTGTAGGCTTGCAAATCTCGCGGTGACTGCGCTTAAATAAGGCCAAGTACTTATTATTTCAAGACAAGTGGATACATGCCATCTTGACATTACTCCTGTATTCCCTACAGAGAAGAAGTTTAACCTTTTATATATACTTTTAAAGTCTATATGCTGAATAAAATAAACCCCACGTGCATTTTGTTAAACTGCAAGTTACTGTTTTACCATCACATATAAGTACACACAATTAATCTGTTCTCCGCCAACCCATTCAAATACAATATAAGTTTACTTCTTGCATAAATGAATAAATTTCACAGGCGATAATATCGAAACTGCATTGCCTTAATGTTTTTCGCGGAAAGCCCGTTCCTACTTTTCATTTGTTACATCCAGTACGTGTTTATAGTGCACACCAAGGACACAGAATAAAAGAATTTCAAAGAGGACATAATACAATAGGTCCCCGGTTGGCTACAAAATGTCCCCGGTTGGCTACACAATGTCCCCGGTTGGCTACACAATGTCCCCGGTTTGCTACATAATGTCCCCGGTTGGCTACATAATGTCCCCGGTTGGAGACATAATGTCCCCGGTTGGCTACAAAATGTCCCCGGTTTTCAAATGGAGAATGGGAGGAGTTGCAAAAGTGTAAAATACTAACGAAATAACTCATAGAAAAGACGATGGAAGCTCTTCTGTGTGCACAACAAACAAAGCTGTGACGTGTGTGCGGGCGATAATGAGATCGACCTTATGAAAAACAGAAGACTTAGAATAAAAATGATTGAAGAAGGTCAATTTCAAACATGTTTTCGAGACAGGAACATGAACAACAATCCCCTTGATGACGTAAGCATTAGAACTATAATACGTCACCTCAACAGGTATGTTAAATAAATTTAAAGTGTTCAAGTGCAATGACATTCAACAACACACCACTGCACCTTGCAACCAAATATAAATTATTGGAATACACTATGGCGTTTCCCAATAAATATGTTTATGGGAATTTTAAAGGATTGGCCAATCCTTTAAATTCCCATAAACATATTTAAACAATAGCACATTAAAAAATAAGACACATATAAAAAGCAAAAAACAAAAACCAAAAACCCCAAAAAACATACTTTACAACACTTAAAAATGATAAATAGTGATGAAACACAAACAATTCACAAGGGTCTCACTAATACCAAGGTAATAGACGATGCCCAAGGAACACAGAAACACTGAACAAGCAATATCATGAACAAACATATACCTTTAAGACGAAACAATTAACTAAACGAAGACACAATTTGAAACGACTGTCAAGTACAAACCACCAAAAAAAAAAGAGAAGAAAACAAAACAGACAAAAAACCATAAAAGGACATTACACATAACATGAACATTCAAAAAAGATTATTCCGAATACATATAATCTCATTCAACATCTGGCCATTGTCCCAAGACCCCCCCCCAAAAAAAAAATTCATCTCCAACAAAATCTTCGTGACCTGCTTCTCCAACTGAGGTCATGTTAACATTTTCATTCAAAAACATTCGAAATCTTGATTTCTGTCGTTCGTCAGTCCCAATTATTTTACACATATATCGATCTATCTATATATAGATTCATGTCATCTTCAGCCAAAATAAAATAAATTCGCACCTTGTGCAAATTTGTCAATTACTGTACACTGATTTAATATTTACATTCCACATTTTTGCTAACAAAATAATCACAATGCCGTTTTTCTCAAAGCGACGTTAGTCTGAAACCAGGTTCATAACAAACAATAAAATAACAGTCACAAAATGAGACCACTCAGATACACTATTTACAAATCTTTATAGCACCATTGTTGTCTTTGAGGATACTGAAGATGTGTCGATGACGTCATCCTTCGTAAACCAATCAATTCACGAGTTCCTAGCGTCAAGACCAATGAAGGTAGACACATGGGAACGTGTTTGTTGACTAGGAGGCAGGCTCTGAGACAGTTCGAGGTTGTCATTGAGTCTTAAGAGCTCATAAACTTGGGCAGGTTTGCCGCCTCTGAAACACTTTAGTGCTGTGTTGTGTAGTGAACACTGGTTCCTCATCAATCACTGTCTCCTCCTTGATGCTCGTCTTAGAGTGTCCATACAGAACGCTGACTGCTCTCCGGATGTTCCAGCCCTTCTTAACCTTCAACCTCCGCAGCTCACCCTGCGCCTCACGGACAAAATCCAAGATGGTGGCTTTCAGACCGACGCTGTCTGTGGCCGCTGACACTTCATGGAACCTCCAGCCAGCCTCCCGAGCTAGGGAGAAGCCTTCTTTGGTGGACACTCTCCGGCCTTGCTCCAGCTCGCGTTTGTTGCCGACCAGGAGGATGGGCAGATGAGATTTGAGGGAGGATTGGAGCCTCTCCCGGAAGATTTTAGCGGCGTCAAAGCTGACCCTGTCTGTAATGGAATACACGAAGAGCACGGCGTCTGCTGCTTGGAGATAATCCTCCAAATGTGTCTGAGGAAAGACGAAATAAACCAAAAAAATGATACAAGAAGGTAGTTTCAAACCTATTTTTGTCACACACAGAAAGATATCCTAAATGGATTTGAGAGTACGCAAAACACAGCGGCTAAACCAACAAAACACTTAAAGAACAGGTTTAGAAGCAAGCAAATGAAAGAAATTGGGATATAAGCTTTTTAATGATCCAATATTTCTTTAGAGTCATTTCCCAACAGCTTCAGAATGGTAATTTGCTTCATCGGTTTCAAATGAGAATCTCTTACCTGGCCTGCTGTATCGAACACTTCTATTCTCGTCGTTTTCCCGTCCACCGTCTCCATCTTTTCGTATCGGCTCTCTAAAAGGTTAAACAAAGCGAGGACATCATGAATCACTTTCAGAAAATAATCAGAAAAGACTCCAATACGAGAATATCAATTAATTAACATTTAGAACTTAATCCAGCCATTTCATTTGCATTGACGTCAAAGTCAAAGACGAGGTTAACGATGTTGATTCAAGACGGGGGCCCAAAAAGTGCAGATTATCCCATCCCGTATGTTATGATTCGGTCAGTGTCCTCGCGTAATCACACAAACTGCGCTGCGCTGTGTAATTTGAAGAATTAATTTCCTGGGATGTGTCTTGCCTGACGTCAGTAAGACGGACCAATTACAAACAGAGAGAAGAAACGGGTGAGTTATAGTTTGGACGAGAAGCGCTGTAAGAGGTGTGTTGACTCAGAGCGTATCGGAGACGAATCAACACCGACCACTTGTCGAAGTCTATAGCAAACAGATTTCAACCCACATTTTCAGACGTGAAAGAGTTAAGGTTCTGAGATCGAAATCGTCTTGGCATGACATCACGACTTCTCCGTCGTTATGTTCACACGGCGCCATATTATTTTCATGATATCAAGTTGCGTGTATACGTGACTGAAATGAACATGAAGAGACGAAATGGAGGCGCATTAAGAGGGAAACAGAGAACGAAAAAAATACCAAACGACAACGCCTCAAGACAAGACCACCTCGTCACGAAAAAAGGGCATAGACTCCAATTTCCGATGATTAAACCAAGGGTTTCTCAAAAGGAACATTTTAAGCCGGAAGAAGTCTAGAGGACAAAGGCGACGAAGAAGCCTCCAGTTAAAAGGGCGAAAGGAAAATCCCGGAAGGATATTCTAGCCTGGGCGGGATTCGAAGTGTCACTTCGCTTCCTCGTACAACCTCGTTCTCTCCTCAACTGGGAAACTCTGTACACCAGTCATGATGTCACTTGGGGATTAAGTAAAACTCTGTACACACTAGACCCAAGTCACTATAGAAATGTAAGATTCAACTTGATTCTTGAGTAAGCCGATTGCTCAATTGGTGACATGCTTTAAAAGACAAATAAAACTTTGTTCCACTACCCTATTCCTCATAAAGTCAATCATGATTCACACTCTCTATAACAACAAAGAGAGAGAGACAAAACATCCGAGGGAAACAGATTTCTGATCTCAGTAATGAACAGGTTGATCCAAAGCACAAGTTGGCGCGCCGTCACCTGGGCCTGTCTGTCAGATCGTCTGGTGTTTGTTTAATGGATATTGTGGTTAGTCACTCTTATTAATATCTGGATAAATATAACTAAGGATTACACTTAATGGTCAGACGCTACTCTGACCACGCTGTGACACCTGACCAGACTGAACTTGAAGTAGTCCCATCGTCACACAATATAACAAAATTGTAATCTCAAAATATAAAGGGGCGTGTCAATCAATGCAAAACGAAAGTCACAAAACACTAAGAATTGTTACATTGTCTGTTTTGACGAAAATGGTTTCAACAAATCTTTTCTCGTCGATGACAAACCATTAACTCGTTCTACTTGACGCGTCAAACGTTCACGTGACAGCAATTTACCATTTTCAAAAATGGCTATCATAAAATAATTGACAACAACACACGTGGCAACGAAGTGGAGGAATTGAACACCAACAAACGAGCGAAGGTACACTTACCAAGTGTGGGATCATATTCGTGTAGATATCTGCCGCACAGAAATCGAACCGCGATGGCTGCAGAAGTAGAGAGAATGAAAACAAATAACATATTCAATTTCTTATAGTTGAATTGAAGTTGATTTGAATCTGAAATTTGAGCTTTAGATTGTGGATAGAATTAAGCAGGAAACCTCCTTGAATTCGCACAGCGTGACTAGGCCGAAGCCTCTTCTCTGATTTCGTATTCCGTTCCTTGCGTTGTTATTAACAACTTATATCAGGCATACATGTCATGAACGCTTACTATCTGGTGATAACAAAGCTTTCAAATTAACAACATGACATCATCTAACAACCTTTGTTTGTAATTTAACAATTGAGCAAAGAAATTGACTGGAGCGGGGTTGGAACCTGCGACCTCCGGATTACCTTTTCGTTGCTCTATCAACTGAGCCATAGCCCTACATGTTGGCGGTTTCCCCAAAGTGTCTTTGTTCCTGGGCGTTATAGCTTATAGTCAGAAACCATAAACCCATATGCCATGTAACTTTTCATTATATTTAGGGCAGTAAACAGCCGGCAACTAGGGCAAAGTGCACATAAAATCTAAACTTCAAAACGCACGGTAACCTTTTTTTCAATTAAAATGTTAGCAATCACTAATCAGGTCTTGACTGGGCACCGTCTGGTCAGGGGTGTGACCCTTCATTGGACTCCTGGATTAGCGTATATTCTTATGATAATTCTTTCCCCCTAACGGTAACCCAGTGAAGCACTAGACGACAATGGTCTGAGTTTCATCCAAGGACCCATTATAGGAAGATAATTGGCCCAGATATGAAAGGGGTGGGAGTAGAGGCTGAACGGCTCACAATACTTGTTGACACGCAAGCTCCAGGAAAGTGATATAATTGGGGGCACACTGCTTGTTAAAAAAGGGAAGTGACAGTTACAACTTTTTTGTTGATTTGGAAGTTAGGTCTTGTTAGTTCCAACGTTCCAAAAGTGGCACTAGACATATTGTTGCAATATAATGTCTTCGTGCACATGCCTATAGCGTTATAAAGTGCAGTATGGTCCCTTCATGAAAATGCTCGTTGCGGCCTTTGAAAATGCAAATTGAGGCAGTCTCGCCATTTTCAATCACTTTCGTTGGTAACCATAATGAAAAAAAAAAATATTTCTCAAATCACATCAATTTACCGAGTGTCAAATGGCTAATAGGCCTCCTGCAGCAACCAAATGGCAATAAGTTCTTTAACAGTTTATTTAATTTTGCTCTGTGGAAACTAAAATGTAACTTAACTAGTGAATCCTCCCAGCTCAAAATAATGTTCCCAAAACCGGACACAATTTTGGCGTCGGCAAAGTTCAAAGGGTGTTGTTATTTTTGTAACAGTTAACAGTTAAACCAGCAGACCAACCCCGGTCTATTGTTCAACATGGCGTGGTCCCGTTAGCCTGAGCAACACAAACACATTTTGGTCACTGTCTTTCTACTACAAACAAAGCCTCGTACCGTGGGGCGAGACTTCACAAGCACCGACACCATACCCGAGCCCGGTCAACACTGACTTATCAAGTTGGCATCAACAAACTGTTGGTGTAATGTTCGGATTATTCGCTAAATTCAACACCTGTTTAGACAACTCAGGTGTTATTTTATGACATAATTAATTGCTCTTTTCATTTAGGCCACAGGTGTGCGCAATTGGCGTTCGTCTTTATGCTCAGATGGTAAACTTGCTTGAGAATTTATTTCTTCGAGAACTAGACTTTAAAATCCTTCCTGACCGTACTGGAATTTTATGAAATTGTATGAAATTGTATCGTTATTAACATATGTCACTTCGGAATTTGTTCCGGTCAACTTGAACGTAACTTTTACTAATAGGTTTGTGAATTGGTTATCAAGCTCGAATGCACAGAGCTTGACAAAATTTAATTGGGGATCAACTTTCGTCCCCAACAACTCAATATCCAATTTTCAAGGATATCCCCGCTGCAGGGTGAAACCTAACATAATTATGATCAAGTCAAATTAATGGTACCCTGGGCTCATCTTCCAATCTATTGGCCGACCAACCACTAGCTCAGAGTGCCGACAGAACAACACGGACTTATTTTGTCTCTTTAACCACATGCAGAGAATCTTAAAGATTGCTTAAGGATTACAGAAAGGTTGTATTAAACTTGAGCAAATATATGGACGGCGCGCTAACTCCATCTACGCATGCCAACACTTGACTAGCTCATGTGACTGGCTTTCCAAAAAGTTTCCACTTTGTCGATGTCTCAAACAAATATCGCCCTAAGATATAAATCATGTCCAAACACCCACAGGTTGATTCTAAAGATGTAACCAACAATTACAAGTGATCTGTTTGCTGATTGGCTCACTAATTAATGGATTGTTATCACAAGGTGCACGCTGGGCCATGCAGCGGGGACGATCAAAGTTATCAATTTAACATGTCGGAAATGTTTCAGCAGATAAAATAATAATGTGTCGAGCTCAGCGATAGGTGTTCAGGTGATATGATCATAATGACTGCAGGGTAACAAGGTTCAACTTTGGCACAATTTATAGGGTCCAAGTTGGCCTGTTTTTCGTGCCTCAAGTAGCTGCGTGCTATTGGCTTTTGGGGGCAAGTGGTAATAAACTCCAAAATATTGATGATGTTGAAATTAATCTATCTTTTTATTGACAAACTCCACATGCGTTCACTAGAAGTTTGGTGTTCATTTAATTGCACTGAAGACAAAACACACTTCAAGACTGCAAGACCGTAAAATGGGTCTGTGTTGTATGTGAAATTTCTCAAAATTGTGAGAAATTCACAACAAAAAAACAAGTCGGATCTGAACTGCCCATGTGAGCCACACATAATCACATGACATGAAATGCAACAAGCATAGACTATTTTGTTCCATCTGTCATTCAAATAGCAGTCGATGTGGTTTTTTTTATTGCGAAATTTGATTTTTTTTTTCAGGAAATTGATCAGATTTGCTCAGATAATATAAAACCTTTTTAAAGAAAATTCTCGATTCTTACCAGATTTTCCGACGCCGTCGTTCCCGAGCAGCACCAGGCGGAAGCCGTGCGATCCCTTGTCCGTCTTCATCTCGTCCGTGTAGAACCGGCTGAACTGCCTGGCTAACGTCTTCAGTTTCTCCACCGGACTTGGTGGGCTGAGGAGAACACGGAATGAGGACAACACGACGTGATCACAATAATGTCATACTATTAATATAACCATCATCAGTGACCACAGGACTCAAGCACCACCCACCACATCATTAATGCGCGGCTTTATCAGATCGTCTCATCAGCTTGATGAGGTCATGAATACTCACCATGATGTTGGGCCAATATGGAATACTTTATGATAATATCTGCGCAGAACCAGATTAAGTGAGATAGTCGGCCAATGAAATGATCAGGTGTTTTTTTCCTGACACACTCCTCTTTCGATAAAAGTATATGCAATGCAATCAATTAAAAAAATACACATTTCGTGCACATAATGCCAGAAACAGGGAAAAGGTCAAATCCAAAGCATATTTTAATCATTCACGAAGGATTATTACACAAGATAAAATCTGGTTGCAGTTTGAGCATGTAAACTCCTGATCAAACTCCTTTGCGAGGCTCCTAAATTTTGAAAAGAAATTCAAAACTAATTCATGATGCATTTACAGCAAACCAACCAAATTATATAAATCTCCAAACGGTTGAAAAATATCCTTCAGCCGTGGAACATAAAAACGCCAAAATTCAGCGGCAAGTTTGAAATTAAAAACTCACCCGTCATATAAATGTTCAGGCACGTTACTGTTAACCGACGGTGCCATCTGATTGTAAGAAAAATCTATCCTCGGTAAAATCGGTAAAATTCAAGTGAATATCAACTTAGACGATGAGGATGCTCAAAAATGGCGTGTTGAATCGTCGAAAGCTTGCGTGCAACTGAGGCTTTCACTCCTCCTACTCCACTTGTTGACGACTTCTCAAAAACCCACTGATGCCTCAAATCTTTACTTGTGTTCTGTTGACACCACCGTTAATACCCCCAACTATGCAATAAAGTCGTCCCACTGCACAAACAACAAGGTGCTTGGGACGGTCACACAAAACTTTCCAACGGTACCCCCAAAGGGCTAGAATTCCAGCGCGCAACCCTTTTGTTCAACGCTGTGAGCTGGGCCGGGCTTGGGCGCCGCTAGCGCCAAGATCCTTGGCAAGGATTGACAGGTTTTTGTCTCTTCCCCACTCTTACAGCTCGTTAATCAGTAGCTGGAAGTACCCTTATTTTTGCACTTTTACAAGGACGGGGGTGCTGCATCGAGAGGGGTCCTTTTGGTTTTCCAGAAAAGACATGACAGGGGATTTCTAAAGGGCGAACAGAGCAAATCACCTTGCCCCAAGGGAGACGACGAAGCCAGTCAAGTCACGCGCTACGATCGCCCCACTCCATACGCCCGCTTCGTCCACTCGACCAACCCTCAACGAGTGTCTTCATCCGGATTTGAAGCCATCTAAGGTGGCATATGCTTAACATCACTATCGACGAAGAGGACAAGATCGAGACAACAGGTCTCGAATTATGTATGCGGATTGGAGGGTGAAAAGGGACATGTCTAAAATCCGCCAAGAAAACTGAATTTAGACCATGTCACTTTGATATCCTCTGAAGCGTTTGACGATCCAAATCTATGCGAAGATCTTGCATGTTTGCTTGTATGGTAGAATTTGGTTAATTTAGAAAAATAATGAGGAATGCAACTTGAATTGTTTGAAAAAGAAATAAACTAAAACTCCACTAACTATTAAAACATTTCTTTCTATTGTTTCTTCCAATTTTGATGATGCGAAGAAATTTGCTAGTAAATTTTATCGCAGTGAAAAAATAAGAACGATGATAGAAATCATTGAAAGGAGGCAATAAGGACTTACGAAACACATTCAATTGACTGTTGTATTGAATATGGCTCCAATATATAGTCACCATGACGTTTGTAATTCGAATTTCTGCTTAAACATACAACAATCCTATACTTAATCATACCACGTGATTATACACGTGGTAGTTACCTAACCAGTTTCACAATGGACCTATATAAAAACCCATTTAACCTTAACTAGGAGGAAGGGAACAAACAGAAGCCATAATAACGATATCTCTCAAAATCGAAGTCAATTATACGTTTGTTCCTCATTGTGGTACGCCTTATCAAACACAATCAATCAAATCTGGGAGTAAAAATACACCATAATTCATGGCCAGTTACACAACACGGGATGTAATTTGATTGGCAGTCACCATGCACGTGACTAGCCTTTCGGCGTGAAGCGTTCGAGTTATCCTAGGCAGGTCTGATAATGCATTCAGAACATGAAATGTATCGTAAATGGTGCATAGAGCCACCATGTATACTTTAGTTATAGAAGCAGGACCGAACATTGTTACCTTCTTGATATACATTCATGCTAGAAATGCTCGCTACAAAGGCAGATCAAAATGCGCCAGAATGTAAAAAAAAAACATATGGTTACTCTCAGGAAATCAAACTGTGAAGCCTTCGACGTCATAATTCGATTTCTTTGATGAAAGTGTGTGGTTTGCTCTGCGGGGGAAGAACAGATTATGGCTAAAAAAAGTATCTTCTCAGAAATGTTGTCAGGGATGCAAATGAGACCACAAAGATAGACCACGAAATTGCCATCTTTTAGAAAGTGAAGCCCTGTATTTTGTGAATTTTAGACCGCGGCTGATTTACCTAAAGAGGTAACACATGTGAATGACCGATTTCAAATAACCAAAGCTATTAGTAAAATGCTTGAGTAAATATTAATCTGAAATCTATATTGTAAGTTTTGTTTAGCAGTCTAACAGTAGGCTCCCTATTGCCTGTTATTTCAAATATTTCTTCTAAATATGAAAAGGAGCTTGGTCAAAGGTCCCACACAACTATACCCATCAAACAATGTAATCAAAGAGGCACGTCAAATTCGCCATTAAATTCCATCAGTCAGTTGACGTTTATGGTCTAACGGACCCCATTACAAGTCCTTCGCTTGAGCTGTGAAAATTTTGCACAAAGACGTTTCAAAAGATAGTCGACACCGATTGATCGATTCTGCTGAAATAATGGGCACCAGCTTTGCAACCACAAAGGGTCGGTCATAACATAGATGATTATGGAATCATAACCGCTTATATGCATTTTTCCACAAGGGCAAATCCTTGACGCTAAGGAATATAATATACATAATGGTACCGACTTTAAAACACTTAAAACAGTATAGATACGTGATCATTATGTGACGTGGCCGGTGAACATTCCTTTTTTAGTTTTGTATGCATGAGAATTCCCTCTTGCGAGGATGTCATACTAGAGCAAAACCGACGTCATCCTTACCCCAAAACTGAGGCTTTCGTCGTTCTAGCGCGTTAACCATTATTACGTATACCCTTCAAATGGTTAAAACTTGTCAGCAACTTGAATAGCCCACTTTGAGAATATTAATCGAGGTACATGTACATCTTAACTTAGAGATTTCAAAGCCATTCGAATTGGATCAAGTAGTTGCTTCAATTTGACAGTGGAACCTCTCCAGCTTTCAACTCAACTGCGTAAATGGGCAGGTCTAGGGGTCTAGGGGTTCCCCCTCCCACTCGCCGACCCACTAAAACCGCCCCTCCCATTCCCCAGGAAAAAAATCACGAGTTGTCATCAGGTTAAGGTTTTAGGGGGGGGGGGGCTATAGTACGCACTCTAGTGTATTTGCACCGCACCGTACTACATGTACTTCTGCTAAATAATCAAGACACAATCTAATAAGACCCTTGCTCGTTTGTCAGCACATTTCTCTGCCCCGGGGAATCATGCATTCTCGCTTCAAGTGATTCCTCAGTAAATACCAACGTCGTTTTACATACGGAGAGACTAGCATGCGATCCAACAAGTCGACCAATGCATTAATGAATGAGAATATCAGGGGTCATTCGATCACTCGTCAGTCACGTCAACAAGTCATATCAAGATATAGCCAACTGCTGGTCAACAACGATCAACAGACTTCAGTAGTATATTCATTTGCTGATTAATTGCATTTGACAGCAACGACAGGAAAGAGTTTCCCTTAATGCAAGTATTAGGTGTCTGCCATTACACAAGTGTAATTTCTTTCCGTTGTGCTTTAATCAGAGGCGTGTGGAACGAGTGGGAGGCCACGGGGGGGGGGGGGGTCCCTATATTGAAGCCACGGTGACCCAATTCAACCCCCCCCCCCACCCCCACCCCATTCGAAAACATTCTGGATTATCCTTCCATGATGTTACACTTACAGAATTTCTTTGTATCAGTCCTGAATCTCTCAAGTATATTATGATTTTTTTCACACCCTAGGGGTACATGACTGACAGTATGAGCACCCCTGAAAAATTACCCATGGAGTTTCTACAATCTTGAGGTCTTTGGGCCAAGTCACACATGACAATTTTCACAAGCAACACAGCAGTGGGGGATCTACGGGGTGGGTGGGTGGGAGGGGGGGGGGTCTTACGCACCCCCCCTCTTTTGGCCGCAAAAAAATATAGGAAATTATGCAGGAGTAATGTAGCATGTGCCACTTAACCACCCCCCCCCCCCCCCAGCCAAAGCTGGATCCAACCCAGCCTACATGGAGGTAATCAAATGCATTGCAAACTAATGAACCCTAATTACAAAGTACAGTTTGTAAAAAGCGTGTTTTTTTTCTCGGAACCTTACAGGGAATTAAAATCATTTGTCTGTCGTTTTCTTATAAAATCTAGCTGTATGGAGGAACATGGAGGAACAAGTTGCCTGTAAACTTCCTTGCATTACCGACAAGAGTGGTTTGGGAATCATCCACCTCGATTGCAAGGCACGCATTACACAAAGAGCTTTAAAAGGACAACAAAAATTACCAGGAAATTGCGTCAAACACCTTTTGTGCCGGGTAATCAATAATAAACCACAGAGATGTAGACACCTCTTATTATTGGTGCATTAACTCATCATTCGAAGGAACTTGATTGTTTGGTGTCTCTTTCTTCACTGATCACGCATGCATCCCTGGAGAGGAGGATCGAGTCTGGATTTCTCACAACAGCAGGCTCCGGCAAAAACCAAATCACAGCAGTCAGCTGTGGATGATCACTCTGTTCTTTCAAAAGCGTGAATTTCACCCCATGACCAACTAACAGACGATTAAGTGTGGAACACCATGACTGTAATACATTGAATGAGTCTGGAAAGAACACCGTTTGTGGAAACTCAAGTTATTCGATTGAATACATTTCATATTCACTCATGACCTCCAGAATGGTATACTCCATTATTGTTCAAAATCAGAACCATGAAACAACAAAAGGCAATTCGCAGAACCAAAATGGCAACAGAAAAAAAAAATTGTTTCCTTGAAGTGAAGATAGCTCCATTTTCACCGAAAAGTAATAAACAGACCTTCAGTGATCTAGCTTGAATCACCATGAGAAATATAAAAGACCATCAGCAGAATATCTAAGTGATCAATTCTAGGAATTCCTCCTTCAGATCTGAAAGGCAGGTACTCATTTGTGGTATGCGCTTTCAATTACGAAAGTTGAAAGCCCAGTCCAAAGGGGAAAAAAAAGAATAAATAATAAGTCCATTAGGCTCTCGTGCCTATTATAATAGATTGTTCTGGGAAGCACTGGAATAATGATGACCCGCAGAGTCTTGTTATATTACTCGGAAACTCCTCTGAAACCTTCTTAATCCCTTTAAATGACAAAGTGAAGAGGATGAGATAAGGGCTGGAAACCAAATGACACGAGATGGCGCTGTTCACGACAGAATTATGTGTACACACAATAATAGTATGCGATTCACGCTCCCTGTTCAGTTATCGAAACATACCAATGATAGGCAAAGCTAGTGCTGCTGGTTCCAATCCAAGACAAGAGGTCCAAGTGGTGATCCGAGTCAAATTTTGGCCCATGACAAGGCTTAAGCAAGTCTAATTCACAAGTAACAGTTAGTGAGTGAACTGAGCCAGGTACCGCATGAGGACTGTAGGCTTGAACTCTGGGACCAGCAAACTCACCCTTTCCAATATTTCACTGTACTACTTTCACTTCTTTGCACACGCCTTACCACCGACAGACGGACATTGGAGTTCCGATAGGCACTCGGTATTTTTTTCGTGAAAAAATGAGGGACATCGTACCCGTCCCCGATTAACAAAGTTAAACGGGATATCCCCTCCCAACTCACAACAGAATATCATGGGACCGGTGAAAATAACTGACAGAAAGAAGCGGGATTAATCCCCAATCCTTCCAAAATATCCATTTTCCGATGCTTTTGTTTTGTTAACAGAAACATGACGGAATGTCATAGGTCGTGCCGTATTTTCCCAATCGTCCCATGAGACCATTAACTCTGCGTTTGCTTTTGACAGAATTAAATTACTCACTCTTCCCTTTACATTTTGCCCCGCCCTCAGATAAACACTTGGCTTGTCACTGAATAACACCCCTCGGGTACATCACACACCAAAATAGCAACATGCGCGTGAAACGCATCGGTATAGAAATGTTACTCACAGGCTTCACCCCAATAATTATTTTTGAGCCCCCCGTTCGGATGTTCAGACGTAGTCGCAATGAAGATGAGAGCCTTCTCTCCGAAAATCACACTAAAATGGTTATTGTCACAAGTTAGATGAAGATATTTCAAACGATTAAGATATTTGAACTGTAAGCAATTATTGTCAGCTTACCTGCAGTGTTGTGCGGCTCTTTGAGACGTCGCTATGGCAAGATTTCTTCTGATCCAGTGACTTCGTCAGGTGTGAAACTGTTGCATCAAGTCTCTATCCCTAAAACGGGTGATCATTCATTTGCAGGTATCGCACGCTCTTGAGGCGCACCACGCTTGTTATTCCTCTCGGCTCGCAAGAAGTGTGTCCCCGTTGTTTGCTCAATAAGTTGTTTTTCATCGACATAGACCGGGAGCAGCACAAACACGCGCTTCTTCGATGACTCGCTGCCTACGTACGTACGTGCGCCTGTAAGAGTTCGCCCACATAATATACGTGTCATCAGCCTTGGCGATGAGGCAAGTGTATGTGTTCTGCCCTGGCTCAGTTCGAATTCCGCATGCATGATATGCAGTTGCTCCCGTCTGATAACGCCGGCCTGCATCCGAGTTGCCGCAGAATCATCAACCAGACTGTGCCTATCATCTTAATGGACCCAAAAGCTATTTTCTTAATCTCGCTAATCATGTGGCTTTTGTAGATGAGTGGTTGTTTTTCTTTTTTCACCACACGGATCAGTCGGTGATGCATGATAATAAGCCAACTTTAAAAACCCAGAAGTCAACGCAAAGATTGCACACGCAATAAAAACACGATCCATTTGACTTTATACTTTTGTAAACCAAGGGGAGTTGTTTTTGTTTTAGAATTAATATCTAAAGCTCACATGCAGCAGACATTCAGTGAGCGGCGGATTAGACATCAGCCAAATGGGGGGGGGGGGGGGGGGGGGGCTTTAATATACATACAGTGGAACACCTTTATAACAAGGTCCTTGGGATTTTACAAAATACCTTGTTATAAAAACCAAAGACTTGGGACCTAAAATTGTCCTTGTTATAAGCAGGATGTTGTATAATAGTTTTCTTGTCGGGGTTCGACTGTATTCAGATTATATACTTTAAAGGTTGATTGGTTTCGAAACTCGTCAAAACAGAGAATTAGAAAGTCAGATAACGAGCTGAACTAAAAGTCAACAGTGTGACCGAGTCTCGATAATTGAGACTGAATTATAAAACAAAATCACTATAGTTAAGTAAGAATTGACGAGGACCCTGACATTTTAGTTTATAGGCAAATGTTGGTGGAAAAGTGTAATTTGGGGGCACTCTAGCTATCTCCTCAAACAATTCAACCAAAGCCAACCTTGGGAAAATATGCCAATTAAAAAACAAATATCATTGCAAGGTATGTATTTTCAACATGTAAGTGAAATCCTATACCCTCAACAATTTGACAAGGATCCCTGCATCTTTTCAATTTAAAATGATATGAAATGTATGGCAAAGACGCAAACTTAAGGAATATTATGACCGACATTATGAACACAGCATTTTAAGAACGTCATTATCGTCACCGTCATTGTCATAATCATTGTCATCATAAATATACAAAATGGCTACTGCCCCAAAACTGTTCGAAATTGCCAGAGAGATGGCCCTTATTATAATAGATACCGAAAAACAAATTCCATTTCCTCCCCCCCCCCGCCGAATACCATTAAGAGTGGAGCAAACAGGGTAGAGAGACATTGAAAGACGGTCACGACCACCTCCATCGAGGCTCAACCCCTCCCCTTCCCCACACTTTTGCTCCCCACCCCCACCACAATCCCCTCAGAATTAAGGGAGACATTTTAATATCTTTTTATCATTACAATAATATTTGAGTGCCCCTACTGAAAATGAGGCCACCTTCAGTGCCCCCCCCCCGAAAAAAACTCACAATCGCAAAAACCTACAAAGACAACAATCACTAGCACTCTTAGTAACTGTCTGCCATCTGGTATGTATTAAAACTATAAGTGCTGTGTTAAAACCTCAACTTTGTACTTCAATGGAAAACAATTGTCTTTTTTTTTTGGTGAAGTTTCAAATTGAAAGTTTGTAGGATGTTCCAGAATTTAACATCTTGCAGATGCGAAAAGTGCTTCTGTAAAATCATCATTCATCGTAATTTTTCCGTCAGAGGTTCTTCTGTATTGAATCTCCCTGAACTGAGCAGGATGAAAGGATTTCCTCCCCGTCACATTATAAACATTTCCACAGCAGATAAAAAGGGGACACCTTTACGGAAATATTCACGGTAACCTTTTTAACAGAACTGTAAAGTCTCAAAAAAGTCACATAAACCCTAAAATCAGATAAGGGATGACTTGACTGCAAATTACTTTGTCTGGCTCTAATATCAATTTAGCAGGAGGTCGTGGGTTCGAGTCCCACCCGAGTGATTTTTCCAACTTTCACTCGGGAGGTAACACACTGAGTATACGGTGTTTATACGTCGGTGAAGGGTAACACCTAATTTGATTTACATTACCCCGACGCCAAAAAAAATCCATCTTATGAATATCAATTCGGTTAAATTTGGTGGTGAACTAAAATGTCAGGGTTGAGCATTTTTCCATGTCGGTTTAAGCATGGTTTAAGAAACCTCCTTACTTAAAAATCATCCCAGGACGGGATTTTAGGCAAATGGCTTTTCCAGGAAAGTTTAAGCGTGCGAGTTCCGGTGATCTATAAAGCAGAGTGAGAGGGGTAAATGTCAAGATCAATAAGGTCAACGTGGACACGCTTTTAGAGAAAACAGCAGACGAAACACCTTCTTGACGTCGGCATTGCCTTCGAGGCCTCTTCAGTTGTTGACCTCTGCCGAAAGGCCATGTACGAGACGTCGCTCGGCTGAAACTCCACCGTTCAAACTTGATTCGTTCCTGATACATGTGCATGTATATCGAGAAGCCCGTTGCACTAAAGCGGCAATTTGATTGTACATGTAGTACATTGAAATACATGTACATGTACATGTACACGGTCCGGTCATGTACGATGCATGTAAATATGGTATGCAGCTGTCAACAGAGGGCGCTCTTCCTAAACCAAGCTTACTTTCAACATGTACGTGTGTATAAGTACAAATGCATTGCATTTACTTGAGAATCATGCTTGCTATTTACTCGAACGTCATACCCTTTGCCATTGCAATTTAGATATAGAGGGCGCACTTTGAAGGACCAGAACTGCATGCAACACACAACCTGCTAAACACCCCCCCTCCCAAAAAAATCGAACGCCTGAAGTTAAGAACGGCTACAGTTACATGTGCTTATAATTCCTCTTCAACTTCAGTTACGACTGTTCAATTCATCTACATAAATAATATCCAGCATCAGTTCCATCTCCTTGTACCTATTCAAATCATCATCCACATACACAAGTCTTAACTGTACTGAAATAAAACAAACCACAAACAGGAGTTCTACCTTAAAATATTCTTTATTTAAACTTCCAATAGTATTTCTTTTGTAATATTTACACCTATATACATCATACATGTAGTACCCACAATTTTTTTTTAAACAAGAGGTTTAACACAAGTACTTGTAATGCAAGGAATTATGTTGGAGCAAATTTTCATAAGTACTTTCCAAAACTTGTACATGTATTCAAATTACTATACATGTACAAGTAATTTTCAATACAAAAATGTAGGAAAAAAAAGGAAGCAATTTCGTCAATAGAGCTGTTGATTTGTTCAGTGTAGATCAGCAAATTTGCAAATTCACCCATTTTTTCAGCCTCTTAAAAAGTATTCAATGCAAACACCTCTACTTGCTTGCGCTTGAGCGCGATGTTGTGGACAATGATAACATTGACCTGCAGCACTTTTCAAGCAAATTCGTTTGCACTCTTTCTCAACGCAACTCAAATCTGCTACTGACAGGTCAAAACAGCTTTGTAGAACTGACTTGACTAAAAGGCTGCATCCAAATTACTTGGCTATGAACTGGCAGTGACGTCACACATATAGAAGCGACCCAGCTCACTTAACGACACCTGTTACTACTGGCCACAGCTAAGTAATTCAGATGCGGCCGCAATTTTGCCATTTAGCTGAAGTCCATGATGGCCACCATGAACCATTCAGGTCTTCCGATACCACTTGCTCACTGCCGAGAAATGGGTCAATTTGAATTCACCTCAGTGGAGTTCAGGGATGATACTCTAGCCTGGCGAGAAATATAGAAAAAACTTGGTACACAAATTAGTATGTCAGACGATTGTGAATGTGCTGTGGTATTTTTTATCAATCCAAAATACGGATGGTAAATTAAGAAACAGAAATACTCAGAGAAATTGAACGAGTACAATTCTGAGGTATAACATACACTTAAAATGCACATATGATAACAAACGTTTACCAAGCACATCACGCATTCTAAGAAACATTAACATGGCAAAAAAATATCCCATGTCTGACTGAAATTTATCCCAAGCAAAGAGCATGCTATGCGTCAAAATGCATAACACAAAAATATATCAACAGAATGCTGGTTAACCAATTTTGTTTCTTTTCACTCAAACAAATTTCGGTAATTTTTAGCTATCACTATCAGCCTAGAGTATCATCCCTGACATTCAAGACATTTATGTCCATTGCTACTTGAGTGAACAAATCATCAAACTCCACTTGAGAATCCCTGGAAAATGTCAAGACTGTTACCTGTGAAAGAAACAAAAGGACACATTAAATATCACCCCCCCCCCCCCCCAATTTGTGTGTGGGTGAAGCCTGACGATTCTTTAATTCAAAAGTACATGTACACTGAGAAACAACTCTTTTTGGCCAATACTCTGAAAATTTGCTCCCACTAAGCCATTACAATGGTACACAGCAAATATTTTGATCTGAATCATCAAGGATTTGTGAATCAGGAGGAGCACTTGTCAAAGACCCTGCACTTTGAAGATAAACAATTAGAGCAATGAATTTACTACACTTCTTGTTTCTTGAAGTGACAATGGATTCAGCCATGAATTAAAAAGTCCTTGCAACGCCCCAGTTTCCATATTTGGATTCAAGAACAATCCTTAATCATTCAGAATCCATGCTATTTACATTTTATACTGATTAACTATCTCACATAAACAAGAACATAAACAGTAACAAACTTGTTCTCAAAGGTTTTAAAGCATGAATTGAACTTTTTTTATAAGCTGGAAACTGTAACTTTACAGAATTCTGTTTTGTACAATGTCAGCAAAATTGAGAAAAATCATAAAACCAAAAACTTCAAAATTTTGTCAATGACATTTTTTAAAACAAATTTGAAATACATAGCCAAATTAAAACTGATCAACTTCATTTCAAACTTTCTATAATTTGAACCGACACGACCAGACCAGCATTATTCAGTTCAATTCGAAGCCCTTTAAAAACACGCCAAAATCAAAATCACAATTTACACGACATCTATACATTACCTTTACATAATACTACCTTTGTCTTAGAGAGATGTAATGGTTTAGAGTTTCCGAGAACGAACACCCTCATCTTCCACCTCTTACAGGCACGTTTCTCTCTCACCAAGTTCCAAGCTTCACGAGCATGGGAAAAATAAATGGGGCCATCAATAGAATTTGCTCATAGATTGTTCTCCTAATTTCTAACAGTTTGGTCCAATTTTTTTTATGATGAAGATTGCATGTGAAGATGGAACAAATCTAATAAAGGACGTCTGCTTTAAAACTTCACATCACATGTGCAAAAAAAAGGAAGAGTTTTACACGCAGGTATTCATTTCATTTGAAAAGTTGAACTTTATGTTAAATTTTAGTCACCTGAACAATCAGGATGTGATCCAACTGTAAGAAAGGTTAAGGATTTGTTAATTATTTTAACTTTGTACAGTTGTGAACATCCAACTTTTTTTCACCAAGACAAGTCTTAAAAATTTTCAAGTACAATGTACATGTTTGTAATAAACGTTCATAAACATTTTCTTTTTAAACTTGTTCATTGGAAAACTGCGAAAACTTCTATCGTGACATAACGGCACATTTCCTTCTTTTTTTTTCTGCAGAAAATTCAGATAAACTGATGCTTACCAAATATTTATTTTAGTTGGCAAAAGGTGCAGGCCAACATGAGCAAGATCACACAAAGCCATCAACCGAAAGGTCGATGCTTTCCTGTAAATAAAAGACAAGGAACTCAACGTGTTAGATTAATAGGTTTCAAATCTGCTAGAAACAGTGCAATCCAGGGAATTCACACACTTCCATTGGGTTTTCACAGCCTAATTATAAACCAACTGTGCAATTACTCAACTTACCAGAAAGCATTTCGGTTCAACCCACAAGTTTCAAAAACTTGTCGTCCCAACGAGCTGGCTTATGCTCCCATCTTTGATGAAATTCCAAACCATTCTCCAAAGGCCATTTTGTAGTCAACAGTGTCACTCTGAAACCACTGAACTGTAGATTGAACTGATGGGGCAGTCAGGTTGGCGTAGCGGTACTTTCCTCGCCTTCCACCGCTGTGACCCGGGTTCAATTCCTGCCTGGGCCCACATGTGGATTCGATTTTCAGTCCCTGCCTGGTTCCGTGGGTTTTCCCTAGAATGTTCTTCTGGGGTTTCCTCCCATGTCTAAAACAGTAACTTGTTCACATTGTTTTCTCTTTACTGAGACCCATGGGTGTCCAGTGCATTCCACTGTATGGGCTACCCAGTAAAAATAAGGATTAAATAGTTAAAGTACCAGTCAACTGTACTCAACTCTGTATGTTAGAGGCTGCATAAATAGTTTTGCAGTATTTTGCTTTCTGATAAATTGGGTGAAAATAGATTCCAATGAATTTAACTTTTTTTTTACACGTCAAAATTCAAATTTACACATTTACCAAACCACAGGCCCAATTTTTTTCTCTTTTACAATGAAAATGTTTTTTTTTTTTCAGTCAAAGAAAAAGCTAAATATATTTATTTAATTCAGGACCAGTTAAGTGCCATTCATTGAAATTGTTACACATTCATTACATCAAAAATCACAACAGAATAATTGTTTTAAACAGTTTTTACATTTTTAGTTTTAGCACATTGTACATGTACATACAATTTTCTGGACAACTAAACTGGCCCTGAATTAATTTTTTGAAGGACTACTGGCAGCTGGTCCCTCCATTTGTGTCTTTTCCCTGGAGCATCTTCTGATCCTTCCACCTCAGCTTCTTGCCTCCGGAACCTAGATCTCGACCTCAGAATTTGCGACAGGCATACTGCAGAAAGATGTCTTCACTGTCTCCTGCTGATACAGTTGTCATCATCTGGATTTCACAGCTCACGTCCGGAGATTGTAATGTAGCCTCATCTAAAAAGAGAGCTGACAATACTTACATTTGTACACAATTATTTACATAGTGTACAGATCCTTAGGTTTGTGTCAACTTCATGGATGATTGTTGCTGTACGGATGATCCTTTCTGGCACAGCTTGCACAGAACTTCAAGGATGCATCCTCGCCATCCACGTGAAGACAAAGTCCGCCACTACTTGAGGAGGAGGCATCATCTTGCTGGCTTTCGTCTGCGTTGAAGCTGAGGCGAACATCACTCTGATTCATCTTCTTCAGAAGTCCGGCCAAAGAGCTCTGGTTGAACAGCACCTTTCGGAGATACTGGACCTCCCCTTCCAATGAGCTGATCTTCTTCTTCGCCTGGGTTGACTCCGTCTTCAGTCGGGAATTCTCCTCGTTGAGTTGCTCATTCGCATCTTCCAGAGTCTGGAGGTACATCTTTTTCTTCTGACGATTCTCACGAGCAGCAATTGCATTTTTGCTGCCGTTTCTGTTCTTGGTTTTGCACCATGGTCCACTCTGGTTGCCGACTCCCAGGATACTGCTGCTGTTTCTACGGAGGGTCAATGGCATTGAAGTTTTAGACCTGGTCAACTCTCTAACGTTATTACTAGACATGCTAGAACTAGCCACAGTCGTGCCGTCTTCATTGTCATCATCTCCGTCTTGGTGGGTGATGTTTGAGTCTTCCAGGAGATACTCTAGCAAGTCTTGATCCGTCTCATCCATTTCTGATTGCCGAGGAGAGCTGTACGGCTCCGACCCAGACAGAGATGCAGTCATCGACATCGGGGACGGGCTGCGGAAGGACTCTTCCTGCTTTACTTTGGAACAGTTAGTGTCACTTGTTAAGTCAACAACACAGTCGAAATCTCCACCTTCAAAACCAAGATCAAACAAATACTCAGAATCTGTGCTGTGTGTGTTTAGGCTTGCGAGAGTGACCGTATTCAAATCAGCCCGACAAGACTTAGCACTGACAACTGGTGATTCAATGCCAAGCTGATCTTGAATCTGACTTTCGTCAAATACATCAAAATCAACAGCAAAATGACCCTCTTCATCAAAAAAATTCTGCACTGACTCCATTTTTTCTGCAGGCAGTCTCGTCAGAATGGTTCGTGCTACGAAGTACGATTTTGTCTTTTTTCGATGTTCGACAACACGCCGCTCGTCAGCTCAACAAGGGTTATACTTGACGAGAAATTTGCCGAGATTTCCTCGAACACTCAAACGAAAATAACAGAGCATGCAGTCTCACAAATCTTACCAAATTTCGACGAAAAGACGGCAGTTTTTTCACGTCTCTCTCCACACGAAGTTAGAAAAGCAATGACGAAATGTGCGTGGAATCGCCTTCTCTGCTTTCAGAGTTGATTGGTCAACGCCGATCACATGGTGTGTGATTTTGATGTCCATTGGCTGTTATTTACGGGAGGTTGACATCACCTTCGAACGTCGGCAAAACGTTTTGCAGTGTTTGTTTGAGGCCGAGTGGGCGAAAAACAACTCGTTCCTAGTATCAGTTATCCAAATGAAAATAGTACCCTATTTGGGGACATTGGTTTATTTATAGGGGGAAAATAGATCAAAGATAATTTTTTTTAAATTTATTATGCACAACAACGCTATCGATATCCGCAAAAATCGCACTCAATTATTCAGTAAAACAAGACATGGTTTAATGGGTTTTTTTTAGCGGAAGGATATTATGACTTGCTATCGATCAGTGCACCTGTCGGCGACATAAAAAAAAAATAGTACTCTATAGAAAAGTTAAAAAAAAAGCGCTGCCATCAGCAAAACGGCTCATTGCACCTTGAACTGAAAAAAAACCCAAAAGAATGAAATTATAAAAAAGAAGATGCCTCACAAAGGTCCCCGCTCACCCTGTTGCTAAATTTCATCATAAAGTATGCCAGTTTCGAATTTCAACAAAAGTGATGTTTTGTTGGGGTTATTCTGTTCAAAGTTATAAAACTTTTGAATGGGTCATAAAAACAAAAACTTTTACATGTAGAAGTAAGCGCAAATAAAGCAGGCATTTTGTGTTTTTAATTATAACAATTGCTAATTATCTAGCTATCGAAATTTAAAAGCTTTTCAGAGGAGTCAAGACGTACAAAATTGAAAAAAAAGTTTACTTAAAAATAGAGCAAACCTTAAAATTTCGTTTTGAGAACTGTATAGTTTACTTCTTAAAGTTTGAGATCTTTTCAATATGAATAAATTGTCAAGACGTTGGGCGCAATCTGTGTGGTTTGATAGTTGATTGAATTATTAAAGAAAAGGAGGAAATAAATATTGAGATCTACAAACAAAATTATTATTACTACATCAAGTAAATAAAAAATACCTTTTTGTGATTTTAGTTACATAGCTCGTCCGGAGCATAAAATTTAATTGGACCTAAATTTATGTTGCAAGGAAAAAAATAAAAATAAAAAACCCAAAATTAAATCAAATGAAAAACAACTGAAAGCGCATTGCAATATGTAACTTCATTCAAAATTTTAATACAGACTGTGCAATATGATTGCAGAATTTACAATTCCACATAGCTACATGACACATATTAATGAGAATTATTACAATCATAACTAGTATTAACAAAAAAATCTCGTCAAAAAAAGGAGAACAAATGCATTATCGGATCAATTAAATAAGGTTTTAATTATCATACGCCAGACCTTTTGCGAAGAACAGTGCTCCTTTGTCCAACTTATCAATTCATCCAGTATAAAAGTTATTTAACTTCCCAAAACAAACCAAATTCACAGTTTTCTTTTTAAGTGCCTTCACGTTAACCTGTCTCTGCCCTTTCCTATTTGACAGCGATGCCCCACTTAAACCAGAGGTTAAAACATAGGAGTGCTTGATTGAGAGACAGTAGTAGTTATGTCATCTGTTTATTACTGACAATCAGACGCAAACAAAGTTTTTTTCTTCAAAAACGGTGGGGAATCCCCTTGCACTGTCTTGACCTCTCATTAATAAGCCAACTTGTAAAACAGTTGACTATAACTAAAACCTTGAAGTGACCACAATTAGTTTCAAGTCTGTCTTTACCGTGTTATTACGTACCTAACGAATGCAAACTGGTGGAGCCTTTGAAGTAGGCACATTAATTAATGGTACTTTACGACGTCCACTGATTAACATTTCTTGCACGGTTTGGTATATGCCCATAGGAAAAGTGTGTCTACTGTGTAAAACCTTCTTATTTATAATATGTACACAATCAGGAATACCATTTCGAGACTCGTAGCTTAAGTTGACATGTGGCAATTCTAAAACATAAGGTAATGTACATGTACATTTTATATACAGGTATGTTGTTACATGCCATTGGAGGATTTGTGTGAGTACAACCTTGGAGAAATTTGTGAAAAACACAAAGTGAAGTTACTTCATGTATCTGTCAAAAGAAGAGGTTGTTCTTCTAAGAACTAAAGGTGTAAAGTAAACTGGAATTTTTCAGTCAACATGCTCTGAGCAACACAGATAAGAGAAAATGTTGAGTTAAAACCTTTGTTCTTCTCTTAATCATGTCTCTGTCAGTGATAGTGACTTCATATGGTGAATCAACAAACATCTTCCGTCATCTTGTTTCTGCATCTCTGAATGCAAGGACTTAAGAGTGCTATCTTGAGGACAACTTCGGTACTTTTTTATACATTGACGTAAGAAATAGCACCGACAATTAAATCAAACCATTTAGCAAATGCTAAGGTGAAATTTGGACATGCTACATGTTAGGATGAGTGAAGTGCACACAAAATGGCTTGTAATTGTAAAAACAAATGAGTCCAATCAAGGGCTTTGATGGATCCATCGCAAACCATTTACAATGAGCAATTTGTTTAACAGGCTCTGTGATTGGTTGGCCTATTCCTGACTAATGAATATGCAAGCTTTGCAAAAATGGAGTAACCAAAGTGTTTAACTTACTAAGGGTAGTTGTAATGAAAGGAATATATTTACCAGACAATACCATCAAGTAAAGATAAAGATGTGATTCTAGATTGGTTTCATGCCAAGTATGCAAATACACACTACATTTCCCAAACAAAAAGACACTTGATTAGCACTGCTTCTCGAAAACAAGTCCCTGTAGAATTTCGGAAGAGGTAAATAATAACTGCATAAGGCACAAGCATTTGAGCAAACCAGCCATACCGAAAAAGTAGTCTTAATCACAACATCAATTCTACCTTAAAAGGGGGGAAGATTGAACATTTCACAGGAATTACCATTTTGAAAATTGAAAAACTTAAATCTAAAAAAAGCAAAACACCAGGGTTGATTGTGACTGCATTAGTGACTCGAGCTGTAATTTCACATCAGTGAATTTAAACCAAAACATTTTGGCTTTAGCTCAGCGAGCTATCATTTGCACTGAATATGAGTACATCACAACTGATCACATGTCAAGAAATGGAGTTCTTAGTTTAGGCTAGCCGTAGTACCCTGTGGTCCTGGGGAAGGAATACGAGGGATTGCACAAGAAGGTCTATCCAAATTTATCCAGCAAATTTTGAAATTTATTTCTATTTTTTTTAAGCTTAATGATGATGTATATGACAGCAGTTTGAGGTTGAACTCTGTAAAATCACTCCCGGATTTTTCAGGATGGCTGAAGTGAACTACAGTGTTTCTCACATCGGAGAGGACAAAGATATTTACTATTAAGGTGGCATCTGCCTCATCAATTCTTGAGTCTCTTCCGTGATGACAACAGCAATCCTCAAGTGACTCACAGATACTCAGGGGCACCACTAGAGGGTGGGTGTGGGGGGGGGGGGGGGGACACTTCGCCTCCCAAACCCCTTATTATTCCTTTCTGTTAGAATCCCCCTTCCTTATGATTCTTCAGCAGCTAGGCAACTGGAAGAAACCCCTGGCTGCCTTCCGCCTTCCAGCGCGGAGTGGTCTGACGGCTAATTTGCTGTAGCACTCCCATTCAAATTGCCCTGGGGACACTCAGATACTGCTGTTGGTGCAATGACGGATACTCTCCCGTCCACTGAAGACAAAAATTAATGACAAAGTTTCTGGAAGTCGCTGCAGGATGGCAGCTTCACCTTAGATGTGCCACAGCACCAGTCTGATACTCAGCTGGATGAGCTACTTGTGTACCTTATTTGGCAGGAGGGGTGCACTGCAGGTGTGTGGGGGTGCGGTATGGGGTAACGGGGGGCCAGGGTGGGCTACGCTAGGTAACTGTACATGTCTTTCTCTCCGTCCACTCTCTCTAGGTATTCCTTCTCTATTAGGATGTCAATACATTTCTGCAGTAAAAGAAAGGGGGAAAACAGGCATAGTTTTGATGTGTGATACCAAATGGCAAGCATTTTCTTCTGTTTTACAAGGATCAATATGTTTGGGAAAACACAATTGAACAGAATTTTCTCCGTGGATAATAATTGTATTAACAAGGCTTTAAAAACATTTTTTGTTTTTGTGTGGTAAGTGCCACACAAATAATTAACTCTAGGATATTCGGAACATGAAAGTTTGCTTGCTGGCACTATACTGAATTGCTCTTTACTCCTGGAAACTGAATCTCTTCCCCTAAATTCCTGGAAACACCTTCTTAAGAGTTGGACCTCAAGCCTCACCTTGATGACAGGCACTCTGGGCTTGAATCGGCTCGACAGCTGGTTCAGAACTTCACCAAGTAGCTGCTGGTGTCTCAGGGCCTTACGCATCTTCATTATTCTCACAATGGCAGCCTGAAAGTGACATCAACAGAAAAAAACAGTAATCCGTCAATTCTTGAATTATTTAACTTGGTAGTCCCTGAACTGCCCCAAACCACCCTTCCTATTACTCCCTGTACTGCTCCAAACCACACAAGCGCTCTATGGTTTTATGGGTTCATTAGAATAAATACAATGTAATACAATGTAGTAAAGTTGCTGATGCGATAACAATATCCTTGAAGGGAAAAAGGGAAACACCCTTTGATTTAACCAGGTCAGGTTTTTAGGCCTTGTTAGGGTAAAATCTACTCAATGATATGCCCTGAATCAACTCTACGATCTTTATACGTTGGCATTTGATTGAAAGTTGACATATACAGCAAGTAAATGATAGATGTGAATTGAGGTTTTGCACGGTGAAAATTATAACTTAAGGAAAATTTGCAGATACTCCATGTGAAGTTTACATGCACACCTCTTAAAGAAAAGTGTGGTCCTGAGAAGAACCCAAGACAAGTATTTCATAACTTTTCTGCTAACTGTTAAGAAAATGGCCCCCGGTGTGGAAAACAACGGTTACAGGTTCACATCTCAAGTTTTAGTCATTAAGTGCTTTCTGTACCTGTATGAGTAACTTGCGATCCTCTTCAATGTGCTTGTGGGTCGATTCCTGTTCCTGCCTCTGCTCAGCTTTCATGGGAACGTTGATATTGACGCGAAACTTCTTACTACAGAGAAAATAATTTCAATTACAAACATATTAAGACTTTTTTCTGTTTTTTTTTCCAGTTTAAGGAAGACAGAAAGAGTAATGACACAATATACATTCCTTTTAATGTGGCCTTAGCTCTGTCGTGGTAAGATCACACTAACACCCTCTATTGCTACTAAATGGAGTCCATTACTGCAATGGCTTCTTGTGTCCTCTCGTTACAAGTTTTACGACTCCTGATGGGTGACTCTGTTGATCAGGATTAAATCATTCTTGATTGAATCAGTTCTTCCAATGATTTGTTTTTCTCTGATGAGGGCATAGAAGTGATTGATACTCCGAAGGTTAAAATAGTCATTACACACTCAAGCAGCACTCACTTTTTGTATCCAATAAACAGCCTGAGTTCTGACGTGGGTTTGATGTCATCTTCACTTTCATCGCATTCCTGTTCAATCAAAAAAAAAAATGGCAAAATTTTAAAAATTCCCTAAAGTTGCTATCTGTATTTCATATTGTTCACTTCAAACTCCACAAGCAAAAATGTTTTTCAAAGAAAGTCAAAACTTACCAAGAGTTTAACTTTCACTAAAATCTGTACAACTTGAATCAGCGTGTCCTGTTGGAAAATCAAACAAAGTTAAGTTCAGACCAATTGATTCTTCAGGTATTATCATATCTCCATCAGCTCCACACAATTCATGGCCCCTTCTCATCCATATATACTTTGTTTTGCAAGGGTTTATACCATGAAGTATTTCCTAAGTATTTCTTTAGTCCTACTGCCTCACTAGTAAACTCCTCTACAGAATTTCTACTTCTCACTTCTCTTACTTATCAATGTTTGAGCATAATGTCAATCACTTATTTCTTTTTTTCAATATAAATACCTTCAGACAGGATAGTAATCGAAAAATCAAACTTCACCCAAAACTTGTGATTATTGAAACTGTTATTCTGCTAAAACGTCCACAATTTCAACACCTGTAAATTCTCAATTGAACTCATTTACTTTTGGCTGATTGAAACAATCACATCTCCTCTACTGAACAAAACTTATTATATTCATAGAGCCAAATATTTGGAAATAGCAAGTCTGCAACTGAAGTTTGGAAATGTTTAACTTGGATGTGTACCATTTTGATTTGTGTGTTATCCTGTAGTTGTTGTATCGTGTATGTGTCAGACACGTTGAACTGTAGCAACACCGACATCTGAAATGTGGACGCCTGCAGAAAATACCAGGAAAGAAAAGTAAACATTCAAAAAGTTTGAAATGGTAACAATAATGTGAACTAATATCTGTCCCAGAATCCTGATAGGGTCAATGCATCAGTCTAAACACTGGACTCAGGATAAACTTTGTCAGACTTGGCATTCATGTCAGAGTTGTAATCAAGAAATCGTAAGTCATCACAAGTCATCACAACTCAATCAGAAGTCAACACAAAGTATCGCAAGTCATCCAATCCCAAGTCAAGCCACGAGCTATTCAGCTCCAGCAATTCACAAAGCAGTGCGCCACCAAAAGTTTGCCATGGAGAGTCTATTTTTCAGGTTTATGGTTGACAAAACATGGCCCATTTGAATGAGTGAAAGCAGACAACTTGAGCTAATTTGTTATAGATTGGGGCAAAGCGTTCTGCCGCCTTACAAAAAACACCATATTGATAAAAAGGAAAGTAAAGGGCAAACATATAATCAAATCATACGCCGGAAAAACTAACAATTTCAAATGTCCCGAGCTGCGAATTTGTTGACCATCTCCCACAACGCACTGGGAAAAATGAACTCTCCGTGGCAAACTCTTGGAGGCGCACTGCATTGTGAATCGCCCGATTGAATGACGACGAAAGTTTTTATCATCGTTGATTTCAAGTAACCTGTGACTTTACTTGTGACCCGATGTGACTTGTGACTGGCTTTACTATGACTCAGTTCTCGTTCCCCTGTTTGCCTCACCTGTAGTGTGTATCTATTCTTGAAGCAGTTTGTGACCAGTTCTCCTTTAGACATTTGGAAGACCCACATGAGTTTTCTTCCGCTGTGCTGACCTGCATAGAACGTGGTGAATCGCTGGAAACTACGCTCCAACTAGGGATAAGCAATCAAACGAGAAAAATCAGAAACACACTGTATGACAGAAAGGAGTGTGATGGTTAGTACCAAATATCTTTGGAAATCAAAGATATCTAGAGTCTCCCAAATCAACAAGATACAGGTTTAGGCATGTGTGTTTCAGGACATCAATGTTAAAAAAAAATATGGCATCGAAGGATCAAGCGAAGGTCATATCATGTACATGCAACAGATCCCACGCACATGATGTGCACTTATCTGTACCATTCAGGTGGTACTGTACACAGAGTCTATGATGAATCTCCTAAAGCCTTACAAATCTGTGCGGATTTTTTTCGCTGAAGCTCTTTAACATCGATTTCAGGATGGCTTTGCAGATTGGTGCTGAACGAAAAAGTACTAGGAACGACTCACGTCACTACATTTTTGATTGACTAGACTCTGGAGCCATTCCAACACAACTAACTGATTCAAACTTTGAGCTTTTGAAGTGCTTAATTCAAATCTTTAGGATACGTCGGTTTGGCATGATCCCATCCAAATGTTCTCACCTCGCTGGGTAGATTGAAGGTACAGCTCTGCTGGTAAGGCCAGGAGCCTGAGCACAGAACCTGGATACTGAAGTCAATGTCCAGGGGCTCACTGCTTGACAGGTGTAACTTGAAGTGTTCGTTGAGATCCTTGCTGACGCCGATGTCTTGGAACATCCGCTGGAGCTTGGAGGTGTACTCAAAGCCACATGCTTGCTGTGGGGTTGGAATGGTTAATAATCACGATCAAACAAGAGAAGGTATGTGATTGGCCTCTTTAATCAAAGCTAGGGGGAATCAAAATAATTTAAGAACATCTGGACCGTGCATGGTCCACACTCATTAATCATTTGGTTTCTTGCATCACGGTTAGGGCTCAAAGTTCAGATTCCAATCTGGGACATCCAATCGTGGACATGAAATTCTAACTGGCCCTTCAACCTTTACTCTCTTGAGGGTTTTTCCAAGCCTAATGCCTTGAGACAAACAGGGGTAATACCTTGAGTTTGGAGATCATGCTAGCTTCGGCGTCATCGCTGGCTGAGTTGTGATGCACCAGTCGCTTGGCCAACAGCTTGGAGTAAAACTTCTGGAACACGTCCTTGTCATCAATGTATTTGAACACTACCATCTGCAACGAGAGGGAGTACGGTACAGACTGAAAACTTCAATTCTTTTTTTGATAAGATTTGTTTGAACAAAAATCCTGCCAAATCCCATCTACAGGGAAAGAACAGTTTAGGGGGTGTCATACAGCCTATTTTCTTCCGAAATCAATTGGATAATTGTTGAAAACAAAGTTTCCAACTAAACATCTTTTAATTTTATTTAATTTTCTATACTTCTGCACGGTGGTAGAATTTGGAAGATCACAAAAAATTCCTCACAAAAACACCAACTGTGTTTTACAACTGTGAACAACTACATAAGGCAACCTGTGTAACTGCTTCGGCCTTAATGGTTCTCAAGTTTCTGTAGAAGGAATGACCACTCACCACTTGGTTGAGTGTGTCTTCAAGCTCCGCCTCTTCAGGATTCTTGGAGCTTTTCTTGAGGAGCGAGTCGCAGTACCTGGCCAGCAGCTCGGGGGACTTACTGGAGGAATTGGCCATCTTGGTCACGGCGTTGCTGTTGATGAATCGCCCGCAGGCCTGACATGAGAAAAACAGAAAAAAGAAAAGCCACAATTTATGAACTCCGTGTATCAATAGTACGTGTATCAACTCTGTGTATCATAGTACAAATGCACGGCAGGGGAGGTGGAAGAGATTTTTGACTGTCTGTGACTGATCAAACAATAGGAGAGTTTTAAATAACAGAAAAAGCCCTCTTAAGATGGCTGCCATGCAAAAGGTCTATCTGTAGCTGTCATTTAATGCTAATCACAAGGTACCTTTCATTTGTCGTTGATCTTACCTTGTCAAGAGCAGCCACAAATCCAGAGTCATTATTGAATGACGTCAACACTAAGGCATTGTATTTCCTATGCACATCTAGGATGGTCTGCACATACATTTTGGGGTCCTGAAAAACAACAAACAGAATTCTTTACATTTTCAAACTTGTTTGTCGTCCTCTGACAAAAAAAAATTGGGATTGAGGACAGCTTAACCCTTTCATTGATGGGCATCATATTTCACTTTTTCTGGACACTTTTATCGATAGTTTACATATAAAAAGTGTTTTTGGTTTCTAGCAGAGATGTGGATTTTGGACGATTCGAGAAGATACGTATAAAAAATGGCTACCACATTAGACGTAAAGATAATGGCAGAAAGATAGTGGCGATGACAGTTTACTAAAGCCTACTGATTCTAAAGACTTACCGATAATGCAGCGTCACCACACTTCTCAATTGCCGATAGGCCCTGGTTGTAGATGTGTTGCTCAAGTAGCGTCATCAACTCATTCAAACCGTTGGGGACACGAGACACCAGATTGTACATTCTAGCTAGGTCTGCAAGTCAAAAATAGCCAGCAACGACCAAGGAATGAGTACTAGTTTGATTGTAAAGAAAATGTCAACGTGTTTGGATATGAACCAGAGACTTGTGAACTACAGCTCCAGTGTCCACGCTGCAGAACTTATTCAATGTTTTGATACGCTTCTAACATAACCAGCTTTCCTTTGTCCTCTGGGTTATTGTTTTGATGATGCCACAACAAATCAATCCTGAAGTGTTGAACTTGTGCCACCCATAAATGCTATTATGGTTTTGGTGAAGTTTTAGCAAACAATCTGTAATAATTAGTTTTCCAAACCCAGAAATGCATCAAGAGAACAAGAGACAAGACATTTGTGAAGTTATGTGCATTCACCTTCATTCTTGTCTGAGTCTAGTAAGTTTTGGAACTCCGAATGGAAGATGTCTAGATGTTTCTCAATGAGGACCCGTTCGCAGCGTTTGGCCAGCTCATCGTGGGTGCTCTCGTGAAGGTACACTTGGACTCGACGTCTCTCCTCCATCAAGCGATACTCAGCCTGAGGCAAGGAGAAGATAGTTTAGCAAGGATACGGGAATGAAATGGCTGGTTAGAATTAGCCAAAACGGCTCAGACAACGATGCTAAAGCACAATTGATTCTGAGCTGTCACATGTACTTAAAATGCAAACAACATCGTTTGATAAAAAAATGGTCAGTAAAATGTCGGAATGTCTGACCATAATTTCCCCCTCTTCAATCTATTGTCACACTTTGTATTTCATTCCTTTCCAAAAAGGTGTAAGACTCACATTAAATTAGACCACAGTGTACTCAAGTAAAACACAAGGAAACAATGTCTTCTTTCGCTAACCTTTTTCATGTATTCAGTGACAGGGTTTTGCTGCAGGAAGTCAGTGCTCTCTGTCATGTAGAAGCATTCCGTTTCAGACAGGAACTGACTCTCAAAGGATTCCTTGTAGACGCTCAGCGTAGGGCCTCGGCTCGTCACCTCATCCTCGTTCAAACCAAGCTCAACTAAATGACAATGGTCCAAAGAATATATAGGATTCAGGGGCAATATATCACATACCTCCAGACTGTGAAAAAATACATTGTTATACCTTTCCATACAGCACTTTCAATACATGTTGTGTTCACTGTGTAGTGTGAGAGTAAAACAGCCTAAGGTATCTATGGGTACCATTCTACTTTGACCTACCATAACACTGTATGACCCCACTGACTAGTCTTGTGTTGATTGGTTCACCGTGTCGCTCTCTCTCAATTAGTTTCAGCACGGCATTTGTGACCTGCAAACAAAGATGCAAAAGTTACTTCATGCGTAATGCGTGTATCTGTATCTGTTACAATGTAAATCATAGGGTGTTTTCTTTGGGGTCCATTTCTGTCCTTTTAACTGACAAAAAACCTGCTTGATAACCTGAGTTATGAACAGCTCCTGTGCAAAAAAGGGATATAAATGAAGATAAAAAAATTCACATGAGAGGACTGAAATCCGGGAAAAACCCAGGTTTGGTTATTGCATCATGTAAACTTAACTCTTAATAACCGGGCCCATCACCAAAGGGGGGGGGGGGGGGGGGGCTGGTGGGGCCAGACCCCCCCTTGACTAGCAATTGCCCCCCCCATGGCAAAAGGCAAACATATGCACTTTTGTATTTTTTATGGTAGTGGGCCCCCTAGTTGGTACTATGGCCTGATGCTCGGGGCTGTGTATAATCCTTACTTCTTACGTTATTTTACTAGTAAACAGCTAAAAAAATAGTTAACAGTTTTCAAACGTACAACACACAAGGTCAGTAGGCCTCAAGTTCACTGCTTTGAAATGTTTGGGTAATCCAGTGTTTACAGGTAGCGATTACATATTTCAAGGATTCCTCATAGGAACATACCTGTTTGTTGAGTGGTCGGAATAAGTGCTCCCTCCATGTCACAAGAGCAAGCTGGAGGAAAAATGATAGAAACCTTAAAAATACCATCCAAATATTTTACATTTTCAATTCAATATGACATGAAAGAAACTTACAAACTGGCTAAGTTAGAAAAAAAATTACCAGAAGTCATCAAGTCAATCACAAATCAATTACAAGTCAATCACATGTCAATCACAAGTCAATCACAAGTCAATCACAAGTCAATCACAAGTCAATCACAAGCCAAACCACAAGTCAATCACAAGTCATCACAAGTCAATTAGTCTACCACAAATGGCATGAGTCTTATTGCATGTAATCACACGTCATCACAGGCCAATCACAAGTCCATCAAACATCCATCACAATTTACTCAAGTCCATCACAATTACATCATATAATCACAAATCAATCAAAACTCCAGCTCAGGTCATGCAAAAATCATTCGGTTAGAATCTTCTTAAATGATCTACGGCAAGACATTACTTTATCAATGTGCTGATCCCTTGTTACTTGCGACTGACTTGTGAATGACTTCATTACAACTCTACTCAATTTGCGACATGATTGACTCACCGAGTATATCTCATAGATGCCCTTGCGTCCCTCATCACATTCCCTTCGCACCCAGTGTCTATTGAGGTAAGCGCACACACCATCCAGGACCTTGCTGGAGAATTGGTAGTCCTCCCATTGCTTCGTGTAGAAAGTCAGAACACTCTCGTCCATCAGATCAGAACCATCCTGAAATAAAATGGTTAGAGACTAGTGAGGAGGGTCACTGATTAACTTGAAAAACAAGGCTAGGTTTGCCGAGTTGTGATGGACCTGAGAGTCAAAGGGTACAACTTTAATTATACTCAGTCAGTCAGTCAGTCTGTCTGTCTGTCGTGCTGTCTGTCTGTCTGTCATTCAGTCTGTCAGTGAGTGACTCGGCCAGTCTGAGGATAATATGATTGATATTCGGGTCCAGCAAATATTGCACATGAAACAACACTTTGTAGTTGTACCAGTATGTAAGCAGTATGAAATCATGGTTACATATATTTTTTCCACCATCTACTGTACATACTTGGTCGATTAAAATATGATCAGTCAAATTTTGTACGATGAGTACATTCTAAGAGGTTGAAGGAATTTGACACTGCATGTGAGATTCCCCTCCACACAAGTAAACTGTGTCTAAAGACTCATGTGTTCACCAGTCTCTATTTTTTATACATTCTCTGTAATTCTTGCCCCCAGACCACAAAACGATTCAGGGTTTTTGTTTTTTGGTTTTTTGTTGGACATGTGTCAGGCTAGAGTATGCAGAGTTTCATTCATCACACTCCACTGTCTGGTTCAAAAGTATGACAAAAACCATCTGAAATTAATTTTCGAGATCTGAAACTTGGTGAAATACTCAGGACCTCATTCTTGCCTCATGGAAATGTTGGTGGCCCGGCCTTGTTTTGAAGGTTTTCTTTTACACAGGAGGTCGCAATTTGAATTGATACAAACCTTGAGTAGGTTGACCAGATACGTCTTGAGGAAGTCTTTCAATCGTTTGTAGAGCTCCAGACCTACGAACTGTGCCCCTCCCTGGGCGGGACCTTTCTTGCTCTTGGCTGATGAACTCCGTGCCTGCTGCAACTGGTGTACATTGGTGCAGTAGTTGTACACATGACTAATGAGAAACATTGGTTAAGGATTAACTGAAAAATTGGATCTTAGGCCGATACTAATAATTAGCACAGTAGGTATATTTATAAAGTGCACAATACCTTGTGGTCTCTAAACCTAAACCGTTCAAGCTGCTTCAAAATCCTCCGGGACTTTTTGGAGGACTTTGGAGATGTACATAAAGAAAGGATCAATGGTTGAGTGCGAAGAGGAGGATTCTGGAGAATTTAAAGACGGAACTTGGGATTTCAGAATTTAAATAATGTTCGTCAACGGAAAGTAACTCTTGCTGAAATACATGATTGAACAGATGCGTCTTAACCTACTTCTCCCTGTACTGCTCCGAACTACCTGAGCATTCAACAGTTTTATGGGGAAAAATGTTGCAACCTGACACCACTTTTGTCTTCATATATCATCTCAATGATGGTCATTCATTGCAAAAATGATGATAAGACATGAATCTGGGACTGAGAGCAATCGCAGAAGTGGCGTCAGGTTGCAACATTTCTTCCGTTTTATGGATTCACCATGGAAAATAAATACAATGTAATACAATGTACGTACAACAGATGAGAATGGGCTAAGTTTGCATTTGCATGTTACTAAATTTGTTGGGAACAAAGAACTTTTTCACCATTAAACTCTCAGACTTCATTCAGTGAAGCTTTGAAACTCTAGAGGTATGCTTGGTTTAAATATTTACTTGATATGCATGTTATTGTATATCATTTAGGCCAATCAGTACTAGCTTTCGTGTTTACACTACTCTTCTTCCATTATACATTCATTTCTGGCCTCAGTGAACTTTCTTTTCACAAACCAAAACAACTGGAAGGATCACATGCATTACAAATATAGCTGCAGGAAGCCATCTATTTAAACTTCCTCCTGAAAAGGATACGTGTAGAGTTCCATGTATCGTTTCTTCAGCATGCCATGCTTTGAGTACACATGTTGAATTCCGGCCTTGAGGTCGTCCCATATCTGGTCCAAGCTTGTCAGTTTGAGTCCGTGGGGATTCTGACCCCGGCCCGGTCCCTTAGACATCTTTCTTTTACTTGGCCGAGCAGAACGTCACTGCTGAAAGCTTGGCAGACAGGTTTGCAGGGTTGGTTTGGATGGAGATCTTTCTCTTCAAGGCCCAAACACTTGCAGCAAACACAATCCCACACAATAAGATTAAAGCAGGGAAGACCTACTTCCCACGAGACCCAGACAAACTGTGAGCGTCTGTCAGTTCAGCATGTTCTATGTTGGAAAGTTAGTCGAACAGGTTGCGCTTCTCTTTCTCAGATGAGAAGAAACAATATCCAGGAGATCATCAGTAAAGTCTGCAAATAACAGAGCAAAACAATAACTCTTCTGGAAAAAGTCACAGGCAGAACTTTCCAAAAAAATAAAATAATGAGATTGAAGTCTGAGTAACTTGGACCCTACTTAACAAATAGATAACAAGTACTAGACCTACTGGTCCAAGTTACTCGGACTAATTGGGAATAAACAAAACTTTGGTGAGTGAAAACATGTTACCTATTTCTAAAGAAGCCTTACTTTCATACACTTACATTAACCCTAACGCACCTCACTCCTCCAAAATCCTCCTGGCGGTTTTGGAGGATTCTAGAGGATTGAGGATGAATGGTGATTGAATCAAATGAGGATTCTGGAGGATTGAGGATGAATGGTGATTGAAGCACATGAGGATTTTGGAGGATTGAGGATGAATGGTGATTGAAGCACAAGAGGATTTTGGAGGATTGAGGATGAATGCATTTTGAGGCAGGACTGTCTGATGATTTTGAAGGATTTGGCGTTGGTTATCCTTCATTTAAACACGAGTGCAAAGTTTTGGGATGAGGAGGATTTTGGAGGATTGAGGATGAATGCATTTGGAGGCAGGACTGTCTGACAATTTTGAAAAATTAAGGCGGAGTTGCCGTTACCGAGCGCGCGTGATGCATCGATTATGATAATGAGTCACGTTTGTAAACACATACATGTGCATTTCGAACTGTAAAAGGGAATCGGGAACCATCTTGAACTGGTACCCGCCATAAAAGCTGCGCTAGTTCCCGACTCCCTATTATCGTTTGAAATGCACATGTATTTACAAACGTGATCCAGTCTACTCATTATCATAATCGATGCATCGCGCGCGCTCGGTAACGGAATCGCACTCGGGATACGGGGACCATCGAATGTACGCTGGGCATGTAGAAGAAATCGCGTCGTTCAAACATTAAACACGATCGGAAATTTAACGTGTTCAAGATCGCGAGGGGAGCTCTCCGATATGAACGGAAAATTTCACTTTTTTTCCGGATCGTAAGTAAACTTCAATACAACCATCTTAATTATCGATGTCTACTTGTACCTCAGGTGGCATATCTAGTAATTTGGAGGCCGTTTTGAAGGTGAAATCTGATGTTTTTTGTTGGAAAATGTTGGTTTTTGGGACAGTGACAGGATGATGTTGTCCAGGTCGCTGTAGTAGCTTGGACCCCACTATCGCCAGACCATGTCCAAATGTTAAAAAAGGTGATAAGTTGGGTCCAAGTTACTCGGACTACACTAGCAGGCCCACTTTTACTTTAAAAAGCAAGATTAATTTAAATGAGATTGACAAACTGAGTCTAACATAAATTTCCATTCATCAACACCAGAACACGGAAAAATGAATAAATTTAATAAATATGTCATGTATGTAGTTTGGCCCCCTATGTTCACTTCGCGTACCTACAAGTACAAACTAGACCTAGGCTCTATACACTGATACACGGATTTCCGATACACGTACGTACATTTCCAATACAGATTCGGTTGTTCATATTCAATGGGCATGATGGGGAAATGGACATGGTCGATGCGCGATGGTCGAATGGACAGTGACTGTGTGTGTGACGATTTCTAATCGTCATGATCGTGGGAAAAATAGGATTGCTTTTGCCAATTAAACGAAAATATATCAAAACAAAACGGGCAGTTTACCCACACTTGTTCTCATGGTCCAGACGTTTCTCCTAACGCCTCATACGGTGTATTCATTTCATCAAACTTTGAAGAGAAATTTACTTCCACGGGATCCCTGAAAAACTTCGGACGTCGCACTCGCAGCACGATCTTAAAAATATAATGGAACTAGTCTGGTGCCAAGTCAAATTTAATGGTGACAGCGTTGTAATGAGCAAGGCTCCAGCCTTGAGTTAGAGCGCCCTCGTCTTGAAAATGAAAATACAGTCTTGCTATTCGGACTGAAATCCACGATTTTTACCATTTGTACTCTAAGATTTGTTCCCTACATAAGATTTTTATGACAACGAACTGATAAAAAGCCAATAACATCGTTCAGAGAGTAATTTATTTAAAACCAATTTATATACATTTACGAATTTCCGAAGTGCTTCAACCGGTCTTATGGTGTAATGGTTAGCACTCTGGACTTTGAATCCAGCGATCCGAGTTCAAATCTCGGTAAGACCTCTCAATATTTTTCTTCTCTTTACTTTTTCCCCCTTAAATTCCATTCTCTGCGAAACAAAACATCTCCAATGAATCCTTTTTTAAAACCTACTTTATTTTTATTTTCCTGCTACGCGTTCGTTTTCTATAGTAACCAATACTTTGTTGTTGCCACATGGCCTACATTGTACATTGGAGATAGACTTCCTAATAAGGTCATATTTCAGGGTTAATGCGAACAACGCATTGAGTCATTTACAATGTCCAACAATAGTCTGCCGCACTGGCAAATCAGAGAAACCTGTTACACGAAATGCAAATGTGACAAAGAGTTTTAAAAAACAAACTGTAAAGAAAAAAAAGTTGATTTGCAGAGACAAATGTAAGCTGGTCAATTTACCCAAAATAAGGCATGCAGTGCATGTATATGGGCCGTAGCTATAGCCTTTGTGTGACGTGAGCATGTCACGGAGCTTCAAGTTACGGTTTGCATACGAATCCTTTGTTTAAAGTGAAGCCTTGTCAGCGACGGAACTCATAAATACCTATTCGTTAAATTCGATATTTGTATTTATTTTGGGTAGGCTAGTAAACCTACAGTGGTGGGTTTTTATTAAAGTACATGTAGTTTTTTCGTTAAAAAGAAAGCAAACAAATTGAAAAGTCGTTAGAAAAAAACCCAATCATTTTTTAAAAAGATCACGGGCTATGCACCATTAAAGGGGCCGGAGTCATGCAATGTAATGTTTTAAATGTTATCCTTTATGTTGCACCTTTTTAAGTTAACCTCATCATTTTCAATTCAATTTTCGTGTTGCCATTTTGAAGGGTATTTTGGTGCTTTTTTGTTTTTATGCTAAATGCAAATGCTAATTTCCATATTCATGAGCAAAACTGTGCTGTCATTTCGGGTAGAAACCTCATGATCAATGTAGGCTACTTCAGCACAAAAAGTTGCTAGAATTTGAGATATTTTGCTGTCATAAAAGTTATTTTCTTTAATTATTCGTTGTTGCGTAAATACACGGCTGCAGTAAGCGAAATGAACAACCCTTTCGCTCAAATGTATTCAATGAGCAAATGTTAGATTTTTCACAATTTTGAACAGAAAACCCATAAACTGAACAGTGTCTTCCTGAAATGACATCAAGGCAACAGCGCCCTCAGTTGTCAAGAAAAGTATGGACAAGTGCACTTTTCAACAAAATTAATAAAAAGTCATAGGCCTACATTTTAAGAGGAGTAGAAAGTTACACAAGATGAGTTCAATGATATGAAAACTTCATCGCATAGACCCTATAAAGAGCAATCCTCAGTTTTTGTCCCATACCCTCAGTTTTCACTAAGTAAATCTAAAAGTGGCTTGGTCGATTTTCGTTCTTTGTTTAACTGCGTCACACTCCTTCCCATCGGTGCAGCCGAACTCCTACAGGACGATAGCGCCCCCACTTAATATGCAGGTGAGGATCTGGGTTTCAAGGGGGGGGGGGGAGTTCAAAAGCCCTCTTGTGTTATTTTTTCTGTTTTGGTGGTCAAAGATGGGGGGGGGGGTTTAAACCTACTAAATCGTCCCTAAAGATCCACGATTGATTAAAGTCTCCCATTGTTGTAATCACCACGAAACAAAATGCACCTAAAATCTGAATCCTTTACCCAGCATTTGTGCGTGTGACAGGACAGTTCAAATGCTCCCCGTCCCCCTTGCTCTCTGATGATGATAGTGTACACAGTCCTGTAGCAGCATATAGCAACAGATTTATATTATGTCAGAGAAATGTCCCCAACTGTTGCTTGGCCTCCCTGAACTGGCTTGAGATAGTCATCAAAGAAAGACTTTTAATTACCTAGTTAAATAATTTTTTCAATTTTAATTTAATGTCTTTTTTTTTTTATGATCACGGAAACACAGAGACACACAAACTAACAGACCAGACCACTCAGAATAAATGCTGGACAATCACATTTTGTGATGGACGTCAAAAATTATATTATCTCGTTCCACTTTACAAATTGAAATGTAACGACTGGTAAAAAAAAAACAACGGCAAAAATAGCACAAAACCTTTCACATGACATTATTTAAGCGGATAATTAAGCAGAGTTGTCTCTTAACACGGAATAACACAATGTCAGCGCATTCGTTTTACATTTGTTGGCAAGCCTTCGACGGGAATTATTTGAAAATGTTCAACGAATATTCCAAACAATTATGAAAAAAAAAGCTTTCCCAGGGTTTTTTTTGCTGCTGGTGTTAGAGTAACATATTTGTTTTACCCTTTTGACTTCCAAACAATTAGATATTTAAAAAAGATACCTATAACATCTACATTGAAAGAAAAGATACAACTTTGGATTAAACCATCAGAAAGAAACTTTGCAACCTTAATTTGAAACAAAACAGGTAAGTTTTGTTAATTGGATATCTATCACAATTCAAAAATGCGTAAGAGAGCACTGCATTTCTTAAGGGTAACTATGCCACTAACGCTAGATTTTAGTTTGTAATAAATACGGAGAACATTGTATTAAAATGAGTTCTGGCGTATTCTAGGCAAGAAGTGTAATTTTTTCATGTTCACAAAAATATCCATCTCGTCTTACTATCGGCAAGTGAAGATTTCAACAAAATACGTTAACATTCAATGGCAAATTCGTGCAAATTTGGCAATAAGATTTCACAGAAAAGTGAAACAAGATTTCACCAAGTAAATAAGCCAGTGTCCACAGACAAGGGTCGTCCCACGGGGACCTTGGGTACGAAGAACGAGACTGCTGGAGGTTCGGGTTGGAAGTTGAGACTCTGGTGCGCGATGTCGAGCAGGGAATCTGCCAGACAGAGTGGGTGATGTTCAGCGGGAGTTAGTTCGTCAAACCACCCGAAGCCGTGAAGGATGTCTGCTCCGGTACCGCTGTCGGGACTTCCAGGGGGACAGTCGTCGCACTGGAGCACCGCACAGATGTCATCCACGCTCAATAGAGGCAGCGGGGAGAAACGACGGTTGACACCGTCTTGGACAGGCAGAGAGGGGACTCGGGCTGATGGGTACTCGAAGACACTGCTGCAGGTGCTCTTTGCGGAGAGAGATTGTCCTGGGATGTAGGGACTGTGGTCTGAAGAAAGGCTGCAGTAGTCTGACTCGGGGGTCTGGGGTGGTTGAACAAGTCCTTGGTTGAGAGCTGATGATGAGGACGGTGGGACTGCCTCTCTGGATCCAATCTCAGGTAACATCATCGCTATCCTTGTGAGAGGATCGTCAGTGGATGGTTGGCTAGCAGGGGGAGGTTGGTCAGACTGTTGGGTGCTCTTTGCTTCCTTCGCCGTTGATGACTTACCGGCTGTCTCAGACTTGCCCCCTTTCCTCTTCTTGGAAGTGCTCTTGTTTCGGTTGCGCTTGCGAGTGTTGTGTTGCTCAGGACACTCGTCGGGATTCCACAGGAGAGACCAGAGGGGGCTGGTCTTGGGCTTCTTTACCCCCGGGAGCAGTATGGGAGATCCGTCAGTCTCGGTGTCCAGCCTCTTGAAGCACTTGTGCAGAGTCAGGTTGTGCCGGACCGAGTTCTTCCAGTGTTTGCGGTTCTTGGTGTAGAAGGGAAACCGGCCAGAGATGTATCGGTAGATATCGTGTAGGGGACCCTGTCTCCCCGGCATGCTGCTCAATGCCATGACTATCAGGTCCATGTAGCTATGGTCGGGCCGCTCTTCGTCGTCCAGGACTGCCGTGGTTTGTGTCGATTCCACGGTAGGCCCAGCCTCGGTCTTCGCTGGGTTGGTCGGGCTCGGAGTCGTCAGCATCTGTGAGGCCAAGATACTCTCCAGTATGGACTGCAGTTGGTCGCTGTTCATTTCTGCCTTGACAGTTGTAGTCATGTTGGCTTATACACGTATGGGAATCGACAGTGTTTACAGTTCATGCACAATACAGCACAGTGAAGTGACTATCGAAGCAGCTTTACGGATTACAAATCTGACAGTGTTGACTCAAACGGATCAAGTAATTGAATGAATCGACTTCTGACACTTCAAGAATAGAGCAGACAAGATCACCAGCAACTCTCTTCAAGCTAGCAACAACTACAACAAGACTTACACCACGTTCTTCCAATCACAGCTCACCGTGATTTGCTGAATGACTGCCCACGAATGGGGCCCAAAGACACCGGTGCGCTCGTGCGGAAAGGACCTGTCAAATTTCGCGCGCTGACATACCTGGCTGTAACAGACGCTCCAACTTGCAAAGTGATTGGTTGCCCGTGATTTGCATAACAATAAGCCAGAACGTGGCGCACCTGTTGCCTGGCACGCGCGCTCAGGAAGAGCTGCAAGACATTGCTCCAAAGCTACTCCAAAAGGTTTTCTGCAGACCTATCGACTTTATCGAATATGAAATAATATTTTTGCACTGTGAGCGAGTCGTATGTTCCCTTCTCAATCATTTTAACACGTTGTGGAATGATGTGAAAAACCAGGTAAAACCAAAATTGAAAGTCATGCTGAAATTTATTTTAAGAGTTTTTGATCACACGTGGTAAATAAAATGTTAAGGAGCAAAATTCCGAAATTCTTGTATAATACCTTCTTTTCCAGTATCCTTTTCAACGAACTTACAATATTTACCTGACATTAATTTTGAAATTCTGAGCAACAACAGAAAACTGAGTCAGAGCTTCTGAGATAGCTTCCATAGGTGTCGATTTTGAAAGTGATTTTGAAAGCGTCGCAAGAAAAACAAAAACCAACTTTATCCTCCACGTTTAGAACTATGGGTAAAAAAAAAACCCACACACACACACACACCCACACACACAACAAAACGTGCCCTCTATCCAAAACAATTTGTTGGCTAACTAGCTGAAGTGCAATGTAGCTAGCTTCCTTGAAATTGTTGTCCCAAACTATATACGATAGGTCTCCGCCTGTTTTACACCTCCGGTTTTGTAGTTTTGGGTTAGTTTTGTAGCAAACTGCATTTTATCTTTCTAGTACACCTTTTTCCACAGATGACACTTCCGATAACTATTCATAGTATTATTATTTAAGGTTCCAGATTAGTTTTTCTTCGTCGTCTTTTTTTTTGGGGGGGGGGGTGCGGGGTTGCTTTAACTTTCTAACAAACCTGCTAGGGACTTCTTATTTCTGGAACTACACTTTATTTCTTAGGATTTCATTTTTGAATACACTTACTCTTCCAACACCACTTTCCCCGGAGTTGACATTTACAAAGAAAACTTTCAATTTTACTGTTACATGATAATCCACATTTTTTATTTATAGTTTCTTTTTTTGTGTCCCTTGCACTTGCATTTCTACTGTATTTTCAACCAATTTTCCCATTTTACATTACTTCTCCCCACATTTCAAACCCAAACACCTAGCCGAACGTCATCGGGTACATCAGCTTTCTGCTTTTAAATTTTGACCGCATTCACAGTTTTTATAGTTTTAAGTTTTACATGATTAACAATAGAAAAACTCATGTTTTAGAATTTTCTAATCATTTCTAAGTTAATAGAGATCAACATGATTATGAGACAGTTCAGATGTCATCGTCCCCCAAATATATTTTGCTTTAAATGTACAAACTCTTAAATTTCATAATTGCTACGGGTCAGAATAACTCCAGGTCACCCGGAGTCCAATTGTTGTGGGGTTATCAGTTTCAACTACCAGAATCGCGTGTCACGATGACAGTCTAATCCATAGGATTACGAGATCTGGGCCCTAATCCCAGCAGTGGCCAATCAATCTATTCTACCTTAATCCAACCACACACTATAGCCTAATTAATATTGTCTGGCGATTTCTTTACAACTGCCTGTAACACCTGACCAGTTCCCTATTGTCTGCGCGTGTCAGGTGTTGTGCAACCTGCACATGGGACGCACAAGTGGTCAACCAATGTTTGCATGTTACGATTTGGTCCTACCTGTTCTATTGTCATCGCCAAGATATTTTAATAGAGGGCTATCAACGCATGACAAATTACCTAGAAAACAATCTTTTGTGGTTGGAAGACAATGTTTGAGGGGTTTGATAATCGTGTTGAGAAAACATTGTGTAATTTTAAAGCACTGACTGAATTTGTTTTCCTCGCTTACGCAAAGATTGTCTGGTCATTGTTTATGGTACCCACTATATCAGATTCGATCCATCCAGAAAACCGACGCCAAACTCGGCGGTAGAGTGCTCGAATTATTAGAATTAGAAAACAGGTGTACTCGGGGTTCGACTCTCACCCGAGCTACAATACTGACCAAATCTCGCTGCCCCCCCCCCCCCCCGGCACCCCTTGTCTCTCATTGCGCGGTGTGTGCTCCATCAGCTGGAGTGAACAAAATTGACCGGGGGAGCAGGGGAGTGGGTAACAGGGGAAGGCTAAGGAAGTGTCCCAACCATTTTGACCGGGATTGTAGGTTGACAGTATTAGTTGGAGAAAAAACTAGCACAGCACCAGTGATACAGCGATTTAATGTTGCTAGCTTCCATTTTTTTTTTATGAAAGTATATTATGTGAATGTAAAGAATTACGGGAATGCCACAGCAAAGTATGAAATTGATTTTGTTGGGATGAACCAAAAACTATTACTGCTGACATGGCAACATTTTTGGTTAATAATGGAATCTAATCACATGCCAATGAACCTCAAAAGAAACTACATTTTTAATTAACGGTGTACTTTATTACCGTCCATTCATTCATCTGACACAAACTTTTATTTTTACTCCAAGAGCAGAGAAATCAACAACACAATTATGTTTGACTTAATCATATAAAACAAAACCATTAAAAAACTGAAAGCCACAGTCATTTTAAATTTGACTCAGAGTAACATTCCAGTTTTCTAAACTGCCTTAGAAACAAGATACATTTTTAAAAGTGGAATTAACATTTCTTTTGATTTGCTTACACCTTACAGTAAATCAAACTACATTACATTTCATGTTGGGGTACTGTCTAATGTAAAATAAAAGCTTGTCAACTTTGTAAAGTGCTTATTAAACTTTGGGCAGCAAAAAATAATGGCATGTAGCTGCTGTTTATTTGATGTTATTCTTCAATTTTTTGTTTTGAAAATGTGAATTAAAATATTTCGACATTGTAGATAAATTTCACTGTTGTATTTTTACAATAGTAACAACAACATTTTAAATTACGATGATTTACAGAAATGTATGTCTCCAATTATCTCAACAATTCAATTAGGAAATAGAAAAACGTTGATTTTTCGTCAACTCCACAAACTATGTTTAAGACACTTTAATTAAATCATGTTATCAGCTACCTTGTGAAACGCTCAAGGTGAAATGTTTCTCCAAACTTTCTCCTTTCGTTTATTAACAGATTTCTTAATAAAATTAACCAAAATGGATCCGAAATTGTTAATGTCCTGATGTGCTATTAAAACATTTCTTTTTGATCACATAAAGACTGCGTGCCCACAAACCCCCCACTACGCACGGAAAATGAAATCACACAAATATTTCCCATCACAAGTCTTGGAAACTTGTCTGATAGGCCCTCCACGTTGTGGCAAGTACAGATTCATCTCATAAAATGTGCTAATGTTAGGACCTGTTTGTACAAACTAAACAAAAAATGGCGCAATTGTGTATCCTACCAACAGCGAAAGTGAAAACACTTGCATTTCCCTGGTCTACATGTGGCGCTAACCATTTGGAAGGCAAAGTTATGACTGACAACCAAGTCTGGTACCCAGCTCCCTTTGTCCGCATTCCTGACTTGCAAAGAGGAACCAACCTAAAAAGGCGAGAGTTCTCACGATGCTGGTTCACCCGTGCTATTATCACAAGTAACAACATGAAATACTTGTTACCAGGGAAGAGCGCCAGGATGCGTCTGAATGACGTGGCTATGACTAGCAGTAACACACAATGTCTATGGGGAGTTGCTTCAGTGGCTTCCATAGGTACATGTGTTATTGCAAGCCGTAGTTGAGTAATTTAGTAGCGACCCTACACTTGCAGCGAACTTTCATCTTTTCACTGCTGCAGGTGTACCTGCGCCGGAGTCCACAACACCCTACACAAATAACTCAAAGTCTGATTTGTATAATACTCCTGACTAAACATCACTCCCGCTACCACAGTCACTATCTACATTCTGTATTTCATTATCAATACCTAAATCGATCGACCAAATTTACACAAGACAAATTAAACATGTGTGAATGTACTACTGAAACAACATCTGTCACCGTCATACATACGTACAGGAGAAACAGAGTCAGTACAAAAATACATTTGTACACTGTAATACCTACAAAAAGATCATCCAGGGAACTAGTCTAAGAATTAATATGCTGAATATCCTGTACAATGAATTAACGTGATAACCTCAACTGGCAGGCATCACTGATACGATGACTCGTCTTGGGTTTTAACCCTCAATTTTTAAACCATTTTTCCCCCCACTATATGCATGGCAAATCAACACCTCAGATTTTTGGGAAATTATATGTATTTTTTTTTAGTAATAACTACTCAAAAACATTGAAAAACCCAAGACACTGTAATTGAAGTGCATATAATCTATATTATTTATGCCATAGTGACTTATCTGTTCCGAGAAACAACTATGTAACATTTCAAAATTTACAGATATGTGTGAGTGGACATACAGAACTTCAAGAACATACTGATGTCAATTGGCTAACACTTCGTACCTGATCAGCAATAAAATGCTTTTATAAAGACAATGGGAATTACATTTCACATCGTCATTAGTGTCATTAGACAACTTGAGCTAATTTGTTATAGATTTGGGCATAGCGTTCTGCCGCCTTACAAAAAACACCATATTGATAAAAAGAAAAGAAAAGGGCAAACAGATACTTGATTCATACGCTTACGAAACTCCTGACCAGAAAAACCAATAATTTCAAATGTCCCGCGTTGCGAATTTGTCGACCATCTCCCACAATGCACTGGGAAAAATGAACTCTCCATGGCCAACTCTTGGTTTAAATCACAAGGTCTCCACTCTCAAGTCAAGTCACAAACTATTCCCATCAGCTGTGACCAAGGGAGTCCTTGTAATTGTTCATCCCGTTGCTTGAGAACAGACTTGTGATTTAGGTTTGACCAATCTTCTGATGGACTTGTGACGGACTCGACTACATTACAACACTGCCAATTTATTCACACGGATAATAAATCAGGATTGAAACATTCTGTTTAAGCTTTTCCATAGGTGCCTAACACATACACATGAAACATACAAACAGACCGAAGGTCAGACTGACAGACAGACAATTACCCCATCTTAAACTTTTTAAAGTTGTATAAACAAAATATCATACACCCATCATACTTAGTATTACGTTCTAGAAACACAGTCATCTATACAGTGTGACACCTACCGTGAATCCCACAATCAAAATGAGGTTTCAATTCTTTGTCAGTGTGTAATCACGAACTATGCCCATTTGGATTTCTAAGAAATGATCACTGGACTTCCCTATATTGAAGTTCAATTTAGCTAGAATGCCAGTGTTCAAACAAAGCCCTGACATTGATTGTCATCAACATCAAAAGATCAAACAAACATTGTTACTGCGATATAAACCTCAGGATATGCCCCCTTCACTTAAAATTGCTTCTTCTGCAGAAACGTCACTTAACCATTATACAAAACACACTAGAAAAATCAATGACTGTAAAGCAGTCTTTGGTGACCATTCCCTCCCAATTCTTTTTACTTAAAAAAAAAATTACACCTACTGTTTAATTCTGGGTAGAAACAATGCTTCTAGAGATCCTACTTAAAGAGATCCACCATTTTCTGAAGTCAACCAAACAGAAAAACTACACACATGCTCTATGAGAAGAAAGCTTCTTGAAAAGCATCTGCGCTTAATAGAACAGGGACATTTCAAGATTTTGGAAAAGGAACAGCTACTGTATGGCAATAAGTCAATTGCTTACAACTTGACATACTCCATCTAATTAAGAATGGACAGTTGAATCTTTTCCAGTAGCTTTCTTTTAGTGCTTTTTATTTGCATGTGTAAGAGCTATTTTATACTTTGCGTGAATACAAACTAAACTTGACATCATAAAACACTTAATGCAAGATTTGCCAGAATTAAAATGTGTTCAACCTTTGAATATTCATGTTTGTGTTTGAATTCATGCCAAGTATGAACCAACCATGAGTGGTCAAATCATTTTAATTTTATCTTCAGAAAAGAAATGGATTCCAATGAATTATAAAACCTGTCGGCCCTGGGTTTGGATGACAGCTTACTTGGTACGCTGTTTCTTGCCGGTGGTTTTGGACGAGGACTTGCGTGTAGTCGTCTTGCGTTTGCCCTTCTTGACAACCGGCTTGTTCTTGATGGAACCTCGCTTTCTTTTACTTGTCTGTTTGAAGAAACAAGAAAGCAATGAAGAGTTTATGTTTGTACCAAATTTGGTTTCGTGGAACTGAGCAGAAGAAATTTGTGTTAAAGGTACTCATTCATCCAGAGATTGCAAGATTTACTGCTTTTGATTGTTGTGATGATTGTAACTGCTGTGATGTAGGGCATAAGGTTTTGTTTCGACCCTCATAGATGCATGGCGCCCTTAGATTCAATATGGTTGCATGCTTCCCTTGGGTGAAATGGAAAACATGTCTCACATCACAGCAGTCAATAATTTAAGATATTCCGTCAAGTTGCTGACCTTCTTTGAGTAGAACTTTTTCTTGGACTTTTTGGAGACCTTGTCAGTAGAGGGCTCCCTGTTATCTAATGGTTTGACGCGGTAGATGCGGACCAGCCAGTGCTCGGTGGTGTATGCCTCCTCCAGATGCTTGAAGGAGATATCCTTGTTGCCGATCTCGGCATTGCGGGTACGGTCGTAGCCAGCCGGGCTTCTGAAATCAAGCTGGGGGGGGGGGGGGGGAGAAATAGAGTAAGATGGTGCTCCAAGCAGACTTTTAGATTAGGGAGATGCTAATTCTAATATCAGTTTAGTCATTCACCAAAAGATTCAGTCTATACTCGGTGCTCTATGACAGCTTGTGCGAAATGTCTACAGCTTATAAAGGGACTTGAACCCACGACCTCTGTCTCACCAGTGAAGACATCTTATTACTACCCCAGTGCGCATCCAGTTTGAATGAAATATAGCGAGAGTTGTTGCAATCAGTAACTTTGGATGTAGCAGGGAATCATGATAAGAATAAACATGACTTCAGAAGGTGCAGTTCTGCAATTCTCTTTTAAAAATTGTCAAACTAATTTGAGTAAATATTGAAACTACAAACCAAACAAACGGACATTCTAATTTAATCAAGATTCCTTTTAACAAATTGATAAGATAAAATCATGTCATGAATTAAATTTTTCTTGAAGAAATTTTGTAGGTTTGAGGACATACCTGCATTTCTCCAAAGCGGTAGTAGCACATCTTGTACATGAGGCAGTTCAGGAGCGTTGGGGAGCCAGAACTATCCACACGGAACTCACCGTTGACTGTGAAGTAGTCTGATTCCTGTATAGAGAAATTATTAAAGGAAAAGGTCAAAGGTGACAGTTAGTGTTAGATGTTCAGTGTGAGGCTGGGTCCAAAGCATTTGGCTACGGCTGGCGATAACACACGAGTCTATGGGGAGTGGCTGCAGCCGCTAGCCAATGGCTTCCATAGGTGCAGTGTTATTCGCCTTCCAATGGCGTCCATAGGTGCAGTGTTATTCCCGGCTGTAGCCAACTGATTCATGCAAGGCCTTAGTATCAGCTGAAAAAGAGAATTTGTTTTGGAAAATCAACTTCAATGTCATGAATAACCCAAACTTGGAATATTGTAAATTTTGTTTTGTGTGCAAAGACAACGTTTCAAACTGCTTCTTGTGGTTAAAATAAGTTTTACAGAGTTTTCAGGGAACTTGAGCAATTCACGATACAGAAAAGCTAACAGTGAAGGTGCAAATCCTACTTTTACTGCAGTGCATCACTAGACTCTGCACAAAAGCATAAATAAATACATCTATGACTATGCTTACTCTGATGTCCTTAGGGTGTTCCCCTTCAGCGATACGGACCATCCAGAGAAACTTGTTGATGTCATCGCCTGAGTAGCCAATCACACCACCGAATATAACCAAGACATAGTTGACATCCAGCTCCCGCATGATCTTGTAAGCTTGTGTCTCATTGGATGACATGGCCTTGCCAACCTGAACAAATATGAATATTCATTAGATTTGACCTCAACAAAGATTTCCAGTAGGTTCAGGATAACCTTCTTCAGATTTTCATCTTTTTTAAAAATTTGCCAGAAGGCTTTTCAGCACCCTGAAATTTGAATGTTATATATTTTTATTATAATTTAATTGTCAATGAATTATCACGTATGATTTAAGCTAAGTTTTGTTAATAATTGTGTATCTCGTTATCTCTAAAATTTCAAACCAAACAAAAGCAAGTGTGCATTTCAATATTTACTAAACACTCTTTGTACAACACTACGTGCCCAGAGCATTTCACTTTTTCCAAAGTGGAAATATTGGAAAGAAAAAAAAAACGACGTTAATAATGTGCATCAATTGAAGTTTAAAGTGGCCATCCACGATTCTGCTTTTCTGTTATCACAGAAAGTCCAACTAAGACGATTTTTCAAGATTCCAAATCAAGGAAAGATGTCTGTTGAGATAACATATCAGTATTTCTGAAATACAATTTCTGGGAAATACATATTTCCGGAATGATGTTGAATCTTAGAAACTACAAACTCTTATCCGAGTATGTCGTCTTTCTGTGACAATTTAGCAGGAAAATACGGAAGGTCACTCTAAGCTTCCGTATGTATCTTTCAAATTCTAAAAAAAAATGGGTAGTATGAGGACAGGGCCCCATTTCACGTCGCTGCTAAGCACACGATTTTATGCCAACAGAGCCTCCATCCATTTCATGGAGACCGTAAGCAGTAAACACAACAAAGTTCCTTAACTTTGTGACGTAACAATAGAAATCTCCATGCACGGTCCACTGTTAGCACATTCAAGCCGTAAAATAATGCTTAGGATTAGCACAATTTTCTGCTATAGTAAGCACAACTTTTCTTCTAACTGTTAAGTAGTGCCATAAAAATGGGCCCAGGTGTACATTCTAAATTAACTGCGACTATGCAGGTTTTCAGCACTAGAGGGCCAGGTGATCTTACCAATGCTATATGGCTATTATTCCATGTATTGTTATCCACCAGTGTGGTTCTGTTAGCCATGCCTGCTATCTGGTAGCCATAGTCCCACCAGGACATCACACGGTCTTTCTCTCCTGTGTTCTGGCTCAGCCAGTAGTACGCTTCTCGGAAGTCGTCTAAGATGTTGCGGGTCCTGCCAAGAATTACAGAAGAGGATTGTTGAACTACTTTAGTGATCACTTGTTTGCTTACACCACACTCAAACGGAGCTGTATGCATAAGGTATTTAATTACATTTGGGAAACAAGACTAGTTTACTTATTTTAACCCCTTTTCTTTAACCGGGATTTAATTTGTTTTAATTCTATCTATTTTATGTTAATTTGAGGGGAGTCAGGTTGGCGTAGCAGTACTTTCCTCGCCTTCCACCTCTGTGACCCGGGTTCAATTCCTACCTGGGTCCATATGTGGATTGGGTTTTTCTGTGCCTACTTTATTCCTTGGTTTTCCTCAGAATATTCTTCTAAGATTTTCCTCCCACTTGTTAAACTGTAGTTTCTTCACACTGTCTTCTCTTTATTCAAATTACTGGGTCTAACGGCAGACCACTGGATTCCACCGAATGGGCTACCCAGTTTTAAAAAAAATGGAATTAAATAGTTAAGAAGAATGACATTTCTGTTGCAAGTTATGGAATATTCAGTCAATGAGTCAAACAAAGGTAGATTGGCCCTTCGTGCCCAGTGAAAAAGAGAGCAGCCATTTATATTCAATAAAACCATGGGCTAGATGCCAAAGAAACATTAAAAAAACACACACTGTGTTTTTCTCAAACCCTGTAAACGTTTAAACTCACCCATCATTGTTGTAGGTCGCTAGCACTATACTAGGGCTAGAGTAAGCGTTGCTAGTCACCCAGGTACAGTGGACGGCAAACATCATCAGCATCATCAACAACGCCATGACAACAAAACCTTTCAGGTTGGTTCCCATGCCGTCACTATCTTTGTCCTGATCCAGTTTGGGTTTACGGATCTTGCCAGCCTGAAAAGTAAAACAAAAATGGGGAAATATTTAATTGATTTTATCCTGGAAACTGTCAGTCAAGAAAAACAAAAACATTGACCCTTGTACCCTTTTTGAATGCAGCATGGGTAACATTTAACCACACTCTTTTTTCTGTGTGAAATTAATTCCAAATTTTCCAGTTTTTAACCAGTTAAAGGAATAACGGAGGGAATACTAAATTATTTTCCAACACGGAACCAGTCTGCTGAGGGAAATCAACACCCTTTTAACCTTTCTGAAAGCAAGGCTAAGTGTTTACCATTGCTTTTTCCTATGTGAAATTAATTGCAAATTTTCCAGTTTTTAAAACTAGCTTTGGAAGGAGTTATGGGCTGAGGTGAATTTTGAAGAACCAAGCAGTGTTGTGATAAAATTGTCACAAGTTATCCCAAGTTGTCACATTTCAACCCCCTTTCATCTAGTCTCAAGAGACATGATGTTATGCTTGTGATTGACTTGTGATTAACTTGTGATTGACTTGTGACTGACTTGTGATTTGACTGCTTGACTCATTTACAAATGTACTTTGGAGCCAATTGTTTTTAGCACGTATGTGACCTCTGACCTTATCATAGAGCTTCCTGTTCTTACGATCCACCTCCTCCTCATCCTCCTCAGTCTCCTCCCCCTCCTCCTCAACCTTCTTCTTGCCTCCGGACCCTGTGTCGTTGTCTAGATACTCCGTCAGTGTCTTGGAGATGGCAATGGAGGCTAGGATGCAGACTACGGGAGTCAGAGTCAACATCAAACGGACCATGACACCGGCAAAGTACACAGCGCTTAGAGCGTATAGGACAACTGCAGATAATAATAAACCAACGACGACATTGATGAAGGCTAGAGGGCAGTAGGGCATTTTGAAAACTACTGAGCTGAGAGATGATCTACAATGAATTAAAGGGGAGACTATTCTACAGATGTGGGGCTGTAACGTGAAAGATATTCACTCCTGGAATGGTTAAAATCTAAGCATGGCCTATTTGTAGGTGTCAATATTTCAATTTGTTTGACCATACATTAGAATCTAAAGAACAACGCATTGGCTGATGTCTAGCTCTATATGTGAGTGAAATATTTTGAGGCCGTTTCATGTTCCGATCCCGTCAGGTCATCAATATACTTTAAAATTGCAAGGAAGACCAGTATGAACATGTTGTTAAAAGTCATTTAATTTTCATAATATACTATGAGCTTTCTTCATTTCAAGCTTGAAATCCAGCCAGTACTCCAAGACGTATAATGACTGTCTGATGACTTACTGAAGACCCTCTCATCGTTGATGTCTTTGATGACAAACCAGAGGCCTGCTGGGAAGGTACAGACTAAGATGTGAAGATCAAAGAAGAAGGAGACCCAGGTGGTGGGTTGATGCTCTGAGACGGACGCTATGATGGGAATATGGATCTTGGCATAGCTTGAGGGCACGGAAACAAACAGATGGTTTGAGAAAATAAAATCATCAAAATATTCTAAGGGCTCACTTCATGAAATGCTGACTGGCTGGGTTTTTTTTTTATCTTCTTTACAGTAAAGAAAATGACAAAAATCACAAACAGCTACATTTAAGGATTTGCCTCTAAAAAGTCACATCAATTCTTTTTCTTATAAAACATCAAACTCATAAACCAGGTAAAACATTCGTGTATGATGCCCATCTATTATGTGTGGTGACAGTTATGTAATGCTGCTTTTGCTGTATGATCTTGCAAAGTTATATTTCTGAAAGAAATAATGGTTAATATTGATATTAAAAATCGATATCAGTAGCACTCTTACCCAGTATCGTATAGTGAATAGAAACGCCCACTCCAAGGTGCTATAAAACCTGTAACAACAAACAACCAGTAAAAAAATAAGGCAAACAATACATGTCATTTCCATAACACCAATATCAGTGAGTGACATTATGCGGTGTTACGACAAAAACTGCTTCCCAAAGAAATGTTGTCAGACTTTACCTGCATACGTGAGTAGAACGACCGACAAGAACACAACACCGGCCGTTCCCATGACGCCAAAGAAAAACAACGCCCGGAACTCCTTCTTGGAGAGAAAGTCCTGGACGTATTTCAGGAATGCGTAGGCTTGAAGAAGCGCAAAGGTACCTAACATGACAATAACAGAATGAGGATAAACAAACAGACAGTCAGATTATCTGCACAAGCTTATGAAAGCATGAACAATTAAGTCAATGGGATGAGGTTTTCAAACCCACAAAATCATATAATTTTTCCAAGGGAAATAGTCTGCAACCTTCATTCTAAATTTCCTAATGCATTTTGGAAGATAAATTCACGAATCTTCTCAAATCCTCCATGCACCAGCAATCTAATGGTACAATCTTCAAGCTCAAACATTAAGCCTCATGTCGAATAACTGTGGCTGGTCTATTTCTTCCAGAATGAAGCGTTATCCTCAAAAAAACCTGCGGGCCAAACTTCAAGCCTCTGCGGACCGTAGGAATTCTGAGGTTACCAATGTAGTGATTCAATTCCCTTTCTGATGCTACTTAGTAAAGTTGAGTATACATGTATGGATGTATTAAAGGAATAATACATATTACAGTAGACTGAGTACACTGAATTAGTAATGAACACCTACCTGCTGCTGCCATGTGCTCGCTAGTTCTAACGGGCTGAAAGCCAACGAAAGGCACCTGCATTGAAAACACAGTACCCAGGATGTAGAACACACTAAAAGCTGCAGAAAGAAAAAGGGAAAAGAAACTTTAAGACACTATAAAAATGTCTAGAGAAACGGACAAATGGACAGAACAGGGGGCCAATATCAAGGAGAGGCTAACCACAATAATTGCTAATCATAGAAAATATTTGCTGAGCAGAAACAGGCTACCAGCAAAATATCATGTAATGTGTACACTGTTTGTAACTGGTGCTCAGCCAAGTTTTGCTTAACACATAAATTTGCTAAGTAATATTTTCTACTTAGTAGCTCCGTAAACTTTTAACCCTGAACAACGACAGAATGATATGATGCAGGCAAAGGTCTAAACCTAATAAAAATATGAGACAAAGGTATTACTCTTGAAGACCTTTTTTCAGGAAACTTTTAGTATGTTAACAAAATATTGAAAATATTATGAATTGGTAAAAACTCATAGAACTGCTCGTCTGAGGTGATCAAAACTGGAATTACAGTGAGTCAACCAGCGGCATGCAGGAGGAATAGACAGATACTTGCCTACATAGATGCGGTATGAAAACCTGCCCATCATGAGTAACACACACACATGAAGGGGTATGAGATTGATGATGAAGACATAGCCACCCCAGGCAGATACCTGCAGAGTAAAGAGCAAGACCAAACGTGTGATACGCAGTATATCATCAATACACAGTCAGTAGAAGGTTGTGGTCACACCGTGTGACAGTCTTCTGACGACACTCAGAGCATACCGTCTGAAATAATGAGTTAATGATATTAATTATAATGTGGTGCTTATATAGTGCTCTATACCAAAAGCCTCAAAGCATTTCACAATTCATCCTAAAACCACACAAAACTCATAAAAAGAGATCCCCCCAAAAAAGACATTTACTTCCTCTTTTCACTGCCCTCACGATGTGAACCTTCTCTTTCTCAACACTTTCTCTTCTAACAGACAATCCATTTCATACCAGTTGTAAGCAATGAATAATGCTTTCCAAGAGCCTGTGGCAAAGTACAAATAAATACTGAAGATTGCAGAGGCAGGACTCGGACCAACAATCCTCTGCTACCCAATACAGAGTTCTTCAGCACTCAATCACAGAGATCAGCGGAGCGAGTTGGGGGGTTGGTGCTGGCTAAATCAAATTGGATATCAGATGTCGGTCAAATGACTCGGGCTGCAAGTTGATATCAACACAAAGTGATACAAGACTTCACTGTAGGGTGCTTACCATATAGAAGTAGGATAATGCTGTAGCAGCTGCCCATGATACTGAACCAGTCTTGACCGCTTTCAACTGACAAAGGAAAAAATACACAACAAAATTGTTTTTTAAAATGTACCGTCACATTTTAACATTTTCAAGGCAGATATTTGTGCCGTTGTATACTTTGATGAAAATGACAAGTACACTCATAAATTAATGACACTCTTAGTTATAAAGCTAAATCTTAGCACAAATTTAAAATAACTTATCACAAACTTCTAATATAAATATAAATAATACAACAGAGAAGGGTAAAATAAAGTGATAAAAGTTTGGGTCTGGAAGGAACATGATGCAATATGTCAGTCTGAATTAGTGAGTGACTTGAAATCATACTGATAATGTCTTTGTTGTGCTTTATTTGATAAAGTTATATCTGGACAGTCTGATGGTCAGATGTACATGTAATGCATTCCACTTTTGCAATCAAAGCTGTCAAAATATTTTTATTGTAAAGAAACATTCACAGAGGACAAAATCATTGAATGCATCAAATTGAATTTCTTACCAAATAACTTACCACCCAATTAGAACACATTACGATTTTTAATGGAAAGTTTGTTGTTACAGTAATTAAAGTGCAGACATTGAAGTGAATGAATTCGGTAACAGAATGACGGTAACGGAATGACCAAAGGTTTACCCATACAAATGTGTACAAATAAAAATATCCTTTATGGTGCCCAACTGACTAATACCCTTAACATAAGGTGTACATGTTTTTACTGTAATTGGTTAGGCGAAAAGTATCACAAACACTTGGCCGTTTGAAAGCAATTTGCTTGTTCCAGTTCATAAAGTTTACTGTCCACTTGAGAATATGCCCCAAAATTGCTTTTTAGTCATGCAGAGTCTAACTTCAACGAAACATGCATGTATGTACATGTACGTACAGCTTTCGCTACTATTTTGTTTTTAAAAGGTTCACAATGTGGAAGTGTCACTGGCTGTACAGTTTTTATAGTACACTGGCTCAAGAGATATCAGACATGCATACATACATGTAATTCAGCACTCAGAGGCAAAATACGACAAAGGAGATGACGAGATGGACAAAATAAGTTGCTATAAATGGACTCCGTGGGAGACGACAATACTGTCACAAGGTTTCAGTTCCTGAGAGAAAGCATCACCTCTTTGTCCTCAAACTCTTTATATTTTGGTCACAGTTTTAAAATGTGGGCTGTATTGTTCATTATGATGCGCTGCTTCTGCAACAACCACCAAACAGGGCTGTGTATTTTTGAACAATTTATATTCGATTATTTAAAATTGGATTTGATTGAATATTCCAATATTCAAAAGCGCTAATCAAGTTTAACATGTCTCAGCCTTGACTGGCTGCCAATCCGGATTTGTGTGTTCCTGCAGTTGCCTAAAATTGACAAAGATCTAAAAGGAAGTAACTGCTGAGCAAGAGGTACATGTACATGTGGCAGAATGGCTGATATTTGACCGAGAATTTTAACAGAGAAATTGGAGCTGGTAGTCGCTTGGAACCTATCAAATCATGCGCAAAATATTTCAACAAAAATTGACAAAACCACGCAACTCATACGATTGATAAACCATCATGGACACTATTCATCGTCTCCTCACGAACTCTCACATGTTTCGAATATTTGAATCAAAACTTTTTCTTTGAATATTCGGTTGATCGAATAATCAAACAGTCAGTATGTTCAGCACTGCCTTACTACCAAAGAATTGCCAATTACTGAGGAGATACAAAAGGCAGCTGAAATCAGGAGAAGGTGTGATTAGAATTTCTTAGCAAATGTGATGTCTAAAAGAAATTATAATTTAAATTCGCATCATGGACCTGCATTTAGTGTTCAGAGTGCATTTTTAATTGGTGTTTTCTTTTCATATTATAAATATTCAGCAATAAGTAATCACTTCATTGGTTTTACTTAACAATTGTCAAGATATATGCTCATATTAACAAACATTTATGTAGCATTCCTCCGAACAATAAAACTTGGTCTTATGCAAAGAAAACATTTCCTTTAATGAATAAGGAGAAATAGTTAAAACCGAAACTGCTCTGGAAGAATGTAACAGACATGTAATTGTGTGTTACAAGGCAATAGAAAGTGAGAGGATGTGATGGCAGAATGCGAACAGTGCAAACAATCAACAACATGTCTCAACGGTATGCTTTGGATTCGGTGTCGTGTGTTCTGTGGGTGTGATTAGCTGCTGCGGCTTGATTGAGTCCTTACCCACAAATAATAGGTGAAGAGAAGAGCAAATATAGCGATGCCTTCGTTGTCATAGGAACCAGCCACTGAGCGGGAGATGTAACCTGGCACTGAAAGGGAAGACAAAAATACACGTGTGTTAAAATATGTTACGGATAATTGGACTGTAGGAAAAATGACTGTGTGGGATTTAAGTGTGTCTGATGTAGAAATTTTCTCATTTAAAAAATAATCTGCTCGGCCACTGTTACTGCAACAAAAATATACACATGTTGAACAATGCCCACCGATAATTGCACATTAACTGAGTACATGTGTACAGTAGGAAATTGACTACGCAAGATTTAAATGAGTTTTCTCTGTTTTGCTTTTTTAAATTAATCTAAAATGGAAAGTGAACATTCAATATTGGGTTTTGCCTGGCTCTGACATATTTTCATAAACACTGTATACTGAGTGTTAAATTTAAATCAGCCCGACGTAAAAATTCCTCTTATGAAAAATGGACATTATTTTGAATGGAAAATCTCGAGTCTAAAATGTACCAAATGAAATGCAAATTAATGTACATATATCTTTAAAACCTCTCTCTTCAAGATAATTTTTTTTCCTTCTGAAACAGTGAATTTCTTCTTTGCATCGTATTTCTTTTATTTCTCTCTCCATTAGTAGCTCTTTATCTTGAGTGCCTTTCAGCTTTGTAATGGGCAATATCCATTAATAAAAATGTGGTCCAATTGTTTACTCCTCGGAGAATCAATAAACTATAGAGTGCTAGTGTACTATAGTGCAGTTTGGGGCGGCATGAGGAGAAACTGGCAGGGCGGTTTGGGCGGTACGGGAGTTAAAGGCTTCCAAATGAAGATGGACCATGTTTAATACATTAGACTGCAGACCTGGTTTCATATATATATGTATACTCACAGACAGGTAGTGACCTCAGCTTTTTTGAAAATTTTATTGGATGCTAATTTAACGCTCTGTGATGGTTCGATACATAATTCCCATGTACATTAATTACATGACCCTGCACTGAGGTCATCTGGACAAAAATGTGCTGGTGGATGTCTGACTCTATATCTTGAGTGGATTACTGTGTATACATGTATGTACACAGATGCATTCAAGGCAAAAAGGTACATTTCGATTTTTTTGTAGTTTGCCATTCAAGTATCATGAAGCATGACTTCAAAGTATACATTATTTTTATTTATTGGGTAGGTAGTTTGCTATTCATAATCACTCTTTGATGACGACTGTATTAAGGAGTGCATCAGAATTATAAAATCATAGATGTCAGATGTAACAGGGATAGGAAAATATGTGGACCCTGAATTGATAGAACGACCCATATGTATCTGCAACACTTTCATATGTAGGTGCTACCGTACATAATCGGTCTCATATGTCTCAATAGCTTCATTTACCTGTCTTTAATAATAGACATAAATGTTATTACCAGCGCCTTGAGTGCCTAATTGTTGGTAGATACTTGCGCTATATAAGACTCTGGTATTACTATCTCTGGTGTGTGCACACACTGTAACTTCATGATATACGAAACTCCAGCACCGAGGCACAGATGGTGAAGTATGAAATTGATGGAGTGAAATTAGACTGACTGCCAGCCTGTGAAAGTCCATGCATGTTGTTTTTAACATCGTGATCCATTATTGGGAAATGCTATACGCTACTGATCCTACCGCGCCGTCGTCTATGGAATATCCCCTTGCACATCAAGGGTCTATGATATGGGAGCAGACTTGGCAATTAATTATGCAAAACAAGACTGTGTCTTGACCTTAAGATTCTGACCATTCAGCGGGCGCCTTCTATACCGGGTCTTCGGTAACCCGTTGTTGTATTACAAAAACATGGCATCCAAATTGACCAAACAACAGCTTAGTCCACATTTCTGATCAAAATGACGTCACAGCTTTTACTCCGATTAGCTGGCTCCCGGGGTCAAATAAAATTTGCACGTTAGAATATATCAGGCGTTTGACAGTGGCTCTGCACATGTGAATGTCTGATCCTCAGACTCACCACGCCACTGACAAGGAGAACATGTCTATTAGGGTTAATGTGTAGTGACATCAATTGATAATCACTTCTAGGGTTTCACAGGGGCAAAATCGACCGGCCAGCTCAACTTCCTTTTGCCTCATGTTGTCTGGCTGCCATCAAACGCTAGCAAGCAGAATCCAGACTATTTAAATAAAAGCTAAAACACCTGTCTTGAAGCACGACGTACCCAAGAGATGGGTACCGGTACATGTATAAGTTAGAAACAAAGAACAGCAAATTTGGGGAGAACATGTATATTAGGTTCATGTGTACTCTCATCAATTGGTAATCATGTCTAGGGTTTCAGAGAGGAAATCGACCTATTGAAGGGCCATGCGGGGGATTGACCATTTATTAACTTCGTAAAAGCAATTGCGTAAGAAATCCTACAACACAAATGTCTACCAGAACAGTTTGAGGCAACCTAGAACGGGGCATCTGCTTAATTCAAGACAGAAATATTAAGATACACCAAAGAAAGAAAGAAAGAATGAAAGGAACAAGAAGTGTACGTGAGTATCAGCATTAGCTGGCGAGTAAGCTATGATGCACTTTAATCCCATTTTGTGCAGGGACCGTGAGATAACGCCGGCCTGATGGGCCATATTGGCTCGGCACAGACTTGACTGACTTACCAATGGCAATGAAGCAAGCAGCTAGTAGACCAGCCCCTGGACTCCATAGCTCTTTGGTAAGACCATAGGCAGCCAATGCAGTGAACCCACTGTAAGCACACACAAGCAAACGCAAAAGATGTCATACCTGTGATCACAGAGCTTCTATGAAAAAAATCTTGCTCAGCAGATTTACGAGCAATAGAAACAAATCAGTCAGTGCCAGTCAATAGTAATATACATGTACATCAAAGGACTTATATTAGTGTTCAAGGCGCTACATCATTATAACCCTGTTCATTTGGGCCAATGAAACATTCCATATACCATCTCAGCTACCTGGGGAGTATACAGCTCAATGCTGCCACTTCGGCGCTAAGCAGCTACATTTTGTAAAATCAACACAATAACCATCTCTTCCCTCACAGGTACCCATTTACTCCTGGGTGGGGAGAAGCAATGAGTGACAAAGTGCCTTGCCCAAGGGCACACGCACCACAAACCCCAGGCTGGACTGGAACCCACAACCTGAAGAATAACCTGCAGACCACAGATTCAATGCTCCAGACCATGAGACCACGACACTCCACGTCGTGGTGGATAACCTGCTATTGCTCAAGAAAATATGTTTGTGCGTAGCATATGTTATAATTTGTATGTGTGTATAGTAACCCCATTAAATTGGCTACACATTCCTTCTTCAAAAAAGGCGACAAAACTTTCAACAACTAATATTTTTAAAACAAATTCTACATTCATAATTTTCAAGCTTTTAAAATAATTTGTTGACCAAGTCATTAACTTGTCATTTTTGATGAAGTTTACTGTCTAAGTGTTTTACTGACAGAGAAAATGTATAATAAGTTTGAAGAAATATTAACCAAATGGGTTAGAAATGTGCAGTAGTACTTCAGACAAGAGATTCTGTCTTCATGATCATTTCTGAATTAATAACTGGCAAGCACAAAGCAAACAACAGGATCTATTTCATTATTCACAATGTAAAGTGCATGTGGGTGTGCTGAGCATATGCCATGCTCCATGATTAATTTAATACTAAAAAGAACATTAAAGGTAATGAACCATTCCCCTGCATTTTGATGACTTACATGCTTGTACAATTATGCGATTATTCTGCACATTCTTGCATTCAACTACTGGGAGCTTCAGACAAATTCTATTATTTTCTTGAGAATAAAAAATCACAATTTTTTATAGTTTATGGCCATAATGGACATAAAAGGCCATATGGCATGTCTGCTAAGGCACCAGCATTTCGGTAGTTTGTGCTGTTAAATATTACAATCAATGCTGATGCATGTGTACAGTTGAGTCATGAACACTCTGTAGTCTGTACTGGCTTTTTCTCCAATGATTATTTTCAATTGCTAAAATGTTTTTGCAGGTTTGGAGGTAAACTGAAATTAAAATTGCATTCCCTGAGCTGTTTAACAAATTTGGTTTTTTTTTTCTCTCGTTTTTCTCCCTGCAACCCTGTGGAAATAGTTTTAAATTTTGGTCACAAACATATCCACTTTGTGAGCAGACTGGCTCCTGGTCCATACATTATCGATACTGATTGTGGGGTAGGAAACAGACCACCGTACAAGAATGGAATTATTGTTGGACCACTAGTAAGGCCAAAAAAAAAAAATATTCGGTCTCTGGTCAGACCAAAGTTCCGGAATTGACGCGGCCACGCGGCTTTTTTTTTTTTTTGCTTTTTTTTTTTTTCTTCAAGCTTCGATTGTACAGACAAGGTGGGTACTATTTTGCTTTTTTGGTGTCCTCATGTACATTGGTGTCCTCCATAATTTGCCTTGGTGCTTTCGATCATTTGCCTTGGTGCAATTTCCCATTCCTTGGTGCTCTTTGGTAAAAAAAATTGAGGAGGTGCGGAAATAGAGGGCGCTGTTGGAGCTACCGCGGAACATTTTGGAAAAAAAAAAGATCGACGCGCATGCTTAAAATCGACGCGCGCGCTGACCAGAGACCGACTTATTTTTTTTTTGGCCTAATGCGACATTTGTAGGGAAATAATTCAATAACTAAATGTTGGTCAATACTTTTCGGCCGTTGTCTCATTCAAAAATGAAAAAAACTATTGTACTGCTAGCAACAATAGCAATTTAGAAAAAGGAAGCTCAAAATATCGGCACCCAATTACAAGTACAAGTATCCAATTTCAAGTACATGTACCCAATTTCAGAGGGTGAAATTACCATCAATGTCCAACATTTTCTGGTCATTTACCATATTATTAAAAACAAAAAACGGATGTGCTCATACAACTTTTGCACTGTGTATGCACTGTGAAGGCCTATATTGTGGCTCAAAATTGATTGTGCTAATTCTGTTTTGCCTATAACTTCAACCTTGGCAATTTGTTTCATACCATTATTTAATACATTTGGAAACAGGGCTAGTTGTTGGTAAATTCTTGAAAATGTCTTCGCATGGCTTGACTGAGCAATCTACTGTTGATCAGAATGAATAAGATAAGTGACAAGAAAATATAAACCAGAAAACAGGATCTTTTTTTCTTACAGACTCTATCATTACCTGAAGAGGGGGGCTAGAAACACGCACACATCTCGTATGTGCACGGGGATGTTGAGCAGATGAGCAAACCAATGGATCGCGCCAGATGTCACCATGAGACCGGGATAAACCTGCAATTCAACAACAAAAGTTCTGGCGCGTAAACAGTTGGATTTATAAGTAACTTCAAATCAATAATTCAGTCAGTTAGTTAGACATTTATCGGAGTGGAATACGGTTCCACAATCGCAGTTGTGACAGCTGTGCAGGGGATATGAAGGTTTACACAAATATAAATTGGGAAAAAGGATACACACAGTTCTGAACTAGGTGAATACCCCAGATATAAAGATTTTGAAGCATATTTGTTCTTCAGTAATTTATTCAGACTCGAGACAGAAAACAAATATTCCTCCAAACTTAAAACACTCTGTTCTGACCGAGGTGTGATCATGAATACATACAAGCATTATGTGTGTGATTTCATTTTAAAATATCCTTTTCTATACACATGTACATTGTAAACTCAAGTGTAATTGACCTATCGCCTTTTGGGAGTTAGCCACACCCCTTAGAAAACCCTGGGGAGTTTCTGTTTACTAACTTTTGTTTGTCTCAGATTTTGCAGGTTCCGCGTCTATTTCTATATCATGTAATTGGACAATATTTCAAAAGCTGTGTTGACGTGATTCTCATGTGATTCTACCGCGATAGGTCAATTCTGCCCTTGGGCAGTGAGATTTGAGCATTTTAAATAAACTGTTTTAAGAGCTGTTATGGCTCAGGACACCAGGGCAGGCTAAGCAACTTTATGTGCTGAGCAAAAAACAGATGGGGACCAGTCACAAGCAATTCAAACTGCATGACTTTTTAGCTGGTAACCTGTACATTGCTGATTTACTTACCGTGCCACCAACGATCCTGCCCAATGGATACCAGGCCCTCTCATCAAACCAGTTGAGAAAGTTGTAGAATCCATGGGACACAAGGTGATGAGTGGAGCGATAATTGAACCTTTGATATGAAAAAAAAATGGAAGAAAACAAAAAGACAAAATGTTGCTTGCACTTTTCAAGAAAGGTAAGGAAAATATACAATTCGTTGGACTTTGAACTGGAATTAAAACTGAAAGTTTAATGTTTATAGAGCATTTATGCTGCAAAAAAGTGAACATACAAGTAAAGGTTTACTAGTTTCATTACTTGAATTAAGCACGGTGTTTCATTTTGCATTATACAGGTATTGGGTGGTGTTTTTCTCAAAGTAAAACTCAACAACAATCTGTCTTTTTTTCTTCAGATGTCTGTACACACCAATTAATCAAATATCTTTTCAAAATGGTCCTTACTGCTCACATAGGGGCCTTTACTATCAACGTGGACCAGTAGACAATTATCAATCAGTTTGGGAGAACTAGGCCTTTATATCTGATGAAAGTTTTGCATCAAAGGGAAGTACATGTAAATTGCAAAATTTGATTTGGCTCTTCGACTAAATTATGCCGCCGTAAATCCACGTGGTTTTCATTTAAGTTCAATTAAGTGTCAAGTGCCCTTTAACGATGCATCATGTGAGAATGCTGGGCGTGTGCACTCCCAACATCCTAGAACTGACACGTTGACCGATTGGTGATTGATGGCATACAGTAGTACATGGATATGAGTGTCGTAATCCAATCATTGCTGGCAATCTTGAACAAGGAATATGGTGCAGGTTAACAACACAGGACAGAGTTACGGTCGCGGTCCAATTGACATTTGAAAAAAATCTAACATTACACAGTGTAAGCCTAGTACTGGGAGTTGAAACAAATAATTAACAATTTTAGCTGACATAGCTGGCAGACGTTGCAGACAATTAATTGACGTGCTTGTAATTACTACAAATTAATGAACTCATTTAATTTATATTGGAGGTTAATTTATGAAACACTATGCAGTGTAAACTCAGCAGATTTTAAAAAAAGTTCCTGATAATCCGTGACTTACAAGTAGCCTTTAACCGTAAAATGTATAGAATTGTTAAAATTGCTACGGTTACATACGTGTAAAATGTTTCACTGCAGTTGATTTGTTGTATGAGACTATTAGTCTCATGGCTTGCATGGTGGACATGAACAGTGAATAGCAGCTTTGCGGTAACACCATGCGAATGATACATACACATCTCTTTTGAGTTGTGTGGTTCTGAGAAGAACCAGTTGTTTTAACTCGACGTTTCAAACAGTATGCACTGTTGCATTCTTATCATCGATACACAGGCAACACAGGCAACAGCAAGGCAAACAGAGAGAGAGAGATATCTTTTGCAAGTTCACTTGAATCTTGGATTTACATTTACTCCTGGGAAGTGGTTCTCATCATACACCGCAGTAAAAGTTGTAATATTTCTTTTCAAAACTGTATTCAGAGCAAGTGCATGCCTAGATCTCAAGCTGCAATTAAGGCAACGTACAGCACCGACTATGCAATGTTGAAGGCACTGGTTCTTTAGGTACAGAGCAGTGTGACGTGAATAATATCATAGTCCAGGATTTATTTCAAATATCTGTATTTTCAAAATTCCCGAGGGGAAAAAGAGTGGGTATATTGGATGAGATCTCAGTTGCACACAGAAGAATTGACCTGCAGCCCGACAAACAACAAAGGTCTGCCAGTCTTGTCCTTTCAAAAAACTCATTACTTCACATCATGTTTCCTTTGTAAATAATTCACAATTTCTGTCAGCAAACATCCATAAAAATGACTGCTCGGAGAAACTCCCCTATGGCAGACGACACATTGGTAATACGTATTGCCTCATCGGCCATTGTCAGCAAATGCTTTAGAGAATTCCTGTTGTGGCTTGCGTGGGTTTTTGTACAATCTCTCTAGCCAGTCTCTAGTCAGTAAATACATTTATCTGCTAACTCTTCAAAATTTGAACATCAGTCCATTGTAGTCCCCCCCCCCTCCAAATGTCCGCTACTTCGATTTGATTTGCTTTTCACAATGAAACACAGAGTTGCTTTTCGTAATGAAACACAGAGGTTTACATGTGCAGTAAACCCACATTCCCGCTCTGAAATTGCAAACATGTACCGGTACATGTATGTCTTCTAGTACTGCACACATTACGTTTACTTCCGAGCGCCAATTTGAAGACTAATGTTTGGTGAGGTAGTGGGAGGAATAATTCATAGACTGTTCAACCCACAGGGTCTTTTTTATTTCTTTCTGGGTTTGCAAGCATCTCCGGGGAGGAAATACCAATAATTTGTATCGCTCTGTAGGGATTTCAGAATACATGTACCATTGGAGTCATTTTCTGTTTAAGTGGATAAAAAGTCATGCATTTTAATGACTTAAGAGAAAAAGAGCAGTTATTTTTTAAATGTCAATGTGGAGTAAGTTGCCCTTTTTCATTGGTGAGTATACATGTATTCTTACAAATCTTTCCCATCTAAGGACATACAGACAACAGATTTAAAGATTTGACTCAAATCGCCTACAGAACAGGACTTCCACTTCTCATATACAAGCAAATGTACTCATCCAAAATTTATTGCGACTGTCACAAACAATATATAGTCGAATGAATACAAACATGTAGTATGTTAACTGTTTATCGATATTGTGTGCAATAGGTAGCAGTGCTACCTGTAGAGGCCTGACTGCATGGCGTATTCACTTGAATGGAAGGTACCGGTACATACACAATTTAATGTTTGCCTCCTTTGTATTGTGACACATACATGAACATGTACATGTAGGCCTTAAGTATAGTGATGGGATTTAAATCCGCATTTTTTTTTTAATTTGGTTTGAATTCCACTATTCAGTTTCTATTTTGGAAACCGGATATTCAAAACCAACCTTAAAATAATTTAAGCCTTGCATTTTTTGTGACACAGGCTAAAGAAAACAACTGGAACGTTCCCCAATTTGCACCATGGTCTCTGATTGTAACTTGCTAGTGGTCTTCTTGGAATAGCTTGCCCATTCGACTTATCAGAGAGTTCCCATCCACTATTTTTCCAATATTACAGCTCTGGAGTATCTTGTAAAGGTCCAGTCATTGAATACCCAATCATTGGGAGGGCATTGCATGTGGCACCTCACTTGTCACTTTTTGTTGGCAAACTTAGCGTGACTGTGAGCTGGATGGGAACTTCCTGTGAAATCAGATAACCGTCATTTAGTTTGAAAAACAATTAGGATCACTGGATTTTGAAATCTCCCATTTTCTCCAACCACTGAATTTGATTTAAAAAAAAGGAAAAGAATGCATTGCTCAGCAAGCAATAGTGACAACTGAGAGGAACCATATTATAACAATGGACATAATGACGTGCCAATCTCATAAGTTGCTAAGAAGAAATATTGCTTAGCCAATTTTTTTTGGTGCTAAACGGAAATCAGCTGCGAACCAGTCATGAGCAATATAAATCACATGGCATTTTAGCTGGTAACCAGTTTTGCTTAGAAAATATTTTCTGTGCTAAGCACGTTTTTGTTCTTAAAGGTAGAGTAGTAAAAAAGTAACTAGCAAAACTAGAAATGTGTTTGTGGACAAACACAAGCTGTTTCGGATATTTGAAATACTCTGTGCACGTGACGAACAATCAGTGACGTCACTGTACATGTCATCTGTAACAGCACATTACAAAATGTATAATACGTACATGTCAAGTTACAACCAAATCAAACATAATAGTTCGGTAGATATAGGCCTATAAAAGAATAAAATGCTCTTTTAAGGGACGTCAAATGACATTTGATGATGACGTCACTTCAATTTTCATTTATAAACCATCCCTGTGAATGTGCATACCAAGTTTTAATCCAATTGCACTTGTACTTTCGAAGTTATAGCGATTCGAAAAAATGCTCATTTAATGTCACGTCACGTGACACATGATGACGTAATCGTTACGAACTCACTGGAGACCATCTTAGGCGGCTGATCTTACTAGTGTCTGACAAGTGTAAAGTCATTCAGACTTACATGTATAGAAGTGGAAAAGTGTATCAGTTTGAAGAAAAACGTGTACAAAATCAATAGGGAAACAATGCATCTTTAATGTGATGTAACCTGACACCTCATGACGCCAAAATGACAGCTTTCTTCTAGGACCATCTGTGGGTGGTAGTCTAAGTGTGTTCCAAGTCTAACGTGGATCGCATTTACGAAAGTGCCAAAGTAGAGTGTTTTAAACGTGAACAAACCCTATGGGGAAAATGCATCTTCAATGTGACGTAACCTGAAACCTGATGACGTCACGATGACGACTTTCTTCTAGGACTATCTATGAGTAGTGGTCTAAGAGTGTACCAAGTATAAAGTTGATCGAATTTACGAAAGTGCCAAAGTGGAGCGTTTTAAAACGTGTACAAAACCTATGGGGAAAATGTGCATCTTTAATGTGAAGTAACGCGACACCTGATGACGTCACGATCACGAATTTCTTCAACGACCATCTGTGGGTGATGGTATAGGTGTGTACCAAGTATAACGATGATCGGATTTACGAAAGTGCCGAAATGGAGCGTTTTAACACGTGTACAAACCCTATGGGGAAAAATACATCTTTAATGTGACGTAACCTGACACTTGATGACGTCACGATCACGAATTTCGTCTGGGACCATCTGTAGGTGGTGGTCTAAGTATGAATTAAGTTTAAAGTCGATCGGATTTACGAAGATGCCAAACTGGAGTGTTTTAAAACTGTGTACAAAACATATGGGGAAAAATGCATCTTTAATGTGACGTAACCTGACACCTGATGACGTCACGATCACGAATTTCTTCTAGGACCATCTGTGGGTGGTGGTCTAAGTATGTACCAAGTCTGAAATCAATCGGATTTTAAAAAGTGGCAAAGTGGATTGGTAGAAGAAACGTGTGTTAAACCTATGGAGAAAAAGTCTGAAAAAGAGGAAGAAAAAAAAAAAAGAAAAAAAAAAATCTTAACGAAAACAAGAGCTGTTTCGGTGTGTACACCGAAACAGCTAATTATCGTTGAAAAGCTT